CATCCGTGCGAGGCCATCCCCTCCCTTCGCCTGGAATGTGACGGGATGAGGAATAGCCGTATGTACCAGGAAGGGGAACGGTAAAAGATCGCCTGCTGCCTTGGGCTGATCGTGATACTCCTGGGGGACCGATATCCATAACACCAGACCCATGATTACCAGGAACAGCCTGATGGACCTGTATTGGTGAAGGCTCCAGCGTACTCTCCACTGCATTTACCGGTGGTGTCCCAGACTGGCGCCGTGTAGCAACAGGGTTCTCTATCTCATGATTTCCGGATCCTTGTATGCGACGAATTAATCTGCGCATGCGCTTCGTTTCCTCTCTCGCGCCGCGTTCATTCCATCCGGTTCCGCTGGTTTCGCATATCTTGGCCAGCTGCGGGTAAATGACATCAAACCATTTCCCCATTGTGCCGGCAGATCCTAGCTCAAGAAACTCGATCCCCTGTAGTTCTAGGATGTGGAAGGTGTCCTGCCAGTCCTTTGAGAACCCATTCACTGCGAGCCAGAATAAGACCTTTTCGAGCGGCCAAAAGCCCTCGGCTTCGCGCGGTGATACGTCAACAGGTAACACACCATTGCTGTTCTGGCGCTGACTTAGCGATTCATTCAGATGGGCGGTATAAGCCTGAGCTTCTTCCTGCGTATGATGAGATGTAGCCGGCAGAAGTGTTGGGGCATGTGAGTCATTATCGTGGTTATATAGACCAACGTGACCTGAGATTACGGGTACCATGTCCTCACGCTTTTGTGCAGAATCTGCAGGGTTATAGGCATATGGTTGGTTCATTGGTGGTTGCTGTTTCTTTCCTGCTGGCATGTCACCTTGGCTTTTGTATGTAGGGACTGTATCTCCGTCGAACCCTGGTATTCCAACGCCCGGACGAAATGGAGTATGAGGGGTATAGTTTGCCCTACTTGAAGGTTGTGGAGGTTGGAGAACCCCTTTCCGCAATGTTTCCCGCCCTGCCCCATAGTTAATGCTTTGGTATTGCTGCATTTGCGAGAGGATCGCCACCTTGGATGGCCCGTATCTTGCAACTGGTGGTGACCCATGAGGGGGAGGGGGCGTCTCGCTCTGACGCTTCGTTTGTTGGTATCCGGGAAAGCGAGGTGGAGGTGGTGGGAGTATATACGATTGTGAAGGTTGAACCGTTGTGTTTATCTGGGCGGGGGTATATCGCTGCGACTGACCTTCCATTCTACGACCGTATGTGGTAGTAGCATGAGACAGAGCTTCTGAAGGCGTGATGATATCAGGAGAACCGATTGTAACCAAGTCGAAAAACGGATCTTGGAAGTATAGGGAGACTTCATCCCCGTATGTCAGTCTTAGAGCTGACTTCTCAGCATTATGCACATGTACCATGCCATTACGGATTCGGCGATGACGTTCCTTGTTGAGGTGGTGCTGTACTGCATCGATATCAAGTAGTATGGTCTTCACCAAACAATAGTATCGTTGAAGTTCGTCGCACTGCGGTTCAGCTTTGCTGAGCAGGTTGTATCTTTCCTCGTTTGCGTTATTCTCTTCTGCAAGAGTCGTGATTAGTTCGCGCTGTGCGATAAGCGCTTCGCCTTCTTGTTGTCTACCCCCGATCACTTAGCAAGTGGTGCAGAGAAAGGGCAAAGGCTAGCCTTACTTCCGAATCTGCTTCGCATATATGATAACATTAAGCATGAGAAGCATTGTGGTCTTCATTCTCTCTAGGTCGCTTCTGAGAATTGCCAAGTTGGAGTCCCGCCGAGCTTCCGCGAGCACAAATGCGATTCGGCGGAAGTGTGACTTGGTCGCAAGGTCAATTACTTCGTTAATCTCATCGAAGACTCTCTGGCATTCATCCAGCACCATATCTGCTGTACTACACGCCTCGGAAGAGTACAAATGGGAATCATTGTCCTCCTTGAGGTTAGCTCCCAGCTGGCGCACGACGTTACAGGTAAGCGCAACTTCTTTCGAGAGGGCGTTGATGACCGTATCCGCATGTTTCGTTCTATGGCAGAGTGTACATAGCTTAACCGAAACGCGAGATCCAAGTTCCGCAATTTGAAGCGCTGCTGCAACAACTCCAAGTATTTCTAACCCCGACATCGCGACGGCCTTAATTCACCATTGGAACTCCTAGCCGATAGTAGCGTGTGCAGGGTCTAGCCGGAGGATTCGACTCCGTAGTAGGAGAAGTGCATGACTTGACAGATCTGTTTCGGAAACTCGAGAATTTGAATTCATTTCGCAGTATCTGTGCACCGCAAGGCTCACTCACTCCAGCAATGCGTGCTCTAGCACTGCCCCATGCCATACCTCTTACGGTAACATATCGTATGCCCGGCTTTCTAATACATGCATTGCATTAGGTAACACATATTTGGATACGCCCAGCAGATTGGCATCCTGCCCATGCTTGCTATAGAACGGCAAGGTAACATCGTCGCACATTAATTAAAGGATATGTGCGTAATCCATGGCAGCCCGTCAGTTGTAGCCACACAGAGCCTCCCTCATTAGTAATCTCCCACGTAAGGCTACGGCTGTTGGGCGATTGAACAATTGTTCCGAGTAGTTCTTGAAAAACGTACGCTCGCTCTCCCGATATAATCATGTTAATGATCCTGAAAATGTGCAGGTGGGTGATCCTGTTTACTCTGATGTACCCACACTATATAAACCCTCTCAATTATACTCCGGATATATACATGGGTTTTCAGCTGAAAACATCGAATAGCCGGGGCCAATTCGGTAGCAGAATAAGGAATACAATTTCATACATATCTTGTCACAAATGCATTGAAATAATAGACCCTAACGCTAGTCAGACAGACATATGGTTTACTTAAAAGGGTAAGGCTGACGATGTTTCGAGAAAGGCTAAAGAAGCAACGAGAGATAGTCCCAATCAAGAGAACATCAAAAAATAACTGGAAGCCCGGCTTCCTGACGAACACGATAAGCCTTCGCTTTCCAGCGAACAAAGGAATTACGTCTGGTTTCATCAGCGCCATACGTTAAATTCAGATCCTTCAAGATGTAATCCAGGCGATATTCCTCCAGAAGGTTCCCGTCGACACAGATCCGAATACTCCCCACATACTCATACATCATGGCTCCGTGGAGTTCCGCCCTGTCACCCATGCGAAGTAGATATCGGATGTAGCCACTGATAAACTCTGCCAGCCATTCCGGTCGCATGAGCCAGGAAGCCAAATCACTGTATGACCATGCACAGGACTCTACGTCATCCTCGTTGTCAATGCCGTTCATCCAGTCAAAAACACCTATACGGATAGGTGCCACTGTACCATCTTTGGACGAGACGAAGTCCAGATTGAGTCGGTTGATACTGAACGGCATACGTTTGCTACGAGGCGAGGCTGTGGGCAGTCGATGTTCTGCCAGAGGGCCAACCTCGAGAAAACGTTCCAAGATATAATAGAAGCTCCAGAGAATGGGAGGTGGAGTACCATATCCCGGACGAAACCTCTGCCGGCGGCCCTCAAGCGTTGGACTAGTACCAATTATCCTGAAGGTGGCGGTGAGATCGTCGACACGCCGACAGACCTTGGAGAGAAAGCACCAGGTTGGCAGTAAATCTGTCTCATTGGCCAGGATAACGTCGAGCCTTAACGAACAAGGCACCAGATCTAGCCGCCTCCTTGCAATCTCCGCTATTCGTCGGTTGAGTAGAAGAAGGGATGGACAGCCTGACTGCCAATCCTGTTTTTTCCAGTACTTAACATGGCTCGGCCCGTAGCTCCACGAACGACAGGGTGCCTTCCGTGGCCCAGACACATGGCCCTCGTATGGGGCCTGAGGACAGTCGGGTGGGGGCTTGTCGTAGGTCAATGCTAGCTGAACTATTTGTTCAAGGAGTTCATTGGGCAGGTCTAGAAGTGAGGTTGGCATTTGACCGTACTTGAAGATGTTTTCTTTCGACGTGCTAAGAAGCTATAAAACTATAGTGAATGTGTATATTGCCGTGCTGTTGAGCAGATGATTGATTGTAACAACACGTGAAGTACTGCTAGCGGGGCTTAGACGCTTCGCCTAGACCGCGCTAGACGCGTCCATCATGCAAGGCTGAACACTGAACATTAGCCACGACCTATAAGATCCAGAACGGCTATTTCGACGAAAATCAGTCGGATGCCGTGGCAATGGCCCTTTCAGTATAAGCCACCGTGGAGCTTGGCTGGAAGCGCCAACACGATTGTCGCATTACTCCCTTCATCCTATATATATAGCCCAGTTTCTTCGATTGTCTGTCGACTTGATATACGTGCTTTCCCGGTTACTTAGCTTCGACAAAGAGGTTTTGCTTTGCCGAAAGGCGCCGTATGATGTGTAATCGTTCCTAGATTCGCCCACATAGGTACCTGAATGAAATTCCCACGATTATAGTTGAGTTCGACTCTCGTAAAGTCATAAGGCGCCAATCTTGTTCCCAAGCATCTTCTATATGTCCAAGACAGGTTGGCATTCAGGTCCGACATAATCTGTAGCTGGGACACTTGGGAAACTGGGGACCTCAGAGGAATCAATGTACTGGTGGTTTTTCTGGGGAATCTAACTTTGCATGCGGGGTTAAAGCAACTGCCCTTCCTTTTCTGGCTGCCCGCAATATTGGAGAGACGCCGATCGTATCGGGAGGTTAGTCTTATCCGTAGTCTAAAGGAACTCTTGGCCGCCGATGCCCCGTGGAAGAATTTTCTTTCCCAAAATCGCAATCAATTGCTGCGATGGTGTATGTTGCAAATTGACTGATAAGGAGCTATCTAATGCTATGTAACGCTTGTCAGGTGGCTCTGTTGTTAATAAAAGTCTCGAGAAATTGTTCGAGTCCGGGATTGATAACCCATTAGGGTTGTTCGACGCCGTACCTATCTCTCGGCCAGAATTAAATGGACTCGGCATGTCTTCCGAGAATAATCCTTCCACCAAACTACGGAGCATGAACCCATAATCTCTTCCGATGTCGACTTAAAACCCTTCTATCGAAGCAATTAGAACCCCACAACTGCGATCTGGACTTTTGTTTGTCGGTGAGCTATCCCCTCATCGTGTTTCCCCTCACCCCTCACTCAAGAGATTATTTCCTTTCCGTCGTGGGTCTCAGCTTCATTTCCGTCTCCTTGCCCCATAGATCTGCTCGCATGCGATGTACCTGCTCTTTTCAATAGCTGCTGTCTTCTTTCTTTCTTCATTTCTTCTTGAACTTTTCTCTCCCTGTGCATCCCTCCGTTACTAGAATTGAGTCTTTGAGCATCGATTTCATTCATAATGGCCAGTACAGTCGGAAAGGTACGCTCAACCCTGTTCCCGATCTGCTCTCGGAGTGTGTTTACTAACAATGAATAGACCATCACTTGCAAGGTACAAATGGATCAGCCCTGTGCCGAATAGAGAGCAATTACTGATGAATAAACAGGCCGCCATTGCCTGGGCAGCAGCAGAACCCCTTTCAGTCGAGGATGTCCAGGTCGCACCACCAAAAGCTCATGAAGTCCGCATCAAGATCCTCCACACGGGTGTTTGCCATACTGGTGGGTTGATATTTGCTCACAATTCCACGGTTCACGTCTAATATTGTGATTCCTCTCGCCTCCAGATGCCTACACGCTTTCCGGCAAGGATCCCGAGGGCGCCTTCCCCGTGATCCTGGGTCACGAAGGTGCCGGGATTGTTGAGTCTATTGGTGAAGGTGTTACCAATGTTAAAGTCGGTGACTATGTGATCGCTCTCTAGTATGTTGTTCTATCCCAAAAAAAAAAAAAAAAAAAAAAACCTTGCGTGGAATGCTAACCAGGTGGGCAGTACACCGGAGTGCGGAGAATGCAAATTTTGCCGGTCCGGGAAGACGAACCTGTGCGGTAAGATCCGGGCCACGCAAGGCCGCGGCGTAATGCCCGATGGGACGACCCGTTTCAAAGCCCGCGGAAAAGATCTCCTGCATTTCATGGGCTGCTCGACCTTTTCCGAATACACTGTCGTCGCCGATATTTCAGTTGTCGCGGTCACTCCCTCGTGCCCGACGGACCGTTCGTGTCTTCTTGGGTGCGGTATTACGACCGGTTACGGTGCTGCTACTGTGACGGCCAATATTACGGAAGGGGCGAATGTCGCGGTCTTTGGAGCTGGCTGTGTCGGTCTATCGATTGTCCAGGGCGCGGTGAAGCAGAAGGCCGGAAAGATTATTGTCGTTGATATTAATGATGGAAAGGAAGCGTGGGCGTATAAGTTCGGCGCGACACATTTCCTCAACCCGGCTCGACTGAGGAAGACCGTTCAGGATGAGCTGATTGACATGACGGACGGTGGATGCGACTACACATTTGACTGCACAGGAAATGTCAGCGTCATGCGCGCTGCGCTTGAAGCCTGTCACAAGGGCTGGGGTGAGAGCATCGTCATCGGCGTTGCTGCTGCTGGTCAAGAGATCACAACCAGGCGTATGTGGCATCCTGTCCGAAAGTTTTCATTATGGGGAATATTTACTGACTTCTCGAAACAGCATTCCAACTAGTTACCGGTCGCGTCTGGAGGGGATGCGCTTTTGGAGGTGTCAAGGGTCGTTCCCAGCTTCCGGCTCTGGTGGAAGATTACTTGCGCGGAGACTTGAAGATCGACGAATTTATCACACACCGTGAGAAACTGGTCAACATCAATGCGGCTTTTGAACAGATGAAGCAAGGGGACTGCATCCGATGCGTCGTTGATACGGTGGTATCGTGAGGCAACGGAGTAGACTATGGGATAATACGAATTGTACATATAAACAATGACTGAAAATGATGAATTTAAACGTGATAATGCATTTCAACTCCCGCTCTGCTGGTCGCTAAAAATATCTCCATGTGTAATTAAGCAGCTAAATGCTGTTAGGTTTTGTTCAAAACGTAAACTATACATTCGATCCATGGACATAGTACAAATGGACAAAAATGTCATCGGGGATAACTCGTACGGACGGAGATAAGTGGAAGTGATAACTGCCGATAGCACGCCATCGACAGAAAATCTCGGAAGCGCGCCCGGACTGGGGTGCCAAAGTGGTCGATTTGGTCCTCCGTACCCCCGGGCACGGGACCGGAAAGCACAACCGGATTGAGTATAGAAACCCACGGTCCGTGACGGACACGGACCGTCTACGGCTTTTCTAACCGCGACGTGGAGACCGTAGATAAAAAACACCCCTCAATAAATCACCAATTATGCTTGGAGTTTGATCTCCTCATGAGGGGATTCGTAGTACCAACTATGGCACGATAATGGATATATAACTTTATAAATGTCCGAGAAATGTAGCAAAAGTGGCATATAGAAGTTACTCTAGACATCTTCTGAAAACGAGCGATATATAAATAATCGCAACGCGGTTCATCTACCACTACCTCCTACCACACTTCATTCTTTGAACATCAACCGAAATAGCCACCATGTCTGTCTCCCTCCACCCCCTCGTTGACAACGGCATCTCCAAGGGTAACGCGAATTTCCCTGGTGGAAACCTCTACTGTCTCTGCCCTCAGAACAAAGTGACGGTCACTCTCAAGAGCAATGTCGCCCACAACCACGCCTGCGGATGCTCTAAGTGCTGGAAGCCCGCTGGCGCACTCTTCTCCGTCGTTGGTGTAATCCCCAAGGAGAACCTGTCCGTGACTGCGAACGCAGAAAAGCTCAAGATTATCGACGAGGCTGCTGTTATCCAGCGCTACGCCTGCAAGGATTGCGGTGCTCATTTGTTCGGACGCATTGAAGTTGACCATCCCTTCAAGGGACTGGACTTTGTTCACGTCGAGCTTTCGGACAAGAAGGGATGGCAGGAGCCGCAGTTCGCTGCTTTCGTCTCCTCCATCATTGAGCAGGGCTTCAACCCCAGCGGAATGGATAAAGTTCGCTCCAAGTTCAAGTCGGTCGGCTTGGAGTCTTACGATGCCCTGTCTCCGCCTCTGATGGACCTCATTGCTACCTACACTGGCAAGAAGAACGGAAAGCTTTCTGCCAACCTGTAATGCGGTTCGCTGGATCGACTGCGACAGTGTGAAATTATGGTGTGACAGTGTGGAGCGATTGTGTTTTTGATTTATCTGGGTGGTTAGACGATATGTTATATGTATAGATCTGGATTGCATGAGGGGAGCGGGTGGGTGTTGTTTGACGGTTGAGGCTGGGTTTCGCTGTATATTGGTCGGCTGGTGGGCGGGAGTTTGATTATGATTATTATGGTAAATGACCAAAACTTTTATGACGAGAGCCTTGTTCAATTGATCGTAGTTTGTATTCATGAGTTGTGTCCTGGTTAAGCACATGACCAGCGCATGCCCTTTCTCCAACAGTAGCACGAGAGGGTCTATGTGCTCGATAGCTCATCCTAATTTCTAACACCGAAGCAAAAATGAATAGAATGAATTCACTTTGTTGTTATTTATGGGTCGGAGATACCGCCGGAATCCTGAGTAACTCTACACGATCCTCAATTGTTTGGATAGGATCGCCATACAGATCTCTCATGCTCTTCTGAGCGCTATACGTTGGGGCCACGGCACTGTTCCTAATCCTGCTCCAGCATCGCTTCTTTGCTTTGAAGAATCCTGTCATACTCTTGCGTATGGTGTTCTACATAAGCCCCCCGCGCCTTAGACATTATATGGCAGTCGTGTAGACCACGGCCTCATGACTTCAATTGCACGTTGTATCCTCGCCATTTTGTGTTTCGGTATCTGAATGGCGCCTCAACTGAATACTTGAGTCGATTGACGCCGTATGCCTTAGTTGGTCCGCCCGAAAGGCGTCACCGTTGAAATTATCCGGCCAGCCATGCTGAGAATACAGCTCTCGCAGAGGGAGCTCGTCGCTGTCCCATTCCCGTCCGCTATTTTCCCCGCCACCGGGCAGTATCTCCAAGGAGCGATACCAGCGAATAATATCTCTCAGCACATCACCAGCAGGGCGACTAGGTATATGCTGAAAGCTGTTTTCATTGTCGCTTTTCTCGCCACACTCAAATTCGCTACCAGTCACGCGGTCTGGATTGTCCCGTATCGCAGGATCAGCAGTATCCCAACTCTCCTGATCGATGATCCAAATCCGATGCCTCCGCGCATCATAGCAAATCACACTTTGATGGTTCCCTATAATGGAGAGTGGAGTTACCCACGGTCGCATATAGGGACCATCTTCATCTTCATAGCCATCATCACCTGGCATAATATGGAACGGATCGCGTCCTTGCTCTATGTCTTCGGGTTGACGGTAATCTGCGAAGATACCCCCCTTGAAGAAATCTGTTTGGCCAGCAAGGGAGATGTCGATGTACGGCAAGATGCTATAGAGATATATGATCGAGGTGTCCAAGCCGAGTTCCTCATATAATTCACGAACATTGTCGATATCATGTGGACTTTTGATGATTCCGGCGGGGTTGAGGAAGCGCATGTTTGCCAGAGTTTGGTAAATTTCTAGCATGAGGTCAGCGACCTCGTGCAGATTGGCTATCTGTGTTGATGTGAGTTGCTGATCCATTGTCCTTGGAGAGATCTGTTGAACTTCGCTATGAGGACTTTTGTTCTAGTAGTACAATAGAATAGGGGGTCGGGTGGTTATTTAAGAACCACCAGCCAGGCACCATCGGCCCCATCTCGTGTTCTGCACTCTTGATGCCTTGGATCCACTACGATCTCTGCGAATTAATGGTTAGGGCTTGAAATGTGGGGCTGAATCAGACATATTATTGGTGATGTGGTGAAGATGGTCCAATATGTATCTATCCTGCGAATAACTCCCCATTGGTATGTGTCGAGCTATTGAAACATATAGTCGAACCTGTGTGAAACGGTGGCTTGCCAGAACAGGCACAGTCGACACGAACTCTCTGGGACTTGGGGTTCATCGTTCCCAGTTATAGCTCGCCTCACTGGATATTCACCATAGCTCCCTTGACGGATGGAACGTATCAGGAGTTCCTCCGCGCAGCCTTGCAACACTCGACATCCTGGCAACACTCCCAGCGCATTAGCCTTCGGTTGCTTCCCTGCTGGGATTTCATATATCGCCATCTGGATCATACTGGCGACATTTACTTCCAGACCAGTCATAGATGCAGTCATGTCGGTCTCCACGGCAGTACCTTTTAGGTCCCAAAATGCCAACGTTGTTCCGCTCAGGCAGCGTCAATTTTCGCCCCTCGCACCCAGTAGCCTTGGTAGTCCTCTCAGTCACCATGTACAGAACAACTAATACTAGGACAGGTAGTGAAATGTTACGTCTATAAAGTCTTGCTCCAGTAAACGAGCTTTTGAACAGCCCACTGCTACAGAGGTCTAGCAGGTACGATGCAGGGCATCTCAGGATGAAGTTGTAGTAAAACAGACCCGTTAAACTCTTGGGTTGCAGCGCCAGGGGTATGGCTGCGACACTGTTTAAATCCAGAACTTCGTTTAACTCTATATCCTACTGTATGGTGGCTTGTACTACCCCACTGCCATGTGTGTTTTAAAGTAGGCCTGTAGCCTAGGATATCGGATTAAACAACTAGGAACGATAACGTTTCCTTGGAGTTGTGGGTCATGCTTATATGGAAGAGATGACTACCGCCGAAACAAGGTAGGACTGTATTTTAAATGACTAAAGTCTGTGTGTATGGAGATCATGGATAGCTGTCGCGCCTAACCAATTAGCTCCTTGTTACCCAGTTAATCCACCTGGAAAGGTGGTCCTCTAGCTACGAGATATGTTTAATTTCCTGAGATCTTTACAGCGTCTCCAAAATCGATATTAGTGGAATGCTGCATTCTATCACGATGTACCTGCTGGCATATTTATTTAGCTAGGAATTGATCGATTGACTATGGCGGATCAAGATTGTAAGGGTTTGGCCCTATACTTATCATATAGCTTTATATAGAACGGTTCCCATAAGGAAAGAAAGAAAGAAGAATGGCTGCTAAATTAGAGCTAAGGCATCAAGTCCACATGAATGTATGCCGAACGCATCGGGCATCTAACGTGGTTCCCTGCCCTAGGTGTAATCTATCACCAACATTATATCAGTCAGGAAAAGGATCTATAGTTCTGCAGCTATTACAGGTGATATAGGTAATGAAATTGCTGCAAATAGTGATCCTCTTCCTAGAGGAAGTGATTGCAAATCCGGACCCGATAAAGTAATCAATATTCATGTTCAGTCATCGTCAGGCAAATTTTCAACCCGCATTTCCTTCAGCACTTTCAATTTCTCAATCGCATCTGGTGAGAGCTCTCTGAGACGTCGAATTAATATTCAACGTCAGATGACTCGCTTGGGTGGATAGAAACACGTACTGTGGTACAATATATGGGGGCAGACTCCTTGACTGTATGGGGTGGCGGCCGGTGTCCTTTTCGATAATCCTATTCGGATTAGTCAAAGAAATCAATAACTCGAAGGATCCTCTCACTTACTCATTTACCTTTGTCCCATTTTCAAAGAAGGCTTCTTCGGTCAGATAGGTGATGCGCACTCGAACTGTCTGTTTCACGTTACTGGTTAGTATGAACGGATTGAAATTCATAGAAGTAGTGGGGTATTAACCTCGGACATTTTGTGTGTAGGGATTGACTTGCGAGAGAGTACTGTCTTTGCAACCCGACGTAAGAGATATGAAGAACTCTTTTCTAATTTACGGGGAGACCAAGCCGATATTTATCCCTCTGAAAAGGCTCTGTCACGGGGTGAGGATAGACTCATGTCAGGAGTGAATTGGGTCATACTGGACAGACGTGCGGGGGTTGGTCAAGATTGATGATGATTGCATTCGATGTACCCCTCCATTTGTACTTGCAGGAACCCAAGGACCAATAATAGGGCGATTCCATGCAGGACGGTCGAACGAATCGCACCACCATACGGCTCCGCGTATATTTTCCACTGAGAATGACTGGACCACATGATCCAGGTCTCCAGGGATCATCCATTGTCCCTACGTCAAATCAGCTACCTGCGTGGTTATCTCGGAAGATGCTGAGATAAATTCCTGTGACATCGCCCATCTGAACCTCTATACCTGGTATGGTCTATCGTTTCCTTGGTTGATTCACTCGCCGCTTAATATACTTGTCAGACCCAGCTCCAGTAGCGATCGAGAGACATACCCTATGGAACATACCCTAGCTGTGGTAGAATTGTGCCCAATAAAAGACGTGCCCGTCTTGACAAATCCTTAGTGAACTCCTCGGTCGACGCAAAGTGGGGTCGATAAGTGGATGATTAAAATTGCTACCCGTCCCCTCAGCTGTGATATGTCACTTACTCGTACATACTTTTCGCCTATGCATGCTTTGGTGACGTGGCGACCACGCTTCGATAGTATGTCCCAGTGGGGTAATACTAATTACCGCGAGGCTGCCAATGTACAATAGCTGTACCAGTACTTGCAATGATGTGTGCAACATGAATATATTTGTATTATCCTCACCATTGATTGAGATCAGCTGAGACTGTTTAGGTACCAAGTAATGATGTACTTTATCAGATACTCATATCCAGGCACCGAAAAGGGTACAGCAAAACTTTATGAATTGGAAGCAACTTGACGGGTCATGCTATGATCGTAACATGGTGATATGATTAGTGCAATCAAAAGTTCGAGAGAGCTCTGTAGATCCTGTACTCGACACGTCTTCCAACGCTGAGACCCTTTACGGTAAAACAATCTCTTTTCAAGTACGTGATTCTGTTGGACTGCATACCTCACCATAGGACCGAGTATTCTGACGCTTGAATGAGCATTGTCTCTCACACTACCGGTCTTATAGGATGTTCGAGGACTTCGATGATTACGATGACTATGATGATTATCACGACTATGCTGGATTCGGCGTGCCCCTTCCAATGACTGATTTGCGAAGTACTCGCCTTCATCAAGCGGTTAGCAACAACGACATCGCTAGAGTCGAGGAGTGCTTGAGAAATGGGGCAGACGTCAATGTGCAGGATGGACAATGCAAAACCCCCTTGCAGGTTGCTGTGGGCCGCAACATGGAAGATGAAGACATAATCCGACTCCTCCTCCAATACGGAGCAGATGTCACGGGACACAGAGGGGTGCATGGGAATGCGTTGACCTGTGCTGCTGGCGGCAGCCCAAGGACTATGAAAATTCTTTTAGATCATGCATCCGCCCAGAAGGACTTCAGCCTCACATCCGCTAATCGAGCACTATATGCGGCATCAGAAATTGGCCGTCTGGAAATGATTCAGCTCCTTCTAGCTCAAGGGGTCAGTCCTAATGCCGAAGGCTCTATGTACGGGTCTGCGCTTGAAGCAGCAGCACAGTATGGAAGCGAAGATTCTGTCCGGGCCCTCTTAGATGCTGGCGCAGAGGTAAACTTTCAAGGCGGGTATCATGGGAACGCGCTTCAGGCTGCGGCTAGATATGGACATCTGAATCTCGTGAAGACTTTGCTTGAGGCCGGTGCCGATGTAAATGCCGCAGGTGGTGTCTATGCTAATGCATTGACGTCAGCTATAAAACGAGATCATCCGCTGGTTGTGGACTTGCTTCTGAAGGCGGGTGCAACGCTTGTTTCGGAAAATGAGAGATCGGCTTGAATGGACGGCCAGCTTATATTGGATCTGGAGAGCTGTGTATGTACACGAATTTCAATATGCGACGTGCAGGGAGATGGTTAATACGTCCGACATCATAAACTCTTTTCATTGTCACTTAAATGATGCTATAATATAACCACCGCACACACAGATTTCACAGCTTATCGCTTCAGGGCCGCGGCGGGCAAAGCGCGCGTCTTTCAGGTTCAATATGACTTATACCAGCTAGTATAATTCCCTCCTGCTTCATAAAACTCCAATGGGAAGGGAATACAACAGCCAAGCCCTGCCACTATATTACCCAGGAGGAACCAATGGAACAAGAGTATCCTTGCAGTATGAGGCCAGTCAATAGTCACAATAGATCAATGTCGGGTCGGTCCTCAGGGAGCCATTGGTCATGTATGTCCCCTTTGCGATCCTGTATAGGTGGTCAACTAATACATGAGAGTCTCCCGGAGACGGATGTCTTGAATGAGCACCGAAGCAGTGACGAACGGTGCTCAGCTCAAACAAAATGTAGTAAAATATCCTATCCATACGCCTTGCGTGTCGGGACGATTTAACAGAAAATTCCCGCTTTCATCCGCACTAAATATTCTCTTCCAAGGAAATCATTTACTGCTGATCAGGATCCGCATCGGCAAAGGTAGTGCCAGCAACAATCTCATCATACCACACCTGGCGAGTTCCCTGAGATCCCTTCATACCACCATCATCATACCAGCCGTTCGCATAAAGACCAACCCGGAACTGGAACGCCCGACCATCATCAACGGTGGTGTCAATGTTGTACTTCTCGAGTACTTTCTGCCCATCGAACCACATCTTATAGTATCCCGTACCATCGGCCCTCCATTTCGCCTGGATGATAATCTTGTGCCACACGCCCGCGCTCACAGTTGCCAAATTGCTAAAGGTAGTCGTCTTTTGCGCGCACACACTACCCGTCTTCACTCGCGTAAAGAGTTGGTCACCGATCAGCCACACCATGCTGGAAGGCATGTAATCGTCGCAACCCGTATCGCCGAAATCGGCGATGAACTGTGCAATATTGTACGATTGTGCGGGAGAGAACTGCCAGGATTCTTGCAGCCGGAATGTGAAGCCGTAGAAGCCTTCATCGCCTAGTTTGTACATATCGTTGTGAACCACCTCCGAGTGGTAGCGACCGCTGTAGCTCGAGTCGTAGACCTGAGTCATCTTCAGGGCGGTTGACCCTCCGTAGACTACATTGGTGACTTGTTGCACCGTGCCCTTGTGCTCTTGGTTGATGGAGCTCCAGCCTGAGGTGGTGCCTGTGTTCTTGAACGTTTGGGTGGCATGTATTGTGAAGCTTAGGCTAAGTAGTATAGCAGCTGCTACCGATTGGAACCGCATCTTGTATGGGAAAAGGGAGGAGCGAACACTTTGATCTTACTTTGTGTCATGATTTGAGAAGCGGCGCTTTGGGGGGTCTTTTGTATTCTGGATCCCCATCGTATGTTAACAAGAACAGAAACGTGGCAAAGCGCCGTTCTTCTAGAAATCCGGTATTGCTCGTGTTGAAAGTGGGGACTTGTGCAGCCAAGATACTCTTAAACCACTGCTGGGTTGCATCCGCTCGGCTGGAATTACCTGGACTGCAGCATAATGGAGTCAATATATAAGCCACTTTATGAAGAGTAGGAACTAATGCGAGTGACTGGACTTAGCGTCATCTCTTAGGCGGCATAATTTGCTTCATTATTGGTCGCGTTTCGGATGTCAATTTAGCGATGGCTCAGGGGTTGCTGTTTAAGGGAAATGGTCTAGAGCCTTCAGAGTCATAGCTACGACTACGGAGTACAATTAGAAAAATGCCTACCGTCCGCCAATGTATACAGGGTATATATGATTCTGGTTAGAAGGACACCAAAAATGGACTTGATATCTCATCCCTCCATTACCTGCCACCTGTTATATACGGAAATCCTCCTACCCCTTGACGAGGACGATCCAATTAATCGAGAGAGCGTTTCTTGCATAACTCACCGGAGATAGGCTCATTTTGAGACGATACACTCGTAGTGTATGTTCATGGATATTCTTCTTGGCTAATTTTGGGTTGCCGATCAACAGCAGCCGACTATAGCCGACGGAACCGGAGCTCTTCAACATCTCAGATAATAAGCGGATTCTTCTTGAACAGTGAGTTCTACGTCTGACATCCGTTCCAACCAAGCACCCTTAAATCCATTGCCGAATTTATCTCCAGGTTTTGCCGCGGACTTGCCTATCAATCTGATGGCTGTTGCCAAGTCGGTAAAAGGATGTAAGTCCCGCCGGTTTCCCAAGGTACGTCCTTCGGCGTTGAACTGCTTTGGCTAATATGAAAACTTCCTCATCGCAAGATCTCGGTAATGGACCGTTTACCGCGCCAGGCCCAAGAAACAGGGCTCGGCATCGCAATCCTACCACTATGGTCGGAACTGGTGATTACTGCCGTCCACCGAGTATAAAAAGAAGCATGGTTTCCTGATTAACCTGCCTCGTAATTGAAACCTAATCTCATAATTCTACCTAAAGCAGTAACATCGTGCACTGCTCTCATCTTGCCTGTCTAGGAGCATAAAATCTGTTGCGTTACCATGTCTACCGCCACCACAATGACAGAGGCTGTACCCTGCCCTACTCCTGCCCTCAAGGCCATCAAGAATGGGTTTGGTGCCGAAATTACAGGGCTCGATTTTACAGATGGCGTCACTGATGAAGCGTTTCGCTTTATAGAGGCCGCAGTGAAGAAGGTAGGACATATCCAGTCGCTGCAACCAACAAAAGTTCTTTGCACTGAGACGACTCACAGTATGGCTTTGCCGTTGTCCGTGAGACAAACCTGGTTGACGAGACCCACCTGGAGCTTGCTAGAAAGTTTGGCGAACTTGACGATGTAACCCCCTACAGTAACGCGGGTCGTGTCCACCGCCTCAAGTACAACGAGCTATTTGATGTCGGCAACATAGATATCGACGGCTCCATTGTCGATCTGAGAAGCCCTCGCGGCGAGGCAAACAAGGTATACAGCTCCCTGGGCTACCAGCACTCGTATCAATAGGTAGAAAACAGAGCTGACCGCATTCCAGGGTAACTCTCTCTTCCACACCGACTCAAGCTTTAACCCTCGTCGAGCCGGATACTCTCTCCTACTCGCTCACGAGCTACCTCCGCCCGGCACTGGTGGATCTACCGCCTTTGCCGACATGAGAGGCGCCTACCGTGATCTAGACCATGAATTTAGAGAGTTCTTGCAAGAGAACCGCTTCATCGCCCGTCACTCCATTCTGCACTCCAAAAAGACGGCTGCTCCGGAAGGCTTCAAGGATATTGAACCTACAGACCACTTTATGGCCCGCCACCTGCTGCTACAGGTGCACGAGCGCACTGGAATCCCCACTATTTATCTCGCCAAACACATTCACTCATTGGAAGGAGTCTCACCCCAGGAGTCCCAGAGTATCCTCGACAGGCTGTTTGAGCACTCGACTCAAGACAAGTATGTAATTGAGGTAGAGTGGAAAAATGTGGGTGACATGATCGTCTGGGACAATACGTGTACAATGCACCGTGCCATCAGTGGCGAGTTCGTGACCAAGTACCGGAGGGATATGAGGCGTGCTACCGTACACGACGACAGTAGCCTAGCATGGGGATTGAACCCCAAGAGCGATCAGCGCATGGGCCTGCCTTGAAGGCTCATCTAGTACCTAATGCATTATGCTCGCTGGTGCTACAACGAAAGCAACACCCAATATACTTAGTGCTAGCATTTAGAGGCATCATTCATTGTCCAACAACATCCAGCTTGGTATCATTCCATATTCTACTGCGCGTAGTCATCTGGCTTGTGACGCGAGGATTCAGGTGGTTCGCTGCATTGTCATTCCCCAAAGTCTCACTAGGATACAAAAATGCGCGAGGTTACGCCTTTTCTTCAGCTGAGATCCACATTTTCGATTTCGGCAAAGGTTTATCGGCTATAGCCGAAATTCTCCACACGACCCTCCGCATTTCTCTCACAGTCTTTATTTAAGATCCTTTGGAATCTCTATCTATTACCGACGCTCAAGAAACATGCTCAAACATGACGCCCCGTACGGGTAAAAGGTCATCTCGTGCATGTTTGCGATGTCGCCAACGCAAGACGAGATGTGACCTGTGAGATGATCCTTTACATTAACCCGAACGGAGATCTTCCCTGGTACCGGCTAATGCAGTTTATAGTGACAGAATCGGAGAGCCGAGAAAGGCTCCCTGCTTGTCATGTTACGATGCTGGGACCGAATGCATCCTGATTAAGTCCCGGCGTGGAGGCAATTTCCGTCAGCATCGGCCCGAGTCAGAAACGTTGCGAGGCTCGAGGGCGTCGCTGCTGACACACATTGAAGACTCCTCTGAAGTTGGCGTGGAATCGTTTCGCAACATGTCCGATCTTGCTAGATGCTCTTCGGACGATGAAGACAGTGTCGCGAGGCAGGACTCTGGGGACGTTCTAGCTATGGAGCTCCGAAATCCGTCTGATGCGTTGCAGATTCTGGCCCTGTCTGGTCAGGCTCAATCGACAAACCAGCCTCGAGACCAGTCTTCGAACATCGCAAGCCCCAGTGACCGAATGTATCCTGCACCACAAGACACAGATCCGGCAGCCTCAAGTCAGCCTGAGATCCCCAAACCGTACAAACCACCTTCAACCACTATTTTCGATGACTATGAGCTAGTTCAAAGAGGGCTATTGCGGCCAAGCCTCGTGTCTGAGCTACTATATAAGTTAGCTACACTGTGACCCGCCTAGCCCCATGCTGGTACGCTGACCGAGATAAGGTATCGCCGCTATTATCATTCATATTGTCCGATCGTCCCTTCGCAGTTGCTGGTATCGTCAAATATGGCTATAATCCAGAGATCAGACTACTTCCTTCTCACTGCAATTCTGACCATTGCATCGAGGGATGATCCTCGTAACTCCCTTACCCACCGTTACTGCTGGGACCACACTCAACGTCTCCTGGTGGATGTACTCCTGGCCCACCCGTGGACCCAAACCCCAGCAACTGTCCAGGGTCTATTGCTTTTAGCGGAGTGGTTGCCACATATTCAGGTCCATGAAACATCATCCGAATCGCCAAAAAGTCTCTTCAGTGAAGATAGAACAGCTTGGTCACTTGTCGGACTCGCAGTGCACCATGGCTATCTCCAGCGACTTGACCAAGCTGCCTTTCGTAACTTCAATAGCAATGAGTCAAAGCAACGCACGGAACAAGACAGGCTTGTATGGGCATGTGAGTGTATATCTAGGACTTGGAAGGTCTGCTTACCCATTCTGATAGCGACTGCAGACATCTTCATCGCAGATCGACAAATCTCAGTCCGTCTTGGCCAGTCCTTCTGGTCCCGAGGTCCGTCTCTCGCTGCCAAATTCACAGCGGAAGACTTCCCAAGTCTTCAACCTCGTCCCGAGAATGACAACGAAGACCATGCGTCCTTATTGCAAGCCTCTATGGAGTTAATACAAATCTTACATAATGTCCATGCCATTCTTTACTCCTCAAGAGATAGAACACTAGCAATGATCCATGAGGGCCATTACTCCCGGTACCTTGATGACTTTCGAAACTCTGCGACAATATGGTATTCGACGTGGGGTGACTTGGCAGTATCGACGAAGGTAAAGAGCACCTTACTCATAATGTACGAGTACATCTGTCTCTATGCCAATGCTTTTTCCTTCCAAGCTGTCCTGACGAGGGCCTCCGAGCCACGCATGCCCCTAAACAAAAGACAGCAAAGCAAGCGCCCATTCGCCGATTTATTATCCAAGGGTATCATGTTATCCCCCGATGGCCGGTATATTTTTGATGCCATCAGCGCAGCCATGAATCTGCTGACTTTAATGAACGGCCTCGATCCTCAACATGTGCTATGCTACCTACCGTCTCGTTACTACTTGTAAGGCCGTCCCCCCTAGGGCATGTCGCGTATTCTGAAGACTAATCCGTACTCAATCAAATGGATAGATACGGAGTGTACGCAGCAGTTCTACTCCACAAAGCAGACTGCGCGGGCGCATTCCAATCAGAAGGCCAGCAGCGAGAGGTTACCTCCCTGGCCCGCAAGTTCGTCGCTGTTCTGGAAAAGGCACCATCGACTGAGTCACACATCTGCCACAATTATAGCCAGATGCTAAAGCAGCTATGGAATAGACGGCAAAAAGAGGAAACGGGGAACTCTCGCTGTCGGAATGAAACAATACGTGCAGGTTACCTTGACGGTCGCTCGACACAACCACCACCGCCTGTGACTCGGACATATGACCGGCCACGTTCTGTTCGTAATTCGGACAACCCCGGTAGTGCTCAACGTGTTGATTCTTTACCAATAGTAGATGACGTGCCCTCGTTTCCTTCCATTGAAGGCTATTTTCTTGGTTCATTTATGCCAGGTGTTGCTGATTTCAGCATGTTCAACTTCGATGGAGACTTGGGTCAGCAATATCCGTTGGGCGGCGGATTAGGTGGATTCCAAGATTGGGACCTCTGCCAGCCTGATATGGATTCTCGAGGTCCCCCGTAGTAGTCACCTAGGCCCGTCATCATTATAAATAGAGATAACCCAATAAACGTAACCCCTGGGTCTCTGCTGCTGAAGAACAAGGAGACATGGCTGTTCCAAGCTGGAAGGGACTTGGAACAGGATGGGAGTTGGTACTCTGTCCACTTCTAATCAGCAGTCTATAGTTGAAACAGTCTTTTTGCAAATTGAGCGATACCTCTTTACCACTCAAAAGTCCCAGACGGTATCACGCGTCAAAGTGGATATACCTGACTGGATGTGAATACCAGCAATCCTGCTGGCGAACCGACTATTTTTCCCCTGAAAGAGTTTCGCTTACAAAAGTGACTCAAGGCTAGCTTGTGAAGGAAAGCATAGTAAGCACTAGTGAACCATTAAGAGCCAGTAGTATGAGGCAGTCACGCCACTAGCGTTAGGAATGCTTCTCTCTTAGAAATAGTATCGATTTCATTGGGTTATCGGAATGCCTCGCATGCGCACCTATGCCCAATCCCTGGAGAACGACATCGTCCGAAGAAAGGAAAAGAACCAGAAATGCCAAGCACAACTCTGATTTCATCCCTTCTCTTCCCCTTCCCATTAATATCGGCGGAATATCCCTTCTCTTATGGATTCATTCTAATCTTCACTGGACTGGTCTTTACTTCGTGACAACATCAATTAACAACTATTGTAGCTACAAAGTATTCGGATATCCCGTACAAAAATCACAAACGTGCATGAGGAGGAGCCGGCAGAGCAGAGTCCTTCTTGATCATATCACTGAGCTTGTACGCCATGGCGCCAATAGGCGCAGTGGGATGTCCACTAATCTGCTCCGGGAACACACTGGCATCCATGACACGCAGGCGTTTGACACCATGTACTCGACACTGTACATCGACCACGCTGTTCTCGGGTGAGGTCCCCATCCGTGCGCTGCCAACTGGATGGTACAATGTGAAGGCCTTTTCGTTCATCCAGCGAAGAATTTGGTCATCTGTGATGCGATCGATGTCGCTGCTGGAGTATGGCCACCAATAAGACCAGGGGTCGTCATTAACGGGCACGCGCTCAAGGTATTTTTGAAACGCAGGGCTCCGCATGATCCGGAGGCAGACGCGTATTCCCGCCAGGAGAACTGCGCGGTCATTACCCTCTTCATCACTGAAGTATTTAGGGTCAATTATGGCTGCAACCAAGGTGGAGTGTCAGTTTCCATTTTGTTTACTGTTTTAGAAGAAGGGGTAATCCTTACGATGGTCAAAGGGGTCTCTGCTCTTAAGGGTGATTGTTCCCTTGCTTTGCGGACGCAGGCTGATCGGGGCGAGGGTGAATACACTGGCCCCATCCATCGGTGGCTCTTCACCATGATGGATGAATCCGATTGGGGCGCCGATGATCTCCACATCCGGTCCAATCGACCCCGATGTATAATCCTTCGGGGGGCTGCGCTCCGAAGACGACCCGGGGAAGGGGTGGTGCTCCCATGATCGAATGAATGCTGCGGTTTCGCCCACATTGTTGGTCAGGGGACCTCCTCCCAACAGCATCCATCGAGCTAAGGACGGGAAAGCCCTGAGAGAACTGCCCAGGTAGTCGAGGGTGGTGCCCGCCTTCGCCTTGCACATCAGAGTTGTTGTCACCAAATGATCTTTCAGGTTTTTCCCGACGGCATCGTTGGCCCGGACGATGGGGATACCATGCTTTTCCAATTCATCCTGGGGCCCGATGCCACTCAAAAGCAAGAGCTGTGGTGTATTGACCGCCCCGCCGCTGAGAATCACCTCTCTGCGGGCATGGACTTCAAAGAGCTCTCCTCCTCGCTGCTTCTGAAACTCCGCTCCAATTGCGATCGGTTCGTCGCCATTGAGCCGATCGAAAAGAAGCTTAGTAACATGAGCATGGCATGCGATAAACAGGTTCGGCCGCTTCCTCACTTCCGGTGTCAAGTATGCCGTCGCCAAGGAGGACCGCTGGCCCTTGGAATCAATAAAGGTCTGGAATCGAGTAGCACCCAGGGTCCCACCCGGTGTGTTGATGTCCTCGACAGCCGGAATTCCGACATCATAGCAGGCAGGTAGAAATCCTTTTTCGCCGATCTCAGTGAGCCACGAATACCCGGTCTGCCACTCACCGGCATTGCCGCGATGCTGCAGGTCAATGCGTGGACGGTTTGGGTTGGGGGTAAAGCGCTCCATACGCTTGAAATATGGCGCCAGGTCATCATAACTCCAGCCTTGACATCCATAGTGAGACGCCCATTCATCAAAGTCAGACCTTGAGCAATGATGGTACATCATCGCGTTGATGGACGTGCTACCACCGATCAAGCGCCCTCGAGGCCAGTACAGACGACGCGACGCGAGGCCAGGCTGCTCCACGGTATAATAATTCCAGTCATGCTCGGTGTGGAGGAGCTTTCCGAACCCCAAAGGCATTTTGCTCTCCGTGACGTCGGTATTATCTCCTCCAGCCTCAAGCAGGAGGACCGAGACATTCGGGTCTTCAGACAGCTTGCTAGCCAACACGGAGCCAGCCGCGCCGGCTCCGATAATCACTGGTCCACAAGTTAGTGTTGCGCAATTTTCGTCCTCTTTTCTCAGCTTACCGTAGTCATATCCCTTCAACAAGCGCTGGGCGGAGGAGTATGTGGCAGGCGGTCCTACCTGCGCTTGCGGTGTCCCATAATGCAGGGGGTTAGAGAGCGGGTTGGGATATTTTCGACTCATTTTGAAGCGCTGCTGACCAAATCAACACTGGTTGGGGGGGCGCCGATATTTATTGGTCTCCTCAAACATGATCGACATGGAGCGGGGAATAACTCCCACATGGGACGCCTCTGGCCCGAGGCATCAATGGCCAGGCTGTGCAAAAGGTCTCAATTCAGTGGGAGATGCGGTCTGTGCTACAGAAATTAAACCTTTTGTGGGGCCAATAACCGCATATCAGAACTCACCACGACACGGTCTCTACCGCGGGTCCGCGGTTCCGCAGGTTGACAGCCGTTGCCATACGAACGCTAATGCACGAGAAATCTCCGGCCCATTTCCACTAACGAATATGAGGATGGCTTTTCTGTACCCGCAGCGGCTTCGTCCATCGTGATCAGGCTGTTGCTGGCCATTGTTCCAGACCATACTTATGTTTTGTTTACTTGCGGTGGTTAAATGTTGTTTCTATTGATAGGGTGGTTTAAGATGGAGGCTCCTGGGCTTTAACACTCGAGTCGAGTGCCCTACCAGTGTGTTTTTTGCTGAAGGTGTGAGATATGTATTTGGGTGAGTGTACATGAACCGGATATCGGTGCGCTTGATTCAGCCGCGTCTACTCAACTTCAAGTCTTCTTTGTGATAGGAATCCCAGACTAGTCATATAATTCGGGTCACATTTTTTGAGACCGGTCAAGTCGATTGTTATATGGGTACAAGCCTTCTGGGCCTGATCGAGTGGTGGTTGAATGCCGAGATCGACGGCCTGAGGCAACAGTTATCTGAGCGCCAAGAGCTGCATACCAATTTGTTGGTTTGCTTGAAGAATTACTCGTTCCACCATATTGACCATATCGGAGCGATGGAAATTTACTATGCGATATATGTTGCAATCAGGAAGCACGGATTGAAACTCATTGTTTCTCAGGACTTCGCTTTTGTGTTGTTGTAAATGGTCGAACTTCCTGTCGTCATGACCGAGTTTTCAGGCGTTCCACTCGGAGAACATTGCCCTCAGGACTAAGCAGAGTCGATGGCTCTATTGGTCCCTTCGACTAATGAGGCCTCCCACAGATTCCTTTAGGGATATCATTCGAGTCGTCCATCAACTTGTGAAGTGATTCGACATCGTAGTTTCATAAAGGAGGCATTTTTTGGATGACTCTCCCACAAGAGGCAAGCTGATACAGGTGATGTCAATGTCGCTTGCCAGTGACCTTGGTATCAAGCGAGGTCGCGCTCAAGACCAGAGAATTGATTAGTAAATTCGAACATATGGTCTTGTCTGGGGTCTCACTACGCATTGGGATGACATGAAGTGGGTGCCCCTGCTTGAAGGGTCTCATACGAATGATATCATCACGCACCTCAGCATGGGCTTCGTTCATAGTCTTTCTCACAGTAGCCACAAAATAATAATCCTGTCGTTTAGTGAAATGAGGTAGTAGCATGAATTTATTGTTCTTGGTTGGTGATCATTGACCAAAGCCTTCTCCAACCACTATTCTGTAAATGTGAAAACAAACCGCAGGTCTACGCTACTGCTTCCAGGAAAGTCGTTAATTCAAACAATACCCATCAATGTGGACCCTTCCATGCAGGGCTCTTTGCCACTTGTCGTGGTGCGTTGGTACATTGATGACGGTGCGAAAGGATCGGCATACCTCACCCACGGGCGGATATTGTGGCCCTGGTCTGCAATAATTCTGTACAATATGATTAGTCGCGACTGAGCAGGGGTTTGCTGAGGTCGATAGTGCAGTGGCTGCCTCCACAAGGCTTGGCTAAGCTGTACCCTTTGCTGACATTGCCGGCACTAACATTCTCTCATGCAGGGTCAGCATTTGTTTCTTGGCAGGGCTACCATAGAGATGCTACTACTTCAATGACATTGTATACAGAGCTACACATTATAAATATGAAGATCTTTCGCATCATTTTTGACTGAAATCACTCAAATCAGACCAAATCTCAATTGTACATCTCACAATCCCAACAATCCTCACAACCCTCCTTGAGCTCAACGCATAATCAAAAACCTGAACTATCGGGCTGGCACACTGGTGTATAGCAATTCATTCGCCATGAGAACCTCATTATCTGCTACTATCTGTCTCAGCCTTCTCCTGCCTGCCGTCCCGACCCTTTGCAACCCTCTGAACGCGGAAAATTCGAACGCGGAATCCATCCGTCATGATTCCGTGCAACTGCAGCCATTTAAACCTATCAACACTGCCCACCCGCTGGCCGTACGCTCCCCGGATGGCATCGGATGCTCCGATGATAACAAGAGATGCGGACTGATGTGCATCGATAAGAACGAAGAATGCAACAGCCAAACCAGTGGCTGGGATTGGTGGCGTCGGAGTCTTGAGGACAACTCCGGTGCTCTTGCCGCTCGCTCGCCTGACTGGGGATGCGCCGAGGACAACAAGCGATGCGGCCTGATGTGTATCCCCAAGAACGAGGACTGCAACCCCAATTATGGGTGTTCCGCCGACAATAAACGATGTGGGTGGATGTGCATTGACAAGAATGAAGAATGCAACAGCGAAACCGGCGGCTGGGACTGGTGGCGGAGGAGTCTGGAGGAGCCTTCCCATGCTCTTGCCGCGCGCTCGCCTGATTGGGGATGTGCGGACGATAACAAGCGATGTGGTTTGATGTGCATTCCCAAGAACGAGGACTGCAACCCCAATTATGGCTGTTCCAATGACAACAAGCGTTGTGGCTTGATGTGTATCGACAAGGATCAAGAGTGCAACAGCGAAACTGGTGGCTGGGATTGGTGGCGTAGGAGCCTTGAGAACCACTCCCCCGCTATCGCTGCACGCTCCCCTGATGGTTTTGGATGCGCTGATGACAATAAGAGATGCGGGTGGATGTGCATCCCGAAAGATGAGCAATGTTGTGGTAACCAAGGCAGCTGCAGCGCGAATGAAGAGTGTCACAAAAACGATGACGGGGATTATGGCTGCTGTGCCAAGGGTGAGACTTGCACAAATACCAATGGTACGTGGCTTAATGGAGTCAGGCAAGTGGGCAATGATATCAAAGATGGTGTGAAGAGTGTCGTGGATGGTGGAGCTGCTGATTTGAGGCCCGAGATGGTTGCGGTTGGGACCTTGACTTCCCTGTTTGCTGTCGCCATGATGCTCTAGATGAGGATGGTTGGACTGACATGGTATTTGGGACGATAGTTGGGTATTTTGGGAGTTCTCATGTATCATTTTCCTTGGTTTTCATTTTTGCTGCGTTGGTATATGAGTGAATTGCATCCACACCATCCTGGCGATGTTGTGGCTTTTTGATTTCATACTTCCTGCTGTAGACAATCCATCAGCCTAAGTCAGTAACAGCATCCTCATTGCCTCCCGACTGGTCTCAACCAAACTGAGTACGTGTTCAAACCTCACTGTGGAATAGGAATCTGTTGGATCACACAGTGGATGCCGCCGCCATCTAGCACGATTTCTCTGAGACACACCTGGACCACCTCTCAGATTGGAAATAGCCTTTGAACTGTTTGTATAGCCAAGTTGTCGGCTTTTTCATCTCCCAGCTGTGGAGCAATAACTGCACCATTCACGAGCACGTAGTTCACATAACTCAGGCACAAATCCGCATCCGAGGGAATAGGCCCATCTAAACGCGCTTCTTGGATGTCGAAAGATTCAAAGCGTCTTCCTGTCACATCTGTAGTCTGGCTTAAAATACGCGTATTTGTATCATGGACCGCTCTAAAAACTTCATTATCTGTAGGGGGTTTACTGAGGACGATTTTACCAGGAGCCACAAAACGGGCCCAGATATCAATATGTCCATCAGTCACCTCGTAGTCCCTTAGCCCAGGAAGCCAAATAATTTTGGATACGCCCAAAAGCCTGTGAAGCTTATTCTCGATCGTCACTCGACTAACATCAGGGTTGCGGTTAGGGTTAAGGATGAAGCTCTCAGTCGAAGGTTCCTTCTCCGTCCGTTTCCAATGCGCCGCCTTCTAGGACAATTGAAGTCTCCACGCGGGGGATTCTTCTGTCAGCGAGAAACTCCTTCGCAAAAATTGTATTTTCATTTAAGGGGTATCGTCCACCCCAGCATTAAAGTGGAAGTCAACCCCGTGCAGAATCTATCGGGGCGTCCCTTCACTGGTCACAAATGTCGGCTCCACGTCGCGCATCCGAAATCCCAAGTCGCTAACGTCAGTGGGTTGGATTTGCCCACCATAGCTGCCAGAGTCTTGGAATGCTCGTTCCGCTTCGGGAACCCCCGTGGAATGCACCAGGACAATCACAGTGTGAAATTGACAAATTGCTTTGACGAGTGCGATCAGTTCATCCTTTATACAGGCTATCTGGCATTTCTCATAATTTGGGTTGTCAGGGCCCAACCAGGACATAATTATCTCCCCATGGCAGGAAGGATGCCCTATGAAGGGCATGTATAATTTCGCGCGAATGGTCAGGGTGGCAGGTAGTCGATGCTAACGCAAGGGATGAGGAACATGGAACAATTACTTTATGACAGAAAAAGGCGCCTATATATTTGTCACGGATCATTCCTGGGAAACTCTCTTTTTCCGTTCCAGTCAGTTTTGGAATGTAACTTTGGGGCCCTTTACCCTGTCGGTTATGTGATGGATGAAATGCATCCAACCTCCCGTTTCATTTCTACATAAGCTACTGCTGAAAGCAGCTATCTTGGTCGTAGAAAGGCCTATAGATAAATACCCTCTACATGTACATTTTGTCTCAGGGAACAATATTATCCATTCTTTTCCCCAGAGGCCTCTCTCATACCACATAACACTTCCCCTCTTGTGAACGCTCACCAAACCTCATAATGGGTGGCTACCTGAGCACCAACCGGACATCCTCGTCCACGAATAACACCGAACACCACGACTCACCACCCAAGAGCGACGCTCCCCTCGAAGCAGGTCAATTCACCTTCCCCCCCGAATGGCATCCTCACCTCGCGACCATGATGGGATTCCCATCCCGAGCCTCCTGTCTAGAATCCTTATGGGAGAAGAACTGCGAAGAAATCGTTGATATTGCCGCTGCAATCGCAGACTTCGAGCTCGTGCGGCTGTATACTCGCCCCGAAGATATTGAATATGCCCAGGACCTCGTCAACCGGAAAGTGCGCATCCCATCAAAGGTGCATGTGATTCCTATCCCAATCAACCACTGCTGGGTTCGCGATACAGGCCCAGTATATGTGCACGATGCTACGGGGAAGCTGGACCCCCGACAGCGGTTCGCTATCGACTTTAAATTCAATGAATGGGGGAACAAGAACGGGTGGGAAGGGACTCATGGTCATTACCGCTATGGGAACCCTTGTATGACATGGAAGCAATTACAGGAGAATACTGAGTTCGCACACAATGTAATCTCTGCTGATCAATCGCCATCACCAGTGCAACGAATTGTACCCAAAATCCGAGCTGAGGGCGGTGGTTTGGTCGTTGACGGAGAGGGTACGCTGATTGTCGCGGAAAGCTACATGGTCTGTGAGCAGCGGAACCCGGGGCAAAGTAGAGATGAGATAGAAGAAGAGCTACGACGCCTCTTGGGCGTTGAGAAAGTAATATGGGTTCCCGGGCGCAAGAATCTCGATATTACCGACTGTCACCTAGACGCCGAGGTGCGCTTCGTCAGGCCGGGCGTAATTGTCATGACGCGGCATAGCCCTGATGCAGTGGACGGGCCAGAGTGGATCAGATGCGGGGAGGAGATCTTGGAGGCCTTGATGGGTGAGACTGATGCCAATGGACGCCCGTTCGAGATATTTTTTATTGACGAGCCGGATCCGAAAAGTCTTGGGATCTTACCCAAGGATGAATTTGTCTCGTCATACCTTAACAGCTACTTCTGCAACGGCGGGCTGATCATCCCCGCGTTTGGATCAGAGACGTACGATCGGAAGGCTTTGGAAACATGGCAGACTCTCCTGCCAGACTGCAAAGTGCGACAGGTTCCTATTCGTACGATTCCGCTTAGTGGAGGTGTCATCCACTGTGTTACCCAGCAAGTGCCTTCACCAGAATCGTAAAATGGCATTATTTTTATATGCGCACTGTCTTGGGTGAAATGCCGGGGTGTGTTTGGTTCTCTATGGTCATGGTATATAGTGTCACTCAAATTGCTTGCCCTAACATTAACCATAGGATTGGACGAATCTATAGTCTTATTGTGTGTTTCAGAAGTTTGTGCCCAGCATCTCCAGGTGTGAGTAGATGGGCTTCAAAGTATTCACTATATGATCATTATTTATACTATTCCCCTCTGAGATGGGTATCCCATGTTCCGGTAGCAGAGGCACTGAAAACCCATTTCAGCCGAGTCATGCGATGTAGCGATGAGCGTGAATCATTTTAGCACCTAGAGCATATTCCAATCCCATCGCGCCATGCTAATTAAATGCATTCATGCAAGGATGGAACAAACGTAAATAAATGGAAAGCTGAGAGAGGATTTAGAGAGTTTAATGGATTGTAAATCCTAAGGCCGACGCGAATTGAGAAAAGCACTGGGAGCAGGGGCTATTATGTAGAGGATCGTTGGCTGTCTGGGTGGCTCACTGAGGTTTGGCCAGAGCAACACCCAGCGCAAGCAGAATAAAGCCGGAGCAGTGTTCGGTGGGGGTGGGAGGCAAAGAAGAGGACCGGCTAGGGATGAGTGCAAGTTCGATAGGACAGAGTTAGGGCACAAGAGATGGGAAAGGCGACGCTGGAGGGGTGGGGGCAGTTGAATGCTTTCTCGCTAACAATGTAACTTTATATGTGGATAGCAAGCTTTGTGCCCAGGCCTGAACCCCTGGTTTATGCCCGAAAGCTTTAGAAGACAGGCCCACAAAACAAATCAAATCCAGGGTCCCAATTACTCCCATCATCTGAGTGAAGTAAACTGTTGATTGTAAAGTCGTTATCAAGGAGTTCCGGAAAGGCCCACGAAACATCGCTGCTGGTTCCAGCATCGTTGACACTCGAGCCTGGCGTGACATACGAGGGGTCAAGGATTTGGTCCAGGATGCGGGTCAGTTTCGCCTTGACCTTCTTGCAAAATCCCAGATTGCCACTGCCGGGCCTAGCTACCCAGCTTAGGCAGGAGATGTAGAGGGTGAGCTCCCGTATTATTTCCGCTCGAGGCAAATTAGGATAAGTAGGACTCAGTACTGATTTGGACGATTGGAGTAACTCCGTCGCAAGAAGCTCCGCACTGGGGAGACCGTACGGTAGGAACTGTAGCGAGCATTAGTTTATCCATGAATGACTAATATTTTCCCAATGTTGCCATTGCTACATACAATGCTGGAAAAGTCGCTTCGGACTTCTCTTGATCTTTCTCGATGTTCATTGATCACGAGGACGGTGGAAAGGATAGTCTTGGCCACAATAAGAAGCTCCTTGGGCTTTTCGCTTTGGCATCCCTGGGCCGCAAACCGATGCAACAAGAAGATTGAGTGAAGATAATCCAGATAGATGGACAAAAGAGCAATAATGTCTTGGCAGGGCATCTGTTCATTCCACATGTCTGGTGAATATTTCATATGGTTCGGGCACGTATCCCAAATTGAATGAAGGTTTTGCAAGATATTGCTATGAGATTATTAACTCGAGTATTGTTAACGGTTCTTCTGTGTACCTCATACCTTGTCCTTCCTTCGATGTCGACATAATTAACCCCCAAATGTAGCTCAAGAATCTCCTCTCGTATTGTCGCCAGAAGGAACCGAAGACGAACTATAGTAGAGGGGCGTCGTTTGCCGTCAGCATTCCACCCATTACTATCTAGCATTTCGAGACCCTCCTCATAATTCGAGGCATCTATGTCATCATCAATGTCCAGTGGCGGCTTCAAGACACAATAATGTCGAGTTAGTGAGGGTGGTCGACCTAGTATTGTGGCAATAGTTTTATCCATAGAATACACTACAGCGAAGCATCTCCTCCGCCACAAGTCAATAAACCCCGGGTACCGTCCCGTAGGGATGTCATACTGATGAATTCCCGTAGCGTAAATACATGAAGAGAGCTCCCCAAGCGACGAGTATAACCAGCGACCTACACGAAATGTCAGTAATGTTCTAACGAGCAATAGGACGTATGACAGCTCCATACTTGAATCACCAAATCTTTGAGAGGCAAGCATCATCTGATAATATTTCAGACAGACCATAAGTTGATTGACAACCGGTAGTGCATTGCTAAGTGGTAGTAGTTGATCAGTGACCTCGAGCATTTCGGCGAGAACCACATCTTTGCTCCTCTGTTGGGGGTCAATACGGGTAGCATCACGCTCGGGGGTGTGGATCAAGCCCATAGTGGCAATCTGTATTATACTGCCAATGGTTTCCCACCTCACATTCTTACCACTGATCCAGTGGCATAGCTCACCAGCATGCATGGCCAATTTGCCGGGGACTTGTTGGTAGGAGTTCTCGAAAACGCGAACAACGGTGCGTAGCCTTGATGGTTCATCTTGGGCAATATAGTCCCCAAAGATATCCCATAGCATCTCCAGCGCGGGTAGCATAAGCACTTCGGGTATAATAGGTGTTCGCCCAATCTGATACACCTGTTTCACTAAACCTCTCACCAGGATTGCATTATCGGCCAGGAAATCCAGGATTCTAAGTCCCAGATCTAGTTGCCGCGGATCAATAGTATACGTTGTACGGTCAGTGTCTGCAACGCCAGGATCACTATCACCAACCCCCTCACTCATCAAGGAGCGATAGCTGGTTGGGCCGAGAAAGCCAGCACTCTCCAGTGGCGGCGTACTCACCACGACCGCCTGGCCATGCGATGGTATCAGCTCTGATGATCCACCTTGGTGTACATCGTGACTATCAAAAAATTAGCCTAATGAGCATCAGGTTCTCAGTCAACCAGAAGAAAAGCGGGAAGGCCCACGATGCGGGTGATCCGGAATTTCTTGGCTTCCGCTGTCCTCTGCTCTTCGTTACTGATATAGGTCGAAATGTTCTTGTCATCGGCGCCGGATCATAGACGCATGGGACATTCTTTTGAGCACATCGACCACATTTGGGCAATGCGTGGTCACATTTGGTTTTCAATTTCCGACACGCTTCGCATGAACGTCGACTACCATTACGACGAAATAAGCTTTGCGAAGTGGAGTCCATAAAAGGGGTTTGTACATATAAATTATACTGTATGAGAAGGCAAAGAAATTAATGCTTGGCCTTGTTCCATGGCGGTTGGTATAGTAGGAATGCATAGCAGTTGGGCGGAAGAATCAGACTGACGGAAGTCCGGCCGGTGGGTCCGGACTAAAATTGCCTAATTCGGAATGGCATTTTGATACTCATGCTCCGGACGGACATCGAAAACCTCCACTCCGCTTGCAGAACTTGAAAACGGTTTGCCTCCTTAAACGTAGTATATAACTATGCTGCTCGTGGCAAATCCAAGTTGGTGCATTCTAATCAATGTCCCTGGTTTTACGCCTAGGTTAGTAAGCCATTCCAACTGTTGCCTAAGTAAAGACCTCGCCATAGAAGAAAGCATATCGATAAACTTTGACTAACTATATGATCATAAAAGTTCTTTACAGGGATCCACCTGTCTTTTCATGCGATGAATGAACACTCTCATCAAAATGCTACCAGGAAAGGGGAAGACCGAGATCTTGAGCAAGCACAACCCGAACATGAGAAGGAGGAGCCAGAAGCGGCGTCGAAACTTGTACAATAGCTAATCCCGATGATCCTTCTCCAAGATAGTGTACTGACAGGTTCAGGTCCAATGGGAAGGCCCTGACGATCCAGAAGATCCAAAAAATTGGAAGACGAGCAAGAAATGGATGGCAGTCATTACCGTGTCGTGTTTTACATTCATATCCCCAGCCTCATCCTCCATGGTAGCACCTGCCCTCAGTACCATGGCGAAGGATTTTCACGTAACCGACGAGATCGAATCTCAACTTATGTTATCAGTCTTCGTTCTCGCATATGCTGTCGGGCCACTTTTCCTTGGCCCTCTCTCAGAGATTTATGGGAGAGTGCCTGTCCTCCAGTTGGCTAACCTACTGTACCTTGTGTTCAACGTCGTAGGGGGTGTAGCAAAATCCAAAGGCGAGATGATCGCGTTCCGGTTTCTTGCAGGACTAGGGGGTAGTGCGCCTCTGGCTGTAAGTTATTCTTCCTCTACATCTCATGATATGGTAAATTGACTCTCGATGGGTATTTAGATCGGAGGCGGCGTACTGAGCGACCTGTTCACCTCAGACGAGCGTGGAAGGGCCATCGCTATCTACAGTCTTGCACCGTTGCTTGGCCCAGCCATAGGTCCCATAGCAGGCGGGTTCATAACAGAGAATACCTCTTGGAGTTGGATTTTCTACGCCACGTCAATTGCAGACGGCGTGATTCAGCTTTTCGGCCTCTTCTTCCTTCGAGAGACTTACACCCCTGTGCTACTAAAGCGCAAAGCAAAGAAGCTTCGCAAGGAAACCGGAGACCCCGGATACCAAACAGAGGTCGAGATGTCCAACAACCAAACAGTCCTCCAAGTCCTGGGCGCTTCCCTTGTCCGCCCATTCAAACTGCTAACCACGCAACCGATCGTCCAATTCATTGCCGTCTACATGGCCTTCATGTACGGCCTAATGTACCTCGTCATGTCCACATTCCCAACCCTCTGGACAGGGCCCTACAACGAGAGCATCGGAATCGGGTCCTTAAACTACATCGCCCTTGGTCTGGGCTACTGGGGCGGGTCTCAGATCTGCGCCATGCTAAATGACCGCATCTACCGCAGACTCAAGAAGAAAAATGGGCAAGGGAAGCCCGAATTCCGAATTCCTCTTCTCGTGGTCGCCGTTGCCTTCACACCCATCGGACTGTTTATATACGGCTGGACCGCCCAGGCACACACGCACTGGATTGGTCCGGATATTGGCGCCTGCATCTTTTCCATTGGTATCATCACTGCTTTTCAATGTATGCAAACCTACATCGTGGATGCTTACACGAGGTATGCGGCCAGTGCGTTGGCTGCGGCAGCTTGTTTACGTTCGCTCGCTGGTTTCGGGTTTCCACTTTTTGCGCCGTATATGTACCAAGCACTGGATTATGGGTGGGGGAATAGTCTTTTGGCGTTTGTTTCCATTGGACTTGGTGTGCCGGCTCCTATCTTCCTATGGTTATATGGTGAGAAGGTGAGGAAGATGAGTACATATGCGGCCGGCTGAGTGTGGCGTGCTGTAGCACGCCTGGATATTCACAGGCCAGCGAGATACGTGGATGACATGATGAGAGCTCATAGCGCAAAATCTAAACACATAGATGGATAGACATACCGTACATATATACATAAATAGACGCCGATAATATTACCTTACGTCTGATTACCATTCCCTCATTAGAGTCCTGAGCATGGAAGCTGGTAATCGAGTAGAAAGATGATTGACGAAGTTGGACTAATCTACCGGTGCAAGTGACAGGCAAAAGCATATAGATCTAATGAAAAGAAGGCGAAACTAAAGTGATGAAAGCCAGCAGCTTGCATAGAGGAACAAGTGTATCTTACATGACATAACGGAAAAGCAGATAGTATACACCCGATATACTAGGCCGAGAAAATATCACAGTTGCCATTCTCTCAATCACGACTCGATTTAATGCATGACTAACACGAATACGGATAAACCGCCAGTGATAACTACTACCTATGCGTATACACTAGGCCGGAAGAGAATCATTGATCATAATAGTATATAGCATAAGATATCGAGCTGTCGGTCCTCACAAGGACTGTCCTTTGGCTCAATATTTAGTCATTGCTACAAACCAGGGGCAATATATACAATGAATGACAATGCCTTATTTACAGTGGCAGATCATTGGCCGGCATCATTTCCATGTCGCAAAGCGAGTATGAGTCCACATCATGCAAGGTTCATAACCTTCTTCAAAGCTTTCAACGAGATAGGTTTGACCATGTAGTCATCTACACCGGCAGCCTGTGCCTCTTGCAGGGCCTCTGCTGAGCCCAACCCGGTGACGGCCATGATGCGCGATGGCGTGAGGTTCCGTTCCTTCTCATACCGTCGAATGTGGCTTGTCGATTGAATACCATCCATTACGGGCATTGATATATCTAGGTTTGTCAGCCAGGACTTTTCGTAACACAGGAATCATGACATACCCATAAGGACATAATCGTATCGTCGACGGGTATCTTTGTATTTATTGAGAGCGATTAATCCGTCCGAAGCAGTTTCGTAGCTGCAGCCTAATTTACGGAGAAAGGTGGACAGGATCTATAGAGCGAATGGTCAATAAACAAAAAATGGTGGTTTAATACATGATAATCAAAGCAACTTACTCTTAGATTGATATCATTATCATCCACGACGAGACAATGTATCGTATCGGTGTTCTGAGGGGCCTGGGGAGGAGGACGGAGAGGTAGTGCTACTCCCACATCTTGTGGAGCGTCAGGACTAGCTGGCAATATAAGCTCCGATGAGGAAGGCTTTGGTAAAACTGCATCGTTAGAAGTGGGAAGGGGATGACTAGGATTTTCTAGGGGCTTTGAATAGAGTTCCTGAGTCCTCTGAAGTACGTCTTGGAACTCGGCTGGCCCGAATGGCTGCGATACCCGGATCGCATTCGGTGGTAGGTCATTTAGGCGAGGTCTGGGACCACTAAGAATGATGAAAAAGTGGATCCCGGTTCTTTCAGAAAGTTCACGGGGTAATTGACCGTCGCATGTCGCCTTAGCGAACTCCTCCTCTTCGATGATAGCCACATCACCCCGAGCATCTTCTATAGACTGCGCTATCGATAGACTCCAACCGGATTGCGCCATCAGCACAGGCGCCAATGCGCTCCGAATGGCGAGTTTCCTCTTGGCTTCGGCAGGCAAGATTCCAGTAGGTGTATCCTTTATGCCTGGATATCCTTCGAACCCAACCAGGCAGGCCTTCACCGGAACGCTCGACGTAGAAGTGGAAGAGGGATAATCGCTGACAAATCGTCGAACAGGGATGTAGATGTCCACCTGTGTACCAACTCCAACCTCACTTCGAACATTGACATGCCCGTCCATGGCGTCAACTAACTGGCGTACGATGCTAAAGCCTAGTCCTAGACCCTCCGACAGGGTATTCTCTTGTGCGAAAGGGGAAAAGAGCTTGTTTCTGAGAAACATCCGATCAATGCCTTTACCTGTGTCTGTCACACAGAGATGAGCATAAATTGATTCGGCGTCAGACTGCTTCACAACTTTCGAAAGAGAGACCTCTACAAACCCAGCACTGGTGAATTTCAACGAGTTGCCAAGGAGGTTCATAACAATTCGTTTCCAAGCCCCCGCCAGGGATTGCACTTTCCATGCGTGTCGTTCCTCAATGCGAACAACAACCGTGGTTTCGCCGGGGGGGCCGTTGTTCTTGGGAGTGTCTAAAGGGTCCACAAAGGGCACAGTCGCCTTAGGTACCCACTGACCAATATATTGAACCCTTGTGACCTCCTCGATCAAATGAGCCAAATCAAACGTCGTCGCCAGACTGCCGTGGGAGGCTTGGATGCGGTTCTCTCGTGCGGCATCCTCTATAGTCAGATTGTTGATCTTGGAAAAGTCTAGCCTGTAGGAACGATAAGCAAGTTGAAGAGAGGTGTTGGAAGCGACAAATATAATCACACTCACAGATGATTCAGTGTATCAAACAAAGCCAAGCCGCATGTTTTTAACATATTCATCCAGTGAATCTGGGTCGGTTGAAGAGCGGTCCCTTCGAGCACTTCTGCGCTGGCTAGGATACCATGTAGTGGCGAGCGAAGCTCATGGCTAACTGATGAGATGAAATCGGATTTTGACTGTTGCGTAGTGGACCAATCGATCCGAGCCAATTCGGAAATAATGGAATCTCCGAGTACTCTCAAGTACGGCAAGTCGTACACGCCCAACGCACGGTCGCTACCGCGAGACCACACCAACGTGCCGGCGACCCACCGTGATTGCCTCCAGCACCATAGGGGAGACCAAAGAACACTGTACGCATCCGGAAGGTGGTGCTGGAGCTGTCGGACAAGGTCACGCAGGGATTTGGAGTTCTCCGCACTGGCATCCCGTCGTATTCCTCCTCCAAATTCACAGTTGTCCTCGTCCATCCGTTCATGGAGGTTGAAGAACTGGCCCCTGGGGAAAGCCGCAATTAACTGGTTGAGAAGTCTCTCGGTAATCGATAAAACGTCAGAACCAGTGGGTGACGGTGTCTTTTGGGCCCAGCCCAGCACTTCACATGGCTTTTCCGCGATTTTGGATAGCGCTCCCACCCCCGGTAGATCAAGAGGACTAGGGAGGGGGTCGGCAAGGAATTCTGGATTTGCTGTGGTGGGTAGCGGTTCCCAACTTCGAGTCTCGTCATCCGATAGCACCCTAGCTCCTTGGTTAGTGATGGATCTAGTGTGGCCTACAATGAATACACTAACACGCCCGAGTTACATCGACTCGCATCAAGGAAGAGTACCCCATCTAGGTCCAGTGAATCCCGCAGGGAGACACTAGCTCGAGTAAAGACATGAGAGATTTGGTCCGCGTTTCTCAAGCAGCGTTTGACCGACACCGTGGGCTGTTCGTTGCTTTCCGAGGCAGTCTCCTCTGCTGGCGTTGGTGCTGCGGACTGCGATGAATTGTAAAGGAAGGATGACGTCTTCGTTTGTTCGGAGGACGTTACACCTGAAAACAGCGATGACAACTCAACCTCGGACGCAGTCGACCCGCTCATAATCGGACCCTCCGTATTTCCAAAAGCCCCAGCACCCGTGGTGGGGAGAGTCAGTGACGGCTGATCGCGAGGAGAGTTGAGTGTGCTGAGCGTTGATTGTCTGCTGATCGGGAGAGGCACCTCGGCCGGGTCGAACTCCCCATGGTCCTTGACGAAATTCGTGAGGCCTTTAATGAGTTTCTCAGCGCGGTGATGATCAATGGAGATGCGGACTTTGTCAAGGTGCAACGCTACCGCATCTGCAATCTCTTTCAGGGCGTCCACCTCTTCTTCCGCAAAGTGCCCTCGTGGTTTGTTGTCCACGACACAAAAGGACCCCAACACGACCCCGGATGGGCTAAGGAGTGGCACCTCGGCGTAGAAGCGGAAGTAGGGCCACCCTACTACATATGGGCGATCGTTGAAAAAGTCCTCTTCGGTAAAATCATGGACAATGAAACGGGAGCTGTTGGCGATCATATTCGGCGTCTCGACCGCCTTGGACATATCCTGGCCGGTGAACAGGGAGATGGTATGCGGACACACCCCCCAGGCCAGATCGATCGTTCGCACACCAAGGTAGATGGCATCATCTGGGAGATGTCGATCCTTGTCACGTAGCGAGATGGAGCCCGTGGCCTCTGCGATTATATGCTGATTCCCATCGTCGATGATGGAGATAAAGGCTCGATTGCATCCGAAGCGCAACACGGCCAATTGGCTCAGGGCGGTCAGGGTAATATCTGAGGACAAACGAGGTGACTCCTTGTCGGCATCTCCTTCTCCTGCTGTTGTCTGTTCCCCTTTGTTGGGCTGCGACAGAGAGGGGATGCGATCGAGGGTGCAGTAATACCTGTGTTGTTACCGACGATGGAAATGATCAGCGGATCAACACCCGACAGAATAACTATGGCCCAGTGCTATATGCGTGCCTTGTCGTTAACTCACCTGGATAACTCTCTGATCCTTTCACGTTCGGCATCTGTGGGGGGAGGCCGCGGAAAGGAAGCTGCCATCCTCACATATCTTCCAAGCGGAGTGTGTTGTTGTGATTGTGGAGGAAAGAAAGAGAACGCCCGGAAAAAGAAGTTGAAACTCTTGGGAAACCTGACTGCCTGAGGCCGGAGTGTAGGGTCCTGAGGTGTAGTCCAGGTTTTCCCATCGCCTGATTGGTTAGCATTGGGTCTAGACTCATCTGGAAACATGGAATCAAGAAAAACGTGCCGGGCTGGAAAGCCACCCAATCACCTGACATACGTTGCGCTCGCTTGCGGATTCGATGACGTCGATTCTCCCGCGTTTTATACTGTTGCTCCCCCACATCGCCCCTTCACAACGGTTGCCACTTCGGCCGAAGCACGACTTACTGTACAGTTCCTGGCTAATGCAATGCTAAGTGTTGATCAAACAATTAGTGACCTCTACTATAACTAAAGGTGTCTAGGATCCTTCTATAGCCAAGCCGCGGCAATACTTCTGCTCTTCAATCACGTGATCCGTAGATGCCTGAAGGAAATGAGGTGTTTCTCTTCCTCACTGTCAATATTGCTGTACGACTCAGTCTTGCCAGTTTTATAACTCTCTATACTTACCTGAGGTCATGCGGTGAAACTATGGTAAAAGGCATGCCGTGCAGACTGGAGTCATTGATCGCTTTAGTGTCTCCAACTGTCAAAAATATATAACTCTCTAAACCCCACCATGACAGGACCAACTTTGCGCAATGAATGTGCAGCACTTGGCGGATAGACTTCTTTTCCTCGATGATAGATGTAGCCCGTACTAGCACTGGTCATCTTCCTTCAATGAGACATTGTAAACAAAACCATAACTTCAAAGAATGAACAAAGATGCCGCGGAAGAAGACCTTAAAGAGTGCTTGTATCAACTCTAGTACGTGAGATATGAACTTGGAGACATGCGACATTTTATATTTTCTCTCGAGTCTACGCCTATGATTTGGAAAGTTCCATCCCGTCCCCAGTAACAATGTCTAGGGTTTTACAAGGTTTCATAGTCCTTTACTCTGGTAAACGTTATCACAATAGTAATGTCCCTCCTTCATCGGATTTCTTAACTGTGTAGAGCCACTACACGTGGTAGAAGTACCTTGTCATACGGAGAGTTGCACTATCCAGGACGAAGGAGATTGCACACAGAGTCCATTTATGATGTATAAGTATCCCATCGACAGCCTTCTGAGTAGAGGACACAACGCCTCGATATCTTTCCATATAACCCTAAAAATTCAACACCACTACGAAGGACCCAACCTCACAACGTCTTTACCAACCCGGTCAATCAGCCTCCAAGATTAACAGGATGGTACTCATCTATATCACCGTTCGCTTCAATCCCCATTACAGGAGCTGGGATACCCGGTTGAGGTCCATACACAGCCACGTTAAGCGTGGCCTTTTTCGAATGTCGTGGCATGAGCTTCACGACCTCCCGCATGATACTCTATGTAGGGGGATCTCTATAGATAATTCCTGGACGGGCTGCGATCTTGGAGATACCCAGCTGCATGAGGTTGTTAGATGTCAGGCGTTGGAGGAAATTTCTGCAGAATATTATGGAGAAAGTGCCGAGCAGTGCATTTTCAGGACTATGAATGAGCATATGTATACTGCAAGAAGGGCTCTGAACCGAAGTCGACATCACGAGGAGAGATAGCGGCTCTAAGCATATGGTTGCACGGGTTTGAATTTAAAGTGGCATGTCTAGACGAACTGCTGCCAGTTTTGATGAATATGAATACATGTTAAACCAAATCAACTATTAATTATAACAACCCAGGCCACAGAAATTGGCACTAACCAGGGGTAAACAATATAAAGAGGTGAGCTGATCAAAGTTTCCTCTGTGACGTTGGTAGATGACAATTGTTTTTGAATGAACTAGACATTGTTTTGACTCCGAAGAGTACGTAAGTAATGTCCATCTCAAACTTTCATATTATCATCGTGGGGGCTTCCAGTTCATAGCAAATGACGGAACTCTTTCTGGAGACTGGGTCTCCCGAATGCAAACAACCCAAGCATTTGTGCAGGCTTTTTATGTCGCTTCGACACCTGCCATCTAGACCAAGTCTCGGCTCAGATTGACGTTTCTGATGAGAGATAGCTTGATAATGAGCCCGCTGGCTTCTCCAGAACCATTCACTATCTGCCTCCAGAGACTCTAAATACCGCTTGAGAGAATGTGTGATACAGCCTTTGATTAAGGTGGGCCTAGATGCGAGGCAGGTTGCGGCGGATATAAATAATGCCTCCGGTATAACTCGATGAAATGTCTCAGAATTGCACGGATGGCGCGAGTGAAGTGTTGTCTTCACAATAAACGATCATGGATGGGTGTGCCTATAGTCTCAGCATCATGCTGCAGACTGACTTCCCAGAAGATGGCAATAAGTTGGATGCCCGGCGTGGGCGTTGAAATTCTGTTCGGATTTGGATGACTTCTTCATTGAACGTACTCCTCTCGGTCTTATGCGCCATGACCTTCGTGATGAAGCGCAATATGACCCCAGGGATGCTATAGTTGGTGTTGGTGAGCCCAGTATTCAAGAGCCCCGTATGCCATGGCGGCTGGTTCACCCGATGCCCGTGACCGCAAAATCCTAACATAGCGTTTGACTGCTTGGAACAAGTCTCATAACCTATTTATACTCTGTTGGCGAGCACTTTTGGAGAGCAGTTAGTATAAGATGAGTGACAGTATCCATAGAAGAGTGGACATCTTGGAGCCTCTTCATTAATTCAATACATGATTGAATGTCTCTCATAGTCACCCCTTGCTTCAAGGGAGAGGAGGTCTGTACTTCCGCCAGATGGATTATCATTGCAATCAGAATAGTGGTGGAGCCGATAATCGGGAGCGAGTGCAGAACATTCATCTGGTCCAATTCGGTGGCAATCTCCGTGATCTGTGTAGCAGCATGTTGCATGCGGGAGGTTGACGAATGGAATATTCGAGACTGATAAAGAACGCAAACCACCCCGTGATAGACCATGTGCAAGACGTTGCGGTGTAAGGTGACTATTTGGCTTTCACTGCTGCCGATCCCAGATACTGTTGGTGGACGTTGACATATGGGTGGCAAGCAATACTCCCAGTCTGCCAATGCCTTCTGAGACATCCAAATATTGGTGAGATAATCTGAGTGGTGTTTGTTCGGAGTATCTGGTGTCTTGGAGGTAGTCTCGGCAGATAATTTCTCTGAGTTGCACCTGGCCTGCACGTTTAACACTCTCCTGATGCACAAAGATAACTGAGCCTGGGAAACACAGATATCGGCCAGGTACCTTTGAACCTCTTGACGCCGAATAAAAGTGCACCCCGGCAGAAAGAGCTGGCTCTCGATGGGGATGTGGCCGAAGTCAAAGTCATCTTCAGTTAGCATGGAAAGGCTGAAATCGACACTCCTGATTAGTGGCAAGCATCTTAGTCTGAGCGAGATTAAAGAGTCCACGACGTAACATGTCCAAGCAATTCTTCTGTGAAGCTTTTGATTGTGGTGTCCAGCATAACCGCTGGGAAGGTCTCGAAAGAGCCCCAACATTAGTGCCAGTGAAATGGCAACCTCAATCCAATATCGACTATCTTTCCCATCTGTAGCTTTGGCACGGTGTGTCATAAGAAGCAGAGCTTGAAGATTAGTGAGTGGATCCGATTCGTAATGCGACTGGTATAGAAGCTATAATGTGGTTAGCTCGGACAAAGCTTCGTGAACTACGTTGAGAGCCACAAACATTTGCTCTTTGGAAGAATGCTTCATGAGCTTCTTCACGGCTCGAGTAGCCAGCTTTTTGAAGGTGGTCAAGGTTGACGAAGGTCGTTGCCGAGAACATGATTGCCTGGAACAGAAGCAAGCTAATCTGGCCTTGACTACCTTCTTTGTTGCTCACAATACTGGTAAAGGTCTGCCAGTTTATGATGGGCATACTCGGTAACACACATTCAAAGAATGTCTGTAACAGGGCTTGTTGGAGTGGAAAGCTTGGCAGGGTCAACGCCCCTTGTAGTAGAAGATATTCATATTTGTCTTCACCTATCGTCGTGCAGATTGGCCTCACAAACCCCTGCAAATAGTTTGCCGAGCATGTCTCCGGACAAGACGAGGGTGACTGAGGAGTCAAATCGATGAACAAGTTCCTGGAATCCTCTTCCAAATGGTCGAGGAGTATCTCCATTGTCGACGGCCGAAGTTTCAGTGATTTGGAGGTAGGTACAGGAGCTTATGAGCTGAAATCTTTGTAGCAGATCAATGAAATGGGAGATACTTGATAGTCTCGCTCTGCACCCGCAAACCCATTGAGGGCAGATGGACTGCTAACATATCTTTCCTGCTAAAAGGTGTATGGGCGAAATGGCTGACTTGTTTGAGAAATACGCTACAAGAAAGTTAGGGGATATAACGATCTCTGCTTCGACCACCCTAGAGCTTTGCCGTTGTCGGGCAGGGGTATTGATTTGTCAACACGGAGAGATTAAACAGCCGATAGTACCTCGGAGTCGCTGGTGGAGCTCCCCCGTATCTACTCCGTCTCCGAGGACGTGCAATGTGGAGGATGGAGTCTGGGGGAATCCCAAGGGTGTGATCATTGCGGTTAGCTCTCAAAGCTAATCTTGATTACAGAGCCTAGCCGGCTGCGTCGAGAATCGAGATACCAATTGAGTTCAGTCCTTGAAGATTAACTCTTGAATTCGCGCCAAGATTTGTAAGACACGACGGAACCGCGGATCTTAGGAGTTAGAATACGGAGTAGATGAAGGAGGGTGTTAGCATCATGAGCACTTTAAGGTTATAATTTTCCAGGTATCACTAATTTACTATAGTCCGTCAATAAACCCTATATGAAGACACTACTTGCAGTCCATGTATGGGCTAGCTAAATGGTAAGTTCTTGTATTTGAAGCCCGCGGGTACCGAGGTAAGGGTTTCCTTGTTGGGACTAGCTTGAAGCTGAGTTTGGTATTGCTTGCGAAGACAAGGCATTGATTTCATCTGTAAACGGTTAGCGTATCCATAGATAAGCTCGATTATCCTCTTTCGGCATAGCCCCAGAACTCTATTTCTGTCCAAGGCGAGTTCGGGTTTGGTATAGTGAGTATCGCATCAGCCCTAACCTAACGTGACAAAAGTCTTTTCCAGCGTGGGCAGCTACCACTTTGTGATGGCTCAAAAAGAAATGCTGAGATTACCAGTTCCCTAGGGCTAGTTGAGGCTTTTACAATGTGATTGGGAATTAGTATGTTGCCTAGAAAGCTAATGTTTTATATGGGCAATTCTGGGTGACGAGGCTACGGAGTATATAGTACCTTGTTCTAGATTGGGTTAGCCAAGAAGCAACTGTATAGATCATGTTCATTCTAATTCATTCAACATGATATCATATTTGACTAGGAGTGGTATGTTAAACGTGGTGAGTCAGGACGTAACACGTCCGATATAGTTGGATAGCATAAGCCAGGCGTGAGAGTAACATTTTCAAAACTATATGAACAACAAAGCGAGATAGAGTTTTGTGGATCATTTATGGATCAGGTGTCCAAGGCATGACCTTGACGCCGTATGACTTTTTCGGTCGAGTGGTATTGAGATAATTATAACTTGCTCTGCAGGGGGCGATCATGGTAAAGCCTGTGAATTCCTTCAATTGCCAGCACCGACTCCCGTTCGACACGACGAACTAGATCTTCACACGTGGGAATGTCCTGGATCAGTCCAACAGCCTGGCCGACCGTCCATACCTAAAATTTCAAATTGTGAGCTTCGATGGGTTCCATAGTAAATTCGATGGTCCAATAACTCACCCCATGATGAATATCTCCATTCAGAAACACCTGTCGACCACGCTGACCATTAACAAATGGCGCAATGTCAGAAAACTCGCCTGACGCCGATTCTTTCTCGATTTTCAGCACAGCCTGAGTGACTGTATTTGCAAAATAACGACTAGTATTCCTCCATCGCCGCATAACCAAGGTAGTATCCGTTTCCTGTGCATGGACAATAGCCTCCTTAATCTTCTGGTGGATAGGAGCTTCGACCGTGCACAAGAACCGAGTACCCATATTTATACCTTCTGCCCCAAGCGCCAGAGCAGCAGCCAGTCCCCGCCCCTCCGCAAACCCACCTGAGGCAATAAATGGCACCTTCAGCTCTTGGCGAGCGCGCCCAAGGAGAATGAAGCTTGTTAAATCATGCTCGCCAACGTGGCCGGCACATTCGAAGCCGTCGATGGAAAGAAAGTCCACACCCAGTTTAATGGCCGACTTCGCATGTCTAATCGTAGTGCATTTATGTAGGATGATTATGTTTGCCTTCTTGAGTTGTGCGATGATAGGCCCTGGATTGTGACCTGCTGTTTCCACGATTTTCACTCCCTCTTCTGCTATGACGCGTGCGTAGGCCGCGTAGTCTGGGGGATTAAGAGAGGGGAGTAGGGTAAGATTTACCCCGAAAGGTTTGTTGGTCATGGATTGGCATTTTCTGATTTCTTTTCGTAAATCGTCAGGAGTACTTTGTGTTAGTGCACTGAGCTGGATTAAGAATAACAGAAGAAACCGTTAGAATATGGATCAATATGAGGGAAGGTATTCGGAAGGAGGTAGCACGTACTATACCCAATCCACCGGCATTACTGACTGCAGAGGCTAGCTCCGCATAAGCAACCCATTGCATACCCCCTTGAATGATCGGGACTTAGGAATGGTGAGCAACTGTTTAAGTGGACAGGGGGAGCATAGATTACCTGCAATTCCCAACTTGCGGGTCAACGCGGTGTTGAAAGGCATCTCGAAACAATATAGATTTATTATGAGAGGCACGGTAGCGACGCCGTTTCAAATGGATTAACAGAGGCTCTGGTAGACAATAAGTGCGAAATTGTTCGAAATAGTGAGACACTTCGTAATAGTAAAACGCTTGTTGGAAGTCTGGGAGGGAGCCAGTTAAATGTCCAGTTACTTTCTACACCATCTTGTAATCTTTGCTGAAGCTGTACATACTTATTGGGTCTACAATACGGTTAGCCGCGGTTCCACACAAATCTCTATCTTAATAACGTGAATATAATCTAGAGCCATGCAGTTGTTTTCCTGAAAGTCTCATTCTGTAGTTTCTATGTGTTCGCTTCCACAATAGGGAAATGTCGCGCCGGAAATAGGGTTGCGTCAATTCGGTGCCCGCCGCAGGGAAAAGAAACCCCCATGGATTTTATTCTTGTGGCCAATAGGTATACTGGCTCATGGAAACGGACTTGTGTGGGCCGGCTTTGAAATCAGAAGAGTCGAGAATGTTGGTGTTAACCTTTCACCACCGTAAGGTGTTGGTATATCTGTACTGAAATATCCTGTATAACCAGATGAATTACTAGCCACCTATGGTGTAGTGCGTGGCAGGATTACCGTAAAACAACTTTTCCAGAATTGGATTCTTTACGAATACTTTTAGTGCTATGGCACGTTAAGCTTCAAATCAGAATAAGGTTGATGTAAAGTAAACGATCACTTCGTATATTAGAATGACACAGAATAAGAGCTTTAAGATTGGCCCTTCCCCCCACCCCCCCAATAAGATTTATCGAACTCAAGTCATGCACATGGAGAGCTGATCGACAAAGTAAAGTCCACCACAACGTGAATTTTCCCATAAATGGACTAGTGCTCATCATTTACAAGTAAACCTACTATATTAAAATTGACACCCCGAGTTGCGCAGCATGGGAGTCACTGTCCCCAGATCTGCTTATTTTTCTACTCAGTACTGAGTAATGGAAGTCCATCTCCAGTGGCCTCGGTCCCCTAAAGCTTCCGGGTAACTAAAGTTCATACTAACCAATTAGAACTTAGGCGCCTGGATTGGCTCTGACATAGGGTTCAACCTGGCTCCACCTGTACCTCGGTCTAGATGGATGTATGATCTCTACTACATTTCCGATTGGTAGACTTACCTCGGACATGTAAACGCCAGAGCTTATAGGCTTTACTTGGAGACGCTCTCGTTCAGTAGGGGGCATACGCGTTTCAGTTCACTCGTGTGGTCGAGGTTTAATCCAGGACAAATATAAGACGCAGGTAATAGTGTATGTAATGAATATTACAACAAAGGCTATTCTGACAGGAGAGAAGCGGGGTCAAGGAATGAGGCAATAGATGCTTATACAATTTGGGAGGGGTAAATGAAGAAATCTAGCTAGAGAAAGAGAACATTCTTATGAGTTTCTCAGTGTTTGTAGATATTCTTCCACGGAGCTATGGGGGTGTGAAAATAGATGGGTAATCCGTACGCCAGCGAAGCTGGACTCCTCCAAAAGCTAGGCAAAGCCATGACAAAGTAAGGGCCAACCTTACATGCCCTACTCTACCTCATCACTCCTGTGTCGATAAAAAAGAACATAGTAAACAAAACTGACCATGACAACACCAACGGCAACTAATGCCGACCAATTCATAGATGACAGAGTCACGGGAAGAAGCAGTGGAAATGACACCCAAGTGATCGTCCACATACACCAGATAATTGCAATTATAGGCAACGGACGACCCCACTTCCCCAGATTAAGCCAACGCTGTAGATCAAGTCGTTGCCCCGCCACTCACGAAAGGTGAATACGACAATCCAAGAAAAGCCACAGCACAGACTTGCCCCTGCTAGGCCTGCGTTCAGAGCGGTAGTTGACCCAAGTTGTATGGCTCCGATTGCGATGCCCAAAACAGTGCTTAAGATCGGAGCGTTGAAAGTGACACCCTGGGTGGTTTTTTCGGTGGAATTAGAAAATGGAGGACCGTTAGTTCGTGAGAAGGGCCAACACAACCGACTGTAGCTTACCAAGGCTGCCCACCAGCCGATAGTGAAACTCACCAGGATCAATGCGCCCGCAATCACAGTAAGCGCTTTAGATGCGTGACCATCAGACAGCAGCTGGATCAATAGTTGGCTGCCTACCGGAGAGAGCATAGTCTGTGGATTGACGATGCAAAAGAGGTATATTATCATCGTTGGAATGGCCGCCAAATAGTGCAACAGTGCTGAACCAATCATTACCCGAGGCACATCGCAAGTGGGCAGTTTGCGTTCCTCTGCCATATGTGTTGCAGCGTCGCAGGTGCCGAAGGCGACCGGCCCGGGCATCACTTTCAGGAAGAAAACCACCGCAGTTGAACTCCAGCTTGAATCGGTAGCAATATTCACAAATACAGCAGCCGCACTTAGCTTGGCGTTGGCGCGGACTAGTAGTGCGATGAGGACGACAACTGCAGTTTATGTACCAAACCAATAAACCAACTCCCCCTTTCCTTTGAAGTGACTTGTGGAAGTAATCCCTGTCTTGGTCGCGGACAGGGCACGACTCAACAACAAACACGCATCTAGTGAAGTACTTTTTAAAGATTCAAAGATAGCACGAAGCTATATTGCACAGAATAGGCAGGATTGGGTATAATATGTAGACTTGGTGTGAGGTCGACTTTAAATGGTGAGATAATATGGATGTTGTTTGAGAAGTGGTGGTGGATAACTGATGATATAGCTAGCTTCAATATGTGCAGGACAGGGCAAAAGGCATATCACTCAAGTGTGTGTACTTGTATCCAATATACCATGAGAAATTAAGTATATCGCGTATCCTTAAAGTCAAGGAGCTCCGTTTTGTTATCCAAGTAAAACTCCGATGAGTATGCCAGGTGTGGCGTTGTAAGTGGTATATATGCCTGACCTAAGCTTTTGAAAGGTCTGTAATGACATCCACAAATCCCTGCGCATCTACATGGTTCTGCAGTCAGTCACACATTGGGTCAAGTGAAGGAATTACTCACCAGCGTCTGTTGTAAATTGTATTACATACTCCCCATCCCGTGTGCGCTGCGGGCTATTGTCAGAGAAGTTGAATACTATTTTGTGTAATTCGCGCAATAAAACGAGAGTTGGAGGCATCAAGCGGATCCATCCTTCGGACTTCATATGCTGGGTGATAAAGGCTGTCCAGACTGGAACACTGTGCATCTAATTTAGTAGGTAAGCACGAATGTGCTACAGTGCCCACGTACTATTTCATCTCCCCACGATACATCGAGGCCTGGAGTCGTACAGCCCGAGAAGAGCCGTCCTGGTATATTCGCAGGGCGTGTAAATCTTTTCCAGCAAATATTAGGCTGAAGGAATAGTATTTTATTAGCATACTAGATTCTTTCACCTTTCTCGAGCTGCACGTACCCTCCGTATAGCTCATTCTCCATGTCCAGCTCATAATCTCTGATCCGCTCAACCGGTCGACCACGGTCTTGGCTACGGAGAGCTAAAAACGTGCTGAAAAAACAAACCATGCCTGTACCATTCAGGAATTAGTGTATCTACAAGGTATCGCCGCATTTATAAGTCAAGCACGCACTTTCAATTGTCGTGAACTTAAGATTCAGCCAGAGCACAAGTTCCTGCCCTTGACGCCTGCGCCGACACAACTGAAGACAGGAGCCAACGCGAACAATCTCAAGCATATCCAGCGGTAGGCAGTAATAATCGTGGGGTTCATTCACGGAAACCCTTTCGCATAAGATTCGTACACAGTGGTCAAAGTCTCGGACGTAAAATGAAACTAGGGTATCCCGTTGGTCAGGGAAAGGCCTGTATAAGTTGTTAAAAGACACAAACAATTAAAGACAGAAAACATCGGTGTGCATAAGGGCGGAAAGCGGCCAAGGCCTGCGGGTGAGATGTATTGTAACATACAATTGAAGAGCCTGTCTAAAACCCTCGTAATGAAGCCATGTCTTCACATCAACTTGCGGCTCACCGAAGCATTCAGAGCTAAGTCGTTGATGTTAGCGCCTATATTCTCTCATACAAAGATCAGATATGTCTAACCTTTCTCCAGTCTCGGGAATTGGGGTAGATGAGGTATTGGTTTCAAAAACTGTTTTTACCCAGTGATTACTGACGGAACCTGGTTGATCTCTACTCGAATCGTCATCCACAGAGTCAGGGCCATGTGGGTTGGAAGCTGTAGGGGATGCAGGGCCCACTTTCAATGTAGAGCGGGAGGTCTGGCTGTCCTGTAGAGATTCGATATGTCTCCGCAGGTTGGCCATCAGCTTTCCATCCGAAAACCCTCTGTCATTGCAGAGTTTAGTTAACAACGTATCGTTGAATTAAAATGGGGATGGCATGGAGGCATACTCGTTGCTAATATTCGCTAGTTCACCTAGAAAGGCTTTGTATATAGCCAGACGATTTGCAAGTGACCCCTGGGACTTGTCGTAGAAGTACTTACACATCACGGTCCACGTTCGCTGGTATTTGTCCCTATCCGATCCTTGGCGAAGGTCGATGTCGCCAAAGAAATCGAAAATATCATCCAGTGTTTTTTTCAAACTAGTACGGACTAATTCTATATCAGACTCTGCAGAGGCAATATTTTGTTGGTGGATTCCGTTTCCTAATATCGTACTATAACCCCTTAGTGAGCTCGATATAGAATAAAGATCCGAAATAAGAATAGTAATCTCTGTTGCATGCTCTGGGAGAGGCTCGCGGAGCATGCGAAAGCCAGCCGCAACATCTTCTACATTGTCGGCTGATGTGAGTAAAGCACCACTCAAAGACTGTGCTGCAGGAGAACTGGAAGCTGGATGCTGCTGGTTTGGACCCTTATTGGGTGTCCCAGACCGCTTGTCAGAAAGAGCCTCACTTCCAGGTTTCTCCAACTCAAACTCGGATTGTATTCCGTCATTTTGAGAGCGCTTTATGTGGGATATATCACTTCCCCAACCTACGGGCCCGACTGACGCGACATCAGATTTTGGTTCATCATCATAAAAGCCCTTGATATACAGTATATCACCTCCCCAACCTCCAGGCTGACCTGAGTCGATATTAGAATTTGGTTCGTCATCATGAGAGCTCTTTACATTGGGTATATCACTTCCCCAACTTATAGGCCCGAGTGAATCAACATCGGAACCTGGTTCGTCATCATCAGAGTCCTTTCTGTAGGGGATATCGACTCCCAAACTTTCAGGTCTCCCCGAATCAAGCTCAGAATATGCTTTGCCATTATCAGTGTCCTCTTTAGAAGACACATCGTACTCACCACTTCCAAAAGAAAGGGGACCGTCTACCTCTTTCAGGTTGTCAAGTTCAACTTCCCAAGAAAGAACCGTGTCAACGTCACTAGAATTGGAGGCTGCCGAGCTGCCTCCAAAGTACGCATTCTGTTCGAAGTATTCAGAAAGGTAGCTTCTCCTTTCACGAACTGGCCTCTCCTCACTTGGGTTGACTGACAAATTGTTCTCGACGAGCCAATCACGGACTTTGTTCGTGCTGTACTCTATTCGCTCATCAGTCTCTTGCCCATTATCATCAGCCCAGGGCAATGCCCGCAGTGAGAAAGCGTGTATCTCCTTGGCAATATGGTCTAAAAGCACGTCTTTATCAACTTCTCCGTCTTCGCCTTCGGGCCAGGTGCATAATGGACACGAGGTAATCTTGACCGGGGCTGATCGTTTGCAGAGAGGTGTCAGAAGTGGAATCCGATCCGGTGGTATTGTCGACGCGTGTTGTATTCTGATGTGCATAGTAAACTCATTCTCCGAGTACAGTTGCTTTTTGTCAGTGCAAGCAAAGCAGATGTAATATTCGAAACTGGAATGCTCTGTCAGAAGATGCTTTCTCCAACTCTCTTTGGTGCTATAGAGAACATAAGGGTTGCTGCATCCTGACAGGATACAGCTATAGGGGCTAACATCGTCTGCGACGTGTTTCCTAGTTCTTGATTTAGTATCTATATTCGGCCAAGGTTAGGCTACTCACATCCACCTATTTGTTTCCAAAAAGAACATTGGAAGTGCCACGCAACAGCAAGGACATCGAAAAAGTTGTGCCTCCTTGCTAACTATTGGGGGGCGTGGGTATTCGAGATCAATCACGGTTGACGACATTATTGTCGATGTTGCCGGTGCTGGCACTGGGATTCCATCTAACAGGTACGATTCGCTGACTGCAGATGCGCTCGTTCCTGTTTTCCCATCTCCCTGCCCACTCGACATCTTCGCATTGGCTGCGCCAGGTCTCTGATCTTTCAGTCCTGGTTGTGGATCGGTCGGCTTCATATCAGTAACCGGTGTTGTGAACTGATCCATTGGAGACAAAGAGTCCAATCCCTTCGAGTGCTGCTGTGCATACAGGAAGCGATTACGGCGTTTCAAATTGCAATGAATCAACCGTTGTTGAACTTCAGTCAGCTTTGAAAGCTCGATTCCGTCTTTCGAGAATTCTGGGCGGGCAAGCAAGATGGTGCTAAGGTGCTGTTCTAATTCTTTGTGGCCCTCTGGCCTGAAGCGCTGGTCTGCCTTTTGCAAACGCGACCGTCTGCCTGATTGGCGTATGGAGACCCCAATTCTTGCAAGCTGATCCAGCATCATCTCTACATTCTGCATTCCTTCGTGCAGGGGATTGCGCGTAGAGCCTAGCCGGGATTCGTTGTCCTCCCGCGAGTCAGAGTCAGAGTCAGTCGACCAGGGGGAGAATGGCCGTGGTGGAGGCTCCTGTGGTGCGGGAGCGCTCTGACTATTTCTAAATTCCGGCATGGAGTGGTCAGGTCCGGAGACTGCTTGTCTTTTCAAGTCATTAACAACTCCCGCGAGCAGTTTCAATAAGTTTTCTATGACCTTGCGTGCTTCTGGCCTCGCTATCAGCCTTGAGTCGAGAGATGCTCGTCCCCGAGCTGAAGCACCGACCCCAGAGATCCACAAGTTGAAGTCGGCCAGGCGGTTCTCGGTCCATTCGTCCGTCATCAACGCTTCGACTGCCAGGCATTCTGTGAAGCTCTGGAGGCATGAGGCAGTGGCCTTGGAGATAGCCATCCTGACGTAAAAGTACGTAACTCAATGTCTCGTCCTGTTCGCTTGGCTACTGTCATGGTGGGAGATGTACAGCGGCTTCATAAATCCATGGTGATCCAGGAGGGGTATGCATCTAGTGGGATCACGTGCTGTTTATCTCATACTTACTCCGTCTGGAGAGCCGATCTTCTTCCCCTAAACCGTCATACCCACTAGTATGGACCAGGTCTAGCGTGATCCACTGGCGTCAAAGCCTCAGCGGTCAGGCACAGGCGGAGGAGGTGACCCAAATCCCCGCACTTTGTTATATGAGAATGAGAACAAGAGTCGAACAAAGAGGAACCATGGCACAACAATCAACATACATACTCGCTCCGAACTTTCATTTCAAACCCGGAACAGGACCCATAGCGCTAGGCAACATCATCGCCGACCCATTACGACCACATCGCACGCTAACTACCGTCGATGCCGGGATTCTCAAAGCCAGATACCCACCGGTCGAAACATTTACCCATTATGAATATAGTACATCTCGGGGTACAAGTCGGAACAATTCACTGAGTGTTTGGGGACAGTTCCTAGGAACCGTTGGCGCAAAAGTCTCGGGTGAACATGGGTCGAGCCTACATAACACATACACAATGGATGCTCTGGAGACGAAATATTTTGTCGGTGATCCTGCGCTTGAAGAGCTTGAGGCTCGGTTGAAGGCGCCCCGTGTGCAGGCTGTGCTCAGAACAAGCAGTATACCAGGCTTTAGGTACCCGGTGTATATGGTGACCGGGTTAATGGTAGCGAAGGGATTCGCCGTGACCCACGAGACAGGTAAAAATAGAGGAGCCGAGCTTGGGGCCGAAGGGTCCGCTCCCACCCCTGCAGGTCAGGCTGGAGCTGGCATCAATATCGCTCGATCACGCTCGATAGAGCAAAGTGAGGAATGGAAGGCACGTGATGACATTGTCTTTGCGTATCAATTGCTGAAGATTGAAGTAAGAGGGTGGAAGGGAACAAGGATCGAATACGATGAGCTTAGGCATAAGGCAGCATATTTAAGTCACGAGGCGGTAGAGGAATATCATGAGGAAGACGAGGAGGATCTGGGAGAAGTGACAGTCACTCAGACGAGTCTGGACAATCTCCGGACTTTGCAAAATACTGGTGGACTCAAGGCTGTTGAGTTGGGGGAAAGTGAGTATAGAATAACTTGTATCTTTCCACCTGATCTTTGAAATCTACCAGGAGTTGCTAGCTCACGGAACTGGCACGAAGCCTGCACAGCAGAGGACTCACATGACCTTTTATTACACCACCTAAATTACTAAGATTATTTAAAAGATTATACTAGACTATTTAGATTACCTAGATCACCTACCCTAGTTGAATAGGCTGCGCAGGTATTACAGCGTACTTAAATAATCTACAAATCTAGATATTGCAGTGTATTCAAAGCTCTAGAAATCTAGGCCACGCAGGCAATTCAACCCTCTAGAAACTGGTTAGATTACGGGAGGTAGACTCCCCCGATCACCTAAATAGAACTTGAAATGATTAACTTATATAAGACAAAGAGGAATGACGTAACTAACTCATGAATTCTCGCCCACTTAAACCCAGAACTGTGGACCAATCAGAACGCATATCCGATCGAGCAGTCTGGTATATTGCTTGCTACGCTTCGCTCCGCTGCGGACTAACCGTGTTCATTTTCTTTTCGAGTTGAGCCAAACCTGGGTACAATTGATCCGGGGTCTCTGTATATTAGTCGACTGACTGAGCTAATGTTGCTGTGCCGAAAGCCTCATCACATACTAGCGAGGGCTGCTAGAAGAATCGCTAACCGAGTTTGGTCTACTTGACCCATGAGAGCCCATGGGGTCAAATATAAACAATGGTCGTTGAGTGTCTGGGACGCAAGGGCCCTAAAGACAGCCTGCATACCTTGCCGAGTGCGCACTTTCTCACTTATATCTTGTTTTCCATTAATATATCCTAGTAGAGCTCCGGCGATGCCCACCGCAACAGCTGTTGCAACCGAAGTGCCCGACTTGTATACCTCCTCGCCGGAATCACTGAGTCCTGCGGACGGAACTTCGACTCCTAGAGTGCCAAAAACTATGTCCTCGCTAGGGATCCGTGGGGGATTGAAATCCATAAAGTCGCCATTTGCGTTGGTTGCGCGTATCGAGATGACAGACTCGTGTCTGGCGGGGAACATTTCCTTATCATTTGCACCCGAATTTGAGGCGGCTGCAAAGAAGAGGATTGAGCCATCGCGCTCATACATGGCCTTGCGGATAGCTCTGCTTATATTTGGCTGATCATCCGTGTATCCAAATGACATAGAGACGATGTCGGCCTTCCATTCCGTGGTAGCCCAATCAATTGCCTAAGTTCCGTTAATTGGGCATAAATCCATTTGCGAAGGAGAGTAGATACAATACCTGCGCGACATTCTCAGTTGCCCCTAGAATATCCTTAGGGTCTCTGGCCACCCGTGCTACGTATATCTCCGCTTGAGGCGCAATCTTCATGATAAGAGATGTGAGATGCGTGCCATGCCCATGAAAATCTTCGAACCCATCAGAATCATCGACCCAATCTTTCCATTCTCTGAGACGAAAGTCATTTTCTGGGGATAGAAAGAACGGGGCGTTGTCATTGCACCCTGTATCAAGCACTGCAATCCGAATCCGCACAGGAGCGGCAGGCAAAGAAGACCTCGAAAGCTCGTAATTACAATGCCTCATTCGCGCAAGCCATTGTTTGGCTTCCCTTTGTGGCTTTGTCAGAGGGGATTTAGTCGCTTTCCGCACTGCCAAGGGTTGGGTAGCATCTTTAATATCCGCCGGGAACGATGGTGTGGCAGGGCCTTTGGCAGGAGCTTCCAGAGGCGCAATTGCAGTCAGCTGTTCCAGCCACTTTGTGCCTTGTAGCAAATCCTCAAGCGCAAATACAACCTTGTCATACAAGATGTTCCTCCGCTGTTTCAGACCCTCCATTAGCTCTTTCCTGCCCTGCCCAGGAGTTGAATGGGCAAGGTTAAATGTTCCCGGGTCCAGACAATGATTTACCGCGCTGATATAGTCAGGATAGTCACAATCCCTCCATAACTTTTCATCCTTGGAATACTCAAGGGCTAGCAGGTAATCCTCATTGATCCCTGGCTTAGTCCGTGGTAGCGGAAAGCCTATTCCTATTTCAACCAGCATAATGCCTAGGGATCGAATCCTGGGGTACGGGTGTATCTGTCCATCGAGACTACTAAACTCGTCCGAGTCGGCGTCTTCGTCACCAAAGCGAACGGAGAGATAAGGCTTCCAGGCAAACAGCTTCCCTCGTTCCTCACGGCTATTGCCTTCACGCTCCTTCATAAACTGTATCATTTGGCTTGTCCACCCAGTCTTCATCCAGTCCGAGTCGTAATACTGCCAGACACTATAAGCAAGGATATAAGCCAGCGCAAGCTTCATTTTGGGCGTCAAGTGGTAGATGCTGAGAATTTCAGCCAGCGATATTCCCGGAACATGTTCAACCAGTTGCTTTAAGGGCTCAAAGCCAGATTTCTGTAACTCTCTGTCTTGAATTGTGAGGCACAGCCGTGAGTTGGCTTCCAGACTAATTAGTCTGCAAAATTGACCATGATCAATTCGCGTGTGTCGCGTTGGAGTTTCTCTTCTCTCATGGCGCTCACCAGCGAATCGAGCATATTTTCTGGATGTTTTGGGGGTCCTGAAAGATTTATTAGGCATCAATCTGGCATCTCGAATTTGACTTCCGAAAGCACCTACCACGGCACGACCACTTGGACATCTTGCCAACGGCTGAACCGAGAACCGTTCCACCACGGCGCAGACGAAAATAACATATCGAACTGTGCCAAGTAGGCACCATCGGGATTTCGATTTGGCGGTCGGAGCAGTAGGCGCACCAGGTGGCTACCTCGTGCTTGCTGTATAATTCCGCCCTGACATGTGCAACACATATGCTCCTGCAGCACACTGTGCGCCCTTACATTGACATCAGTTGGATGTTCAGCTGGCCTGGACTTCTTGGTCGTTGTGTCCTCCTTGGCTTCTCGATACGTTCTCTTGCTGCGGACCGTAAATTTCTGAATGTGTTGAATGGCGTCCTCCGCCGTTTTTGTATTTGCTGTAATATTGTCGAGCCCCCGTTGAATTGTTGCCCGTGTCTTTACATATTGTGCACCGGAAGATGGCTGGCAGATGGCCTCGAGGAGCGGATAATTAGTTCGCGATATCCGGTGGGGCCACTGGCCATTAATTTAGCATACAGTCGAACCACCACAGAGGAATTACGAGAGTATTCGAGTCTGGGATACTGACGCTGCAAATCATCTCAACATCCTTCAATAGCTTCGAGATACGCAAACGTAGTCTCTCCTCTTGGTCCAACCCCACTGTGTCGAGGTAGTCCGCGACCAGGAGCAACTCTGCCCCGAGACGACCACATACCGGGCGCTTGAACTGCGCACCCAGCTCGGAAGCAATATGTGCCACTCGTAAAATTGAGGCCTGCGCCAAATCCAGCGGGTCCATTGGTGCTATAATTGGACCATCACTACAAATTACAGCGTCAACGTCGACAAGTCGTCGTTGAGCCTTAGCTGAATTGGCGGGGCAATTGGGGTCGGAAATGATCGGCGCCTGGTTCTGAACGAGAAACTAAGGCTATGACAAGCGTCAAAGACACTAAAGGAGTAAACAGTAAGAGGAAGTTGTGTGAAAGATGTGTATATTTAGAGGTGTTTTTTACCGCGTACAGATCGTTTGTGCTATGCACTACAACTATGTTAAGTCCTTCGCCTGCTCGTTGACATCTCCCGATCATGTGATGTCTGGAAATTGGCCTAGACACGCATTGGGCTTAGGGTCTAATCAATACATGTCACTGGGTATCAAGGATAGCGAATCGTCCCTATACCCCAGGCAGCTTACTAGGGCTCGCGGAATGATGTGGGTCGGGGGTTGATGCATAATTGTCGGGATATGCTGTGAGGGCATGTATGGTGTCTTAACGTGTAAAGTCCAATTTTATACCTCTCAGCTATAGATCTGGTAAGGCCCTTGGTTGCGCTTATATGCTGTTTGTGGATTTGGTTCTTTCACTGCGACCGAGAAGGCCGTGTAGAAAGCGATGGGCTTTCTAATCTATTTATGTCCATATACTCAAATTTGTTTCCCCTCTCCACGTCCCCAATCCTTGTGCGGAGACATTCAATGTCTCCTGGTTGTAGGGTGGTGTCCGTTGCAGAATGAATATTTTTGAGAAACCAAAGAGGAAATTGAATGAGGGATAGGGTAACCAGACACGAAATTAAATGAGAATGCTGGAGGGGAAAAAACCAGACGCAAAACGATATAAAAGCAAAAGGCATAAATTATTTGGCGAGGTCCCTGGTTAACATAGGGTCTCTTTGGAAAGACAATTTTAGGAGTAACCGAAGCAACAGAAGCGATCAGCCAGGGATTCGTAATGGAGTTTGAACTTAGATAGAAATACCGAGTACGCAGCCAGAGCCCAGGGGCGAGTGCTCCTGTGCCTTCACTTATGTTTCTCTATTCAATTATCCGGTTAGGACAGGGATTTACGGGCTTTCAATGCATGGGAGGCTTGACTCCCTGTCGGCTTCTGGTCTTTATCCTGTGCTTTACACTTGCTTCTTGGCAAAGTGACTTGGAATCGCCACTGGTGATAGGGGTTAACAGTTACTCGTCAGTAGGAATGGAAATAATGTATGGATGCATTCATCACTAAATCACAGGATGACAATTCACTCCTCGCATCTGATCACTAACAATATATACAGGGACCTGCGTACAAATGCGTCCAGTAAGTCCTTTCACCCCACCTTAAATGCCTTCAACCCTACGCGTCCATAGTATTGGCAAAAGGTTGTACCGTAGCTACTTAGCCACACTTCTTGCAGGAAGCCTGTTTCAAGCGTCAAAATCAAATTATAAAATATGATGGCATATAGTGTGAGACTCACAGTAGAGGTACCGACAGACGCGATACAAGCGGCATCGGCAATGGGATCTTGAAGATCAAGTCAGTAAAGATTTATACTATTGACACAGCAAGAAGGAAAACATACTAGCACCGAGCTCGGCGGCGGCGGCTGCACATGCAGCGCTCTCCCCAGCAAGAGAGGAGACACAGGCTGTTTTCGAAAGTATTAGTAGGTTGCAAAGCAAGATTTTGTTGACAGACACCTACCAAGCCAGTCGCATCCTGCGGCTTTCTTTGCCTCAGTGAAAGCAGCGGCGTTGTTGTGGACGTCCTGAAGGTTCTGTGCAGTCGAGGCAGGGGCTGCAGTGGCAACGGCCAGAAGAGTCGAGATAGCAAGGAAGAAACGCATGGTGGGCTTGAATGTGGAAAGGCTTGTTCGATTGTATGTTTAGTTAGGTGGCTTTTTGTTCTTTATGTGTTGATGGAAACAGATGACTGAGGGAGTGTCAGTGAGGTCTTTATATAGACGGAGTTTGGTCCTGGGCTGGTGATATTCCGAGTGTGACTGACACCAACTCGTATTGCAATGATACCCTATGTGACTCTCAATGACGATCGCATACTTCCCTCTCCAATCTGCTTCTATTTCGAGAATATCAAGTCTAGAGATACGGGATTCATGCTACTACACGAGTGATCTTCAGCAATACGATGTCTACCTGCATCATCAGCCTGAGGAATTTTGCCCGATGGAGCTAGACTTTGCGAGAATGGGTTGATTATGCAGACTGGAGCTACATTGAGGATGGCCATCAAATATGCGTCTCCAATGCACCGAAACACAGCTCGTATCCGTCAGCATAGTTCGAGCTGACCATGCCCAGGCATAGCATCTTTCGCCAGACGACAAAGTAACATCTCGTGTTTGGGTGGAGTTAGACTCGAGCTACCTTCAAATATTCTGTGGAGTCATCATAAGAACTTTTTGCTATTGTCCGTACTCTATCGCTTATTAGATTCATTATTCTATCACACATCTTGCCCTCTTTCCCATGTGACTGAATCGCTCCTCAAGTAGAATTATAAAAAATTGTTTACTCGCCGACAAAGGGAAGATGTGTGAGATCGTCATCCTTGTCGCGCTATCCTGCAGATCAACACCAATACATACTATACGTGTCGTCTGCCAAGGTTACCAATCCGTCCATATACGGAATAAGTCGTATTGCTCGGGTAAATTCCGTCGTGAGCAACAGCCAGCGGGATTTCCAATGGAGATCTGCAGAGCCCTTGCCTTACTAAATGTCCCGGAGTACAATATCAGACCATGAACCCACGAATGAGGGTTAAGCATCAGGGTTTCCGCCAAGATTAGCTTGGTTCAAACAAGAGATTTCCTTGGCAGCCACGCTAGGTAGTGCCGTGCGCCTCGTGAAGATGCAAATACGAAAGGGCCGACCCACCCTTTGCATGGAGAGACCAACGGGAATAACAGAAGCAGAGAAGATCAGCATCAGCCCGCGAAGAATGTTCCCTTGTCTGCTTCTAAAAATATCTATGCTTCGCTATTCTGGGCAGGAGGGTAACTCGAGGATTCCACTGCTCCTCGATATCGATACTCAGTTCAACTTGTGATTTTGTCCGGCAAGATGATTAAAGGGAAAAAAGGTATTGATCAAAGCCAAGATTAATCGAGAGAACAGGCGAACTAATTTCACCATCATATTATAGGCGACACATCCAGACTTTATTTTTCATACTTCGGCTTCTGCTTGTGCTATGGTTCAAAACATACGAAGATCTCCCGGTCATGGACAGGGCCAGATACTAGGGAGGCTTTGGACCGTATTCCCCCACAATGGTATCTCCGTGCTTCTATTGCCTGGTCCTTGGGCTTGAGGTTAAAGACCATCGGTGGTGCGATGTTCTCGCCTGGTGCCTTAGTAAATTTTCTTTTCTAGTTACTCATAATTTATGTACCACCAACTCATGCCTCTGAGAGCCCTACAGTCCACCATAGAACCAACCAACCGATATGGAATCTCAGTGCATATCAGGGCCGGGCAATCGTGAGATAAAGCCGATTTACCCCGATTATCTATTAGCAAGCGATGGTATTCTACCATCACCTTGTATAGTCTTTTAAAGGCAACTGTTTGTAAGGGCCCAGCTCAGTCCCACGAGGCAGAGCAATTCAGGATTGAGTTACCACTCGGAGCAGCAATGCGCGTCATAAGTTAACCATATTCATTTGTCAGGAAGGTATTACAAAGACCAAGAAGGAAATTAAGGTTTATCCGGCTTTTCCAAATTGGCGAGAAATGTTGAGACAAAAGCGTGGCAGGGTGGGATAACGTAGTCGATAAGCAACCTGTATAGCTCTGTAATCCATACAAATTAGCCCTTTTTACTACCTCAATATCTCAGCAACCACCGGCTATAATGATCCAACAATTTCGGATGAATATATCATAGTACTTAATTATTACTATATAGAGCAGAGAACCTTATATAAACAATATTTCTTTCAGTTTTGAATATTACAGTTGTATTTTTGATATTTCCACTTTATAGAGTAAAGTTAAGAAGGTAAAAAATTAGAAAGAAAACATCACTAGCCTTATTTACCCTTCTGTACCATCTCTGGTTGCTGAGATATTCAAGTAGTGAAAAGGGCTGATTTGTATGGAATACAGAGCTGCGCAGGGTGCTTACTCACTACGTTAAGTACAAGCACCATTATCAAAGAGAATACCAGTATTGCACTTCGTCGTTCCGACTGTCCTACTGTGCTGACCGGTCTTACTAAGAGCTGCTTAGGTATATGCATCAAGACAACAGCGTATATAGCCATCGCTTTGACAGGCGCAACTATTATCTGACACATTCTTGTCAGATGATTTAGCAAGCTGTGCTGCTTTGCTTTCGATTACTCTGGATTCGACGCAGGAATAATAAAAAGAAAAAACGTCGGGGCGAGTTCCAGTGAGCGAAATTGTCATCTTGTAACAGGGTATGACTGTCTTGTTAGATAGCGTGGAAGAACCACATCAACTAATTCAGACAAGGCAATAGTGTTCTAGGAAACCTTGTATTTTCTGGGAAGCCCCAATAGCGCAATCCGGCCCCAAAGTGCATATATCTTCGAGTTGCTTATTTGCTCCAGTTGCAATGCTCTTGTCAAGGACACTGCACTGGCGAGTTGTCCCGTATCCCTGTGCTTTTCACACGGTTTAAATAGTGGCACAAACATCTAATATTTCCTAAGCAGAACCTCTGAAATGTGCATTAGTATTACACGACCCAGGTATGCCATTGGACCTGGGCCCTGATTAGTACTTCTTCTGTAATCCTCATTAGGGTTGGCTGAGTCCCACGTCCTGCCATCAAAATATATCGCCTAGCTGTTTAAGTTGTCTCATAATCGAGCAGGGATGGCCAGCCTGCCATCCCCTTCAACTGCCAAAGAGTCGGGAACACCAAACTAATTAAGAACTATAAGCAATCAAGTCCATGAAGGGTAGGACTATTACGATTTACAATTTGCACTAGCTCCTTCCTGCACGTGATTGATGGTGATCCTTGTGCGGAGAAGGCGTTTGGCGCATTTTCTCCCCCGCCACAGCTTACCGATTACTAAGTGAGACATCAACCTTGAAGTTTGGCCTCAGGATAGTGATGATTGACCGCTGAGGGGAGCTTTCACATGGCTTACAATATCACTGGTGCCAATCCCAAGATTTTGGGTCCAACCCACAGGGTTAAAACGGGGGACTTTCGAGATGCATTCGCTCGCGAAGCTAACCGCCGTCGGAACGAGGCACGGACGCGTAAGGCTCGAATTTTCAATGAGGAAGACAACGTTGCCAAACCCTACCATGAGCAAAAATGTCTGCCGTGGTTCTCGTGGTTGCGCCGTACCAAGGACGACGAAGAACGCTTGAGAGATAATTTAAGGAAACAGGTTGATGAGGTCCGTTTACTCCTAATGAGGGTTTGCCAGACCCAGTAACAGGGAGCTGACGGCCCTTGAAGAATTCTGACCTACGCGTGCATCGGATGCGAATACCAATTGCATGGAGTCGCATTCCCATTGGTGGTGAAAAGGAAACCCTTTTCCTGGCCACCGATGAAAAGTCGCAAATTGAAAATGGCGGGCAAGGAGGCCAAACCATGCATTGGATGTAAGGAGATGCGGGCTTAGCATGTGTAATCTAAATTAACAGGGCCACCTAGACACATGCAACATTACGCAGCAATCGACTTTGATACATTCAAGGTAGGAGGTCAAATATTCCTTTATCTCGAATGAGGGAACACTGATTGACTATGTTTGTTTACAGTCTACTGCATTAGACGGAATAAATATTCCGGCGAATGCAAAGAATATGATACAGAGCTGGATGTCAGATATTTATTCGCTAGAAGCGCAGAGGATATTTGGTGGGAAAGCTCTGGATTCATGTTTCCAGAAACAAAGGGTATCTTCCCTAAGCGGACAATCTTTTGTTTGTGTCTTTTTCGCCGTTCCATACCTGCTGCTCAGCGACAACTGCCGGCCTGTAGAGCATCAAAGGGTCAATCCGGATTTACATCCTATTCGAGCATTGGTTCAGTCGGCGTACCGGACCGACTCTTCATTCACTCGTGAAAGGTCCCAGGCAGTCCGGAAAGTGCTCAATTTGGCAGGGAATGCGCTGGTTTATGTCCCACATGTATGGGGCTTGATAATTGGCGATTGTAACCCACCCCTTTTTCTTTTACTTTCTTGCAGCTATTTTTCTGTGCATTTAATTACTACCTCTTATCTTCACTGCTACCTTTTTGGTGTCTGATCTCACATCTTGGAGCTCAGCGGACCTAGCCTAACATATTACTAGATTACTTGGCTACCTGCGCTCCAAGTCAGGTCCATACCCATCGACAGAGTTCAATCGTCCCTCTCACTCTGAAAGAGTTCCCACCAGCCCTCCGTTTAATACGTGAGGGGGACGGTATCTTTTACATTAATCTGATGGAATGCCCAACGTGGTTTGTGAGTGGGACAGGATCGTACAAAGAGCTGCATCCAAAGCTTTGTCTTATGTGCTGACCCTACTTAGGATTTCTTGATTAGGATTCATCACATTTACTCATGTTGGCTAAAGAGACACGTTGACGCTGAAAGATGCGAGTTTTACGATGCAGAGACAGACGAAGCCCTCGATGTTGACTCCTGGCCTTCGGTTTTGTATAAGGCAAGGGCATACGGCGTTTGCATGACTGTTATGGTTGTGCTGGATACACGCAAAGTATCTCGTCGGGAGCTGGACCACGAAAATGACGCATATTTTATCGAACCCGTTACCGATACGAGGACGTGGGTGAGAGTGTCAAAAAGGTTTATAGACGTGGAGACCTTGGATGACTTCAATCTACCATGGGAGGAGGACGTAAATGTAAACCGCCCTGTGCAATTAATCGCATTCTGTGCTCTAATCGCATGCTAGGACTCGACGATGGTCATCATCAAGACCTACTTGGATGTCGATTTCACGGAGGTTCTATTCGAGCATACTCGGAGATCCCGAAGGATGAGGGGAGAAGAAGAAGTTCGTGAGTTATCAGATAATGAAGATGCGGATCACAAATCTGTCAGCGACGGCAGGAAGAGGAAGCATATTAGACTTCCTTGGCATTGGCCTGGCTGCTCAGAAAAAGACCCTGCCGACGAGCTGAGGAGGGCTGAAGGGGAAATGTTTTGGGCCCCAAGGTCATCTTTGCTAGACAGTATAGTTGGGGAGGATGGAGGTTATGAGAGCCCTCAGCCAACCCATGATCTTTCGGATATTTCGACAAAACCCTCAAGGATCTCGACAGATAGCCGCGCCGAGAACACCATTTCGCCGTACCTATCTTGGCCCCTAGCTTCTGAAATCTCTGCTCTGAGCCGTAACCAAGATCAGAAAACGGTCACCCGAATACCCGAATCACGGATAGCACAGAGTTGGAAACATGATCCCTCTTTGGTCGCTCCTAAATACCTGTACGCAATACTTCAACAAGAAGAAGCCTTTGCAAAACTTCCGAGAGCTAAGAAAACACATCTCGTTGAATTGCAAGACTCGTTCTTCAATGGGATGTCAACCGAGACTTACTATCCAGAAATTGAATTATGTAACCGTGTATGCCATTTGGTTGATCATTTCCTGCTGGATAGTACGGAATGCCTACTCAAAGATAAAATATACGGAGGGCTTCATACGATTCTGCAAGTGTGTTCTGCGTGTATCGATACATGACAGGCATTGGATGGACTGACAATGAGTAATAGGAGTGTGTTAAAATATCCTGGGGTACAAAGCGCACGAGGCTCCCTCAATTGAAGGACTTTGCCGACCAGTCTGCAAGGCTGTTGAAGTTGTCTAGCGAAATCCGTGCGGGCATTCAGACTGATACGAGCCGCCTACCTCTCTTTACAGCTCATATAGAGTGTTTTAAGGAGTTGTGTAGGGCTATTGGCCATCTATGTTGCTTTATCCAACATGCACTGTCGGAGGAATATGAATATATGGCCACCCCGCTCAAAACAGTTCATCAAGATCCAAACACCCTGGACAAAGATCCAGACTTGGATAGCCCCACAGAAAATATTCCCATGGCAGAATATCCGAAGGCTGACATGAATGCGTATCCTGGAGTACCAACCGTGGCAAAGCCCGCGGTAGAGAGCGAGGAAATTCCTCGCAGTATATCGCCTTTCTCGAAACGAACGGTGGAGTCTTTGGAGGATGATCGTCCCGCCTCATCTCATAGGCTGTCGAGTCCCGCTGCATCTACGGCAAGAAGTCGCAGCATTGAAAATACAAGCCTCCCTCCAAGGCCGAGAGTCTACCCCCAGGACGGGGTTTTCGACGACAGAGAGAGTGAGAAGAGGGAGCCTGAAGACGATAAAAATGCCGTATTAGACGGATGCCAGGCACTTAAAAAGGCGGAGGATCTACTGATGGAATCTAAATATTCTATTATCTGTACGTTAATAGAGACAAACCCTCTAGATATTGATGATTATCTCTCCGTCGGGCCGTCCCGTATTGTATCTTCAATTTTCGAACATGTTTCTCTTGGGTTGAGTGACCTGGAAGGCACGGGGTCTTTTCGCCTTGAGGAAATCTATCGTGAGTATTCTTCGCAGTTGGTATGTGAAAATCTATCCCTTTGTCACACTTTTTAGCCGACTTTCTAACGGACATACGTCCAAAGAGAATCAAAGTGAGAGATAAGCCTACTCGAATCTTGCTCGATGATTTGGACCTGCTTGAGGAGGAGTTAGAGTGCATTCTCTCAATAATCCAGAAGCAAAGGACAGTGTTGGAAAAGTTCATGGACTTCCTCGAACACAACATTTTCAAGTCCAAAAGGGGCCCGAAAGATGTAATTCAGAACTCCATCCGGGAGCTCAATGACAAGGCAGACCTGTACAGTGAAATGAACTCCAGTATTGAGAAGCTAAGGAGAAGGGTATGTCCTACTAGCGCCTTTCTTGGCCTCGGGTTATTCTATGCTCGGTTTTGACCCAAACTTACCCAGTATATTAGGTAGTACGTCAAGTCGATCTCCAGCAAGATAATAATAGCAAGGCGGTCCTTATCTTTACTATTGTCACCGTTGTATTCCTCCCATTGTCATTCATGACGAGCTACCTCGGTATGAATACTCGTGACATCCGGGATATGGACCGGGATCAAAGGCTGTTCTGGGCAACTGCGGTTCCTCTTACGTTGTTCATTGTTGGGGTGTGCATGGTCGTCGCTTATGGGGGTGAATGGATAGGGGATGTGATCGCACAGTCTCTGGTCAAGACCCGAAGGGATATGAAAAGGGCCAGAGCGGATATATAAATATTTGCTGACCATGGTTCTCGGATTCCAATTGTTAGGATAAGGCTGATAGGCAGATAAACTCGACATTTACAACTACTTTAGAAACTTAGCTATCCAACAGATTTCTATATAACGTAGAGACTCCGTGTGAAACCACACCATTTAGGGGAAGTGAAGGTAGCCAATTCGTAGTACGAGGCCAATTGCCCCATAGATGGTAAGCCATCCACGGTGCTCAGTCCCCTGGAAACCTCTGAAGGCATCTGCACCCTTAGCCAAGATGCTGAGAGTACTTTTCGATGATTAAGTGGGTCGATCCATTCGTAATGTAATCCACCCCGATCCACATTTCAGCACGAGGTGAGTTTACCCAGCTGAACTGATGCACGGAAAACAAAAACAAAGAAAAGAAAAGAACGAAGGCAATGGAAAGATGGTACCTAATTATATGCCTAGTTTCCAAAACCTGCAACCAAGATAAGTTTTATCAACCGGGAATTTATACTGTAGCTGAATCTCAGGCCTCTCAAGGTCCAGATATCAATGCGACTCCACTGATCGACGTCTTCAGCTGAGCCATGCGGCGTGGACGCCATGGAAATGTCCGCTTTGATTATTCTCATCACGTATGCACGCCAAGGCATGTAGGATTCATGCAGATCCATGCCTATATAGCCCTTTTGCTGTGTTCGTTTACCAGGGGATCCAATGGGGTATGACTGGCGGAGCCATGAGGACACATCACAAATTCATGATACGAATTTTTTGTGGATAATTTCTGCAGCGTATGGCCTCTTCAGTGTACTTAATAATATTGTGGAAACCGCAGAGGAAAGATACCACTTTGCGAGGTAGGAGCTGTCAATTATCTGAGTCCTAGGCTTTCACCAACGTCCTACCAAGAACACTTCATGTAGCCGTTCAACCCTCCAGCCTCTCCTATATTCATACTCAGTCTTTGTAAGGCCATTAAGCCGACTAATTAATTGTGACCCAAAGAGATTCCAAGCAAAGATGCTTATGCAGATAAGATCAAGTAGCTATGATTCGTGGTAGGTAACAGCCCCAAATACAGAACTGATACTTTAAGTACATCCATATTTATTGCACACACTCCACGACACGAATCCCTTGTCCAACTGGAAATAATCAGACCGAAACAGAGCTCTAGAAACGTAGGGTTCGCAGCTCATCAAAACAGAGTATCTATGCTCTCAAGGAAATCCATTAGCTCGTTGTGCATCATGAATTGTTTTTAAGTAGGGACATTGGGGTGACATGCCAATTTATCGGGACCAAGGCAAACACCCCTTCGAAGCTATCGGCCGTTTCGGCAACTTCCAACCATCTACTATTGCTGTGTATGAAATAACCAGAGTCCTTTGCAACGAGCTCATATGTACCCAAGAGAGTGCGTCTAGCAATGAAGGTTTGAGGGTCCTTGCCGGCAAGGCAAGAAGAGCCCACCTCTTTACGACAATAGAGATAGGAACCTTGATGGTTCTGGATCATGAATTCATCGGTATTGCCGTCAGTAGGAGTGAACGACCAGGCCTGAGTAGGAGCGCCAGTCGCGGCAGTAAATTCCAGTGCGTCGCCAATATCACCTATGTCAGTCAGAACCAGAGGATGGAATCGAGTCCCAGGTTTGATCTGATACACTCCCCGTTCGAGACATGAGGTAGACTGGAAAAGGGCTACCAGAGCACCGAGAGCGAGGAAGGTCTTCATATCGATGCAATGACAATCTAATTGTGGAAGGAAGGTAGGATGTGTAGGTAGTGAAACCTCGGATTGGAGTTGTTCAAAATATTTGAATAATATGGAACAGGTATGATTGTCCGAAATCTTCCTCCAATTTATACATTTTCTGTGTTTATTCAGGCGATTGTGCTCGAATAATTAACAATTAGAGTTCGATAGATCATGTTGATCCATATGGGGTTGTTCGCTCACACAGTCGTCGGTTGCTTATTTTATCGTGTGTTAAACGAGCGATCCTAAACCGCTTCAGTAATAGCGACAATAGAACCTAGAAGAAGGTGATGTTTTTCGAACTAGTGCTACGTTGGAAAGACTCAAATCTTAACACTTTTGCCTATAGGTTGTCGTAGGACTCGAGGTACTATACCCAACCTCTATAAAGCCGAAATTTGATTTGCTGCTGCCCTCTCCTACCATAAGCAGATTGCGACTGAGCCTAGGATGACAAGTAATTTATCTATGGCTTCCATGTATCAAGAGTATTGACCTTTTCCCTATGCGACCTGTTCTATTCCCTTGGATTAAACTAACAGAGCGGGATGAATACGTCCGACCTTTGTGTCTTGTTATTTCTTTTTCTCTTTTTTTGTATTTCCGGATAATCCTATCATTTCTGACTTCAAAGAGCCGTTCCAGCCAAGGGAAAAGGTGTCGCGAATGCATCGAGTCCTCAGTTCGGTGAATTCAACAAGGAGAGCACTTTTGAGCTTCTTGGTAACTTCTATGAGCCTAGCGTGAGCTTGATTGACATGGCCAATATCTATCAGAGCGGCTAGAGTGAGGGGTAGGTTAGCGAGGGGATGGAGAAGTCTGGCCGCTGCGATAATATCGTCTTGCTCACAGGTACACCCTGAGATACATGGCCAGTCGCCCCCATCCAACAGAGCAACTTTGACGGCATTGGCAGCAATAGTCAGCGCCTACCGCGTAATGCGTGCCTGAAGAAACTCTTAACCCAGCTACAACGACCTGGTAGCCCAATTCCTTTCCGTGGTGTCCTGCTCACTGGGAGCGTGCAGTGTCTTGTCCGTAACTGGGACTACGCCACCGGTATCGCTGAACTGATGCAGTCGCTCAACACCCTCGTCCATCAGGGGAAAGAACTCTACTTGGTCAGCAGTGACCACCCGCCAGAGTGGTCATTAGGGACAATGCCTACTCTTGCGTGCATGGCCTCCGTCGGTTCTCCGTCTAACAGACCCAGTTCGGTGCGTATGTCCGCCACTTGGAGCGCAATATTATTCTAATGTGTCTCGATGAGGATATGGGGATTCAGGCTTGGGGTGTCATCGCTAAGGATTACCTCCAGCCCCCCAATGCTGCCCCGAAGGCGAATGGGCGTCCAACTCCCTTTATCGCTACTGGCCGTAAAGCATAGGTATAGCAGGTGCTGACAACATCGCGACTCGCCTGGCTATGTCTATCACCAGTGTTGCGATAGCATATACCATTGACAATGTAAGCCACCGTTACGTTTCGTTCTCTTCTTATTTTTGCCCTCCCTTAACCTTCATTTCGGCCGACTTTATTTTTACCAGGACTCCTACATGTTCACCAGTGTTTGTGGTCGCCGCATTTCCAGCCTCAAGACGGACATGGAAGCCCTAGGCCTACAGCTGAATACGGGGAATATTGCAGAGATCGAAACTGGCGACGCTAGCTCAGATACCCTTGATTGCATCCAGATTATCCAGCCTATGCAGCCATATCAGGGCGAGCCGAACGTTAGCTGAAAGGCTTGAGGAAATAGTACATTATATATCGTGGAAGCCTAGGCACTGCAAGATGCTTGGGATCGTCTGAATAGTATTCGCGTTGTCTGCTATGACGGACTAGAAGGTGCATAGCTGGCCAATGACATCGTCCATAGGCCCGTATGTCCACGCTATGGTGCGGGTGGCATGAAGGTTAACAGGAAATGTTCCACCGGACGTTCCGGAAACCTTGAAAAACGCTCAGGCGAGATTTATGCACGAAGCCCGGAATGGGCTGTAGGTCGGCGGGGGTCAATGCACTGTCGAGGCGTTGAGAAACGGCTATCAGATTCGGCATTCCCCGAAAGCCATTGAGCTTGTCCTCATGCCCTGGTAGCTGGAGTATGACTCGAGCAGCGAGGAAGGCACGGAAAAGGGGAAGAAACCGTCCAATCGGGCGTTATCCTCCACGGAGTACAGCATACTGCAGTTCCTGTCCTAACCATAGCATCTGCAACTGCTGGTCTCCGTGCAACTCGTGGGAATGGAGCTGCTGCTGCTGCTGTATCGACAGATCAGGGCCGCTCAGACCAGCGATCGTCAAAGCCCCGCTAACTCCTTAGCAAAGCTTCCATCGCTAGACGGTGTCCCGGGATAGGGCCAAGTCGAGCCTGATCGTATGTTGCTCCTCTTGGGCAATTTATGTTGTTTGAGTCGGTCGTCCCAGTTGCGACCTCCTCGTCGGGTGGTGAAATATTCGCATGCAAAACCTCATTTACCACTGCGGGAACACCAGGTACAGGATGAGGTGAAACTATGGTTACAGCGACTAAGCCATCCCCTTCTCTCCCCCAGCGACCTAACCAATTTAGACGCACCTGGACAGTACCATTGCCATGCCGCGCTGTGCCTGTCCGGGGGGGGGGTAGACGAAACATACTATGTATCGAATGTCACTGGTGGATTGGGAGCATTTGGCGTGCATAGTATAACGTCATTGGTTAATTGACTGCTGTTACTTTGGCCATTCGGAGAAGGCCCGGTGTGGCTGTGTCGTACATGATGATGCAAGCCACACCGTTCGTGAAACTTCCAAAGAGGGCATTGTTGCAAAGTATATGCGTGCTTGAGACGACGCGAGCTGCATCTAGATCGTCAGCACTAGCCGGAATGTTTCTGCATGGCGTTCAAACATGCACACCAGTCACTTCACTCTCACCTCGTTTCATCCTGGGCAGGCGCCCGGATGGCGTTGATTGGACCCAACTTGGTTTGATCTGCAAGGGGCTGTGAGAGGAGCCCAAATTAGAAAACAAGCATTCTTGTTCGTGATACGAGGTGGATCTAAATGGCGGACCAGGGTTGAAGCTGACGGAGCAAACTATAACCCGATCTGGGCTGGCCGATTACTCTACATAGTATTCAGTGCTGAACATATTTCATAACGTGTATCGCTACTGGCTCAACTTATCCGTACCCTTAACCACAAGGCCTCACCTAGCAGTTCTATTACAACACTACCTCAAACGCACTCGCCACGCAATGGAGGTTGCAGCTGAACTAGAACTTCAATATCTTGGAGATCCTCTTTCTGTGCCGAGTGACTTTCTGGGTGCCGGAATCCCTCTTTCATCGGTTCATGACCTCCTGGGCAACTCGCAGGTTGATTTCAACTCGCTTGACTTTCCAAATTTTGAGAGCACAGAATTGTCGCTGAAATGGCAAATGGATGTGTCCTCGTCCACAGACAATCTGTCCGAGGATTGCACACCGAGCCTGACTACCGAAGATAACAGCATCTCATCTGTCCCTGAGACCAGTTGCTCCCAAGAGGATCGGGTTTGCCAGAACCCAAAAGGATGCTGCATCAGCCTCGGCACAGAGATTCTCAGCTCCATGCATGCCGGCTCGAGCTCCTGCGTCCTAAGCATGAGTGGTCAGGGTGGTGGTCGCCAACCTCAAGTATCACTTGCAGCGGACGACATCTTATCCATGAACCAGTCGGCCTTGGGGGCGATCCGCTCCATACTCAAATGTTCGTGTTACGGAAGCCCACAGCTGCTGCTCATCGTCACCGTGATTTGTTCTGAAATTACTGCTTGGTATTGGCACATTGTTGATATATACAGCCATTGCCGCAGCTCAACCGCGGACAGCGCCATCTTACCCAGCAGTGTGGGCCAGGCCGAGACTCGAAGACGAGATTTCTTCATTGGCAATCACCGTTTGGGAAGGGACGTAGAGGCGGCCCTCATTCGTCAAGTCCTTTCGGGGATGCTTCGGGAACTACAAGTCGTCGTTGGAGACATGGCTTGTCACGCAGGACAATCACAGGCAGTCAACGAGCCACGCAGCGACTTCATGCAGAGTGATGTGCGAGCCAGAATGGTTGCATTTCTTCACACTCAGTTACGCGCGCTCACCTCCGCGCTGAACCACTCGGAAAACGACTTGGGGACGGTGGTACGGCCTATTTCACACAATTGATGTATACAGAAAGGGCGCTGGCGCCTGAGCTGCAAAGCTATCACGAACTAGTACATGTATGGCCGTATGGGACGCTTATGATATAGAGTATAAGGCTCCTTCTTCCTGCTTTTCGCATTGGACATTACAAATGCATTAGAAATAGAATACCTGAACAAGTGCAAACCTACAACGGCTTGGACGCACCACGTAGAGTTAGAATGGTAAGCAAGATAAAGGTATAGTTTCTTACACTGTAAAAGCTTGCTGGGGGGGCTACATGCTGCCCTTGGCCTCAAACAGCCTAGATAATACTACCACCACCACCACCACCACCACTACTACTACTACTACTACTACTACTACTACTACTACTACTACAGCCTGATGTATGGCTGAAAGGGAATCCGCACTGGAGAAAGGTAAATGGACACCAAGTGACACGTGGTGATCTCTCCTGCGCTTTTCGCTTGATAGAACCAATCATACCTATGCCGTATATATTGCTGACTGCATACGAGCCGTCTTGTCCCTCTCCGCAATCTCGGAACCCGAGAATGCCTGTTGCTGAAGAGACAGGCACTGGCTTACTTTACATGCTTGTGGACGATTTTACTTTTCCGAGAGTACTATTTTCGGCATGGGGCTGAACTGTCTATCGAATGAGTCGGTTGACGAGCCATGAAAAATCTATGCACACACCTGCAGTAGTTCGTTTAGAACCGCCTCGTGGTATGTGGCACCAGCATGCGATTTCATGGTTTCAGGACGCAGGTACATATTTATAGAAATATTCTCAACAAAGGCGAGGTCATATCTATAGACTGCAATTAACTACTTGATTTAATCCACCAACAGCCGATCATCGACCTTCCTCAGTGTGCTAAGGTGTATTGTGAAATCAGCAAGCACCTCTCCCCTTTATTTATTAGTTATCTGGTATTGCAAAGGTCAATTCACTGATATTCTGTTCCCTTTATTTATAATTTGCCGGTTGCAAGCCGGCGACCCATTCAACAAGATTTGGCAGAGATTCCCTCCAGTACATCTTCCCAAGCGTTCCCATGTATTGGTCTATTCTTCATTTTCTCGCAGCAGCGCTGCCCGCTGCGGCTTTGGCTACGAATAATTCATGCACACTCGTGGAGTCCAAGATTCCAAGGCGCATCTCATACCCCGGTTCAACAACATACAATTCGTCCATCTCATCCTACTACGGCGACCATGAGCGCGCTTTGAGTCCAAATTGTATCTTCAGGCCTACCACCACTGCGGAAGTATCTAAGTTCGTCAAGTTGATGACTGCTAATAACTCCACGAGCAAGTTCGCCGTTAGGGGTGGGGGACACACCTTCTGGACTGGCGCGGCAAACATTCAGCCTGGCATAACTGTCGACCTGCGCCTCATGAATCAAGTAGAGTTGAGCGACGATCAAAGGATTGCTCGCATTGGAGGGGGCGCAGTATGGGATATCGCTTACTCGCACCTTGTACCGCATAATCTGACTGTTATGGGAGGCCGTATTCCCGGGATCGGAGTCGGAGGCTTTGCCACTGGAGGTCAGTACTCGCAGTGCAGGGCTGTACTGGACAACGATAGCTAACTTTGTCATCAGGTGGAATTACCTTCGCGTCACGCGAGCACGGTTTCAGTTGCGACAATATCCACGGGTACGAAGTTGTTCTCGGAAGTGGTGAAGTCATCTATGCAGATCAAAACTCCCACCCTGACCTTTGGCTCGCGTTGAAAGGCGGCTCCAACAACTTTGGCATCGTCACACGCTTTGATGTGGCTACAATCCCTCAGGGAAATATGTGGTATAGCATGCTTAATTACAATTATACCAACGCCACGTTGTGGGCTCACGCCAAAGCCTTCAGCAACTTTATGAAGCCAGAAAATCATGATGGCGCAGCCATGATGGGAATGTTCCTGGACTTTGTAGACGGTAAGCTCCTTCTTTCTGATGCCATGTGGTATACAGAGGAGGTTCAGAAACCCGCCGTTTACGATGCTTTCACGGAGATTCCGAACTTGGGGGGGGTGGCGGAGCTCAACACTACTGACCACGTCGTGAGCAAGTTCGGGGAGAATATCCCATCCAAGGTGGAACGGTACGCAACCAATAACGTACTCTTCTACCATTTCCATGTCTTAACAATCTAACCACTTTGTGTAGGGGTTTCCAACTCACTTTTTCGTTCCATAACCCGGATCCTATGGTCTACATGCAGCTCTTCAAGATCTGGGAGAAGGGATTGAACAAGATTGCGAATGTGGAAGGCATCTTCGTCGAGTTCCTGACTCAGCCTCATCCTGTTACTAACGGCACCAACATGTTCGGTCTGACGCCTGGCAAGACTGACGACGTCATGGTCGATATGACTGCTACCTACGCCAAGAAGGCAGACGATGCCGGGGTCAAGTCCGTCATCACGGACATTGTGAACCAGCAGCGTGCTGTCTTGAAGGCTCATGGATATCTCATCGACTTCATCTATCTCAATTACGCCGACATCTCACAGAAGGTGCTCCAGAGCTGGGGGGCGGATAACGTTGCCAAGCTGCGAGCTATCAGCAAGAAATACGACCCCAAGGGTGTGTTTCAGAAACAGGTTCCTGGTGGTTACAAGATTCCAATGTAAGTCTGTTATACATTAGAACTGCGCTCTTCAATAACTCGGAGAATCCGCCACCTCCAAAACCAAAGTTAGCAACTCTACTAGGACTAACAAATTTCCTGAATAAAACCGCTCTAAGAGACCCATCCATTTACGCGACCTTCAAATCTGTTAATGACGTTACCTAATGTAGATCTATAGATAGAAGGATACTGAAAATGTTAATGTAATATCATTTCTATCTATTTTAAGAAATGTGCATGGTTACCACAGATCTAACGTTTCTACAACTATGATCCGCTGCTGCCGAGAGACGGTAAGGGCTTTAACTACTAAATCAGAGCACATTCCCTGTTAATTTACAGTACCCCATTAGTCTTTTGCATTATAGGTCTCCTCGGCCTCGACTAGGCTGCAATGCTCGACCTAAACCTGGCTCCCAATATTTTCAGATCTGAGTCAGCTAACGCGTCGTTAGGGTTTCGATCCCGAACCGCCCGAAGCGCTACCGCAAATCGTGTTCAACACTCTGGGAGGAGTCTTGATGTGGTCACGCGACCGTCAACCTTAAAGCGGCTCCCCCACTAACTTCCCCGGGCGGCAACCACCCCACTTCGAGTCCCCTTTTAAGTGATGGGCAATGAATCCCTTCTATTGTACTCTTACACCTATGAATTGCCCTATATTCTCGTGGATACTATACAAACCCAGATCACGGTTTTAGCTAGTCAGTACCACTCTTAACTCTTTCACGAAGATGTATATTATTGGCTATTTAAATGCCTACTAGTATTCAAGACTCTCGCGGATTGATTGACCCAACTTTAGAATATATGTTTATTTCTACTACGTAGAATGACAACATACCAGGACTTTAAAATTAGATCTCACTACTAATTATAGGGAGCAGACCACAGACCAGAGGATCTTTTTATTAAGGTTCTTAACCGAATACGGTCTTAATCCCATGGAAGGCAGTGGCTTTGCGAAAGCCAATCTCACCGACATTGTGGCTAAAGGTTGAAGAGTCAGATGACTACCAAGGATCCTGGACAGCGAAGCTTTTTACTGTTTTCGAAAGAGTAATAGTGCCACTAATTTCTGATCCGGTCACAGCCTCAAATCCAAACTCCCCCTACTATCATATCCACACTTTCTGAATTTAGTACTACAACGTCTGTAGGGCTCATCGTTCTGTCAAGGGATTGGTAGGCCTTGTCGGAGAGAAACCTCTTGGAAACTCGGCTCGGTAACGATTGTATTCATGCAAGGGAGAGCACAAAGATCCTCGATCGACAGCCATTGAACCACCCCCATTCCAAGCAGAAACAGATCAGTTATCTTCCAGAACCCTGGTCGCGCTCATTGTGGGGGCCGAAGAGTGGATTTCAGTCCCTTCTAGCTGATCTAAGACTAAAGGCGTCTGAAGCAAAGGAACTAGGGTTGTGAAAAGTCCTCGGGAGTGGATGAGACACAGCCTACTAACGAGCCCTAAAGCTTAATCAACAGGAGGCCCTATCCTTCCTGCATGGGAAGCGGCCAAGAGATATCTAATAGTTAGTTGGGTTTTTCTTTACATAATACGATCAAGTCGTATATGCATAGAATGGTCTATCCTAACATCTGTTCTGGGATTACTCGTATTACGAGGCAAGGGCGTTGGCGTAATCCCCTCGTTTTTGCGGGGTTCCAACAACCACGAGGCTGGCATTTGTCGGTGACAGCAACCACGTTGCAATGCATTTCTGGAACAGGGATCATCAAACGTTGGCGAGTTGCCGTGTAACGAGCATCCCTGTCACTATAGATAGATCCATAGAGATAGTTAAGATAGCATAATTTTCAAGCCCCAAACCTGACTTGGACCCCGAAAAACCACTGTTCCTAGCCCAATGGAGACCTACAACACCCAACTCCCAGCTCGAAAGCTGAAAGACTCCTGTGATGTCTGTTCTGCATCCAAGTTGCGATGTGATAAGCAAAAGCCGACGTGCTCGCGTTGCGCAAATCTAAACCGCCCATGCACATACAGCCCAGCTCGTCGGGGTGGCCGACCGCATCGCGTACGGCGGAAGTCAAGTCAGAGCCAGAGCCAGAGTCAAGCGAAGACCTCCAAGCAATGCCTCGGGGCTCCAGAGACAAATTCTCTCAACAGCTACTTGGTAGAGCCGACCGGGGTATCTGGCCAAACTGACAGCGAAATGAGCTGCGATAATGGCTGGTTTCCCAGCACACATACGATAAACCATCCCCAGGATAATCAGCTACAACCGGCAGAAATCACGTCATCGCCGTGTAATATGGTGAGCATGGGTCATAAGGTGGACACCACCGAGACCGACTGCACCAAGGCTGCTCTGTCGATTGTCGAGCAGCTGGAAATAACCAAGGGGCGGTGCCGGTCCACTGCTCCCACGCACAGCGGCAGCGGCTTGACGGCTACCGAGGCGTGCCAGCGGTTGTTGACTATCCTCATGTGTCCATGCTCCGAGCAGGCAAACGTAGCGCTTCTGGTGGCTTCGGGATGCATTTCACTCATGGACGCTGTTCATTGCTCTACTGGTGCCGATTCTGACGGAGGATCGGTGAGTCTTGACGTGTCGTCGAGCGATGGCAGATCCATGGGCAACGGCTCCTGGGAACAAGATATACTCATATGGTCGCGACCGCAGTCATCCTCACGCAGTTTAGCTGGCGACAGCCAGAGTCAGGTGGGGGATTTGTCCAAGATTGCCAGGCTTATTTTGCAGTTCACAGACAGATACTCCCAGGATACTAAAGGTGGGCCGCGCTGGGAGCACACTACCTGGGTCGTTGCTCCGGTGGTGGCATTGCTTCGGTCTAGGTTGCAATATGTCACTCAGGGAGTGGCAAGGCGTTTGGTCTTTTGAGTGTTGTCGTTTATTGATATAGTATTGTGCATAGTACATCGTGCAGATTTCGGACAGCGTGGCTAAATAGCAGAATGACGACGTTAGTTACGGGACAACCTATGATGGCCTTGAAAGTACCTCTTAAGCTGGAAATTCACAATGATTACTTTCTACTCGCCTTCTTTTCATTGTGCAAAAAGTGATGTTTATCTGAGCAACATGAGTTACAGAACAGATTAATCTATAACTTCAAGAGTACTTAGATTTAAAACTAATAAACATAAGGATTCTAACATTCATTTCATTGGCGTCTTCGCACTAGTGTTCTACTGTGTAGATAGTTCATGTACTTGTTTAATCGACTACTAGTGTGTGCACAGTCCACTCAGCCTAGGATAGCGACTGCCCATGCAGAATACCGATCGCCTATTGGGTGCCCGGTAAAGGCTGACCAGCAATGAATCGTGGAAATCCTTGGTAGCCGAGCCAGAGCTCACCAGTTCCCGGCAGGCCCCCGACAATCTCCTTCTGGCGAGCCTTGAGCTCCTCGACGTCCCAAGAGGCGAAGACGATCTTGTCTTTGAGAAACTCCGCTTCGGGGGAGGCAATCCAGACAAGGAAATCGGCGGGGAGAGAGACTGCAAAAGAGAAAAAGAAGAATGATGGTTAATGACTTGGACACTAGGACAGGATCAGTTAATACTTACTGTCATCATAGGCATATGGCAATTGGATCGTCTCTGCGAGCTTGGCAGACATGGCCGTGCGGAGAAGTCCGGGATGCACATTGTGAACACGCACTTGAGGGTTCTCGGCAGCAAAAGATTGTAAGAGCTTGACGGCGGCCATCTTGCTGCTCACGTAGGCACCCATACCGGGGAACGGGGGGAACAGGATGCCGGCCGTGGTGAGATTGATCAAGGTGACGGGCTTGTTCTCGTTGGCGTTGACAGACTGGTTCGCCAGGACGACCGCCTGTGCCGTCACGAGCGTACCAACCACGGTCGTCTTGTAACCGACCAGGAAAGTGGCCGGATCCACTTCCAGAAGGGGAACCACGGGAGCCAGGACGCCGGCACAGTGGACAAGGATGTCAATGCCACCAAACTCAGCAGCTACCTTGTTCATGGCATTGCGTACGCTCGAAGCATCACACAGCTCAGCCTCGTAGGTTTGAATCGTTACCGCTGCGTGACTGGCGCGAACAATCGTGGCTGTTTCTGCCAGGGCGTCGGCGCGTCGACCCAGGAGGATGAGGGCTCGGGGGCCCGATGCAGCAAAGGATGAGGCTGTGGCACGGCCAATACCGCCCGATGCGCCAGTGATTAACACAACCTTGCCCGCCGTGGAGAGACCGGGTTGAGTGGGATTAATGCCGGCATATGTGGCGGAGTGAGTGACCTTGGTGTACGAGGGTGGCGTGGCCATTGTGTCAAAAGGTTACAGGGCAACTGAGTGTGGGAAAATTGTCAAATGATGACTATAGCGTCAAGATGGATGGGGAGCAGTAAGCACGTAAGATTGCCGCCAACACTGTTCAATGTCTGTGAGAAGGAGGATTGAATAGGTAGTTTGCCAGGCGGGGAGGAGGCCGTTATTAATGGAATGCATTGTCAGCAAAATTGAACCTCGTCCTCCAATGCTTGACTGTAAGCACTAGAATGGGAGCCAGACAGGGATCTCGGTCTGGCCCCGCATCCGACGTGCATCGGGACCTTTTTTTCCCAGCCTTAGTTTTGGATTGACGGAGTCCGAGCATGCGTCGCTGATTCGGAATCCACTCCCCCCGATCCACCAGTATCCACATACCAACAGGCAGATGCCTCGGGAGCCTAGAAATGGGGCTCTTCATTTACTCCAAAAGGTCATCAAAAAACCGGCCGAAAACATCCACAAGGTCCGAGTTGTGGTGGGATCCCGGGCCAACAGCAACAAAGAACAGGGCACGCAGATCACGGATCACCAAATACGAGGTCAACAGCAAGGGACAAAAACAACACATACTTCACGCTAATATTAGAATTCGTAGCCGACCAATCACTCCAGTCTTATTTCTTCAAGTTAAACTAGCCACTTTCAGGGTCTGCAATGCGCCATGGGCGGTTTGAGTAACTCTTTTACTGCTCGTTGTAGAGCTTTGAGTCTCCATATGGATATGTATCTTAAAAAAATTATAATTAATAAATGAACTCTAGAGATATATATTTTTGACCATTAGTAGTAAGGTCTACGTCTATCTCTTGAAAACTATTTATTTATGATTTATCTTAGGAAATGAAAGAATGTATTAACCTATGACATATTTCCCTAAAGGAAGTATTGGTGTAAGACTAGTATTAATAAAACGATAACGAGACAGTACTGCTCGCTGAGTTGTAAAAAGAGTTAGTTGTTTCTGATCTCCTGTCATAATAGACCTAGGGGCAAGTTGTAACCCCTATGAGGAACGTGTTCCCTCAATGGCCGTACAGCTACTCTTGTGTAGACTTAATCAAGGCATGGCTTCATTCACAAAACATCCAACCGTTGGAGACGTACACACAAACACCAAGTAAGCATAAAGATGAGCAGGAAATACTAGCTGTGGAAGCAAGATTACGATGCCTGCTTGAAACTATCCATACCGACAAAGACACTGCTTGTTTAGTTGGAACTACCAAATAAATATGTATGCGGATTGCAAATGGTAAAATGCTGTGTTGTATATCAACTGCTAATCTGATGCTGTATTGCTCCTAAACTCCTCAATAAATACAAAAGCCAGTTACTTGGCAGCCGCAAAAATCACAGAGCTTTGCATAACCGGCGCATACTTCTTGACCGCCACAGCACGCAGGCCTGCTTTGTCCAGGATGGCATCCCACTGCGATGCCGTCCGCTCCGTCGTGCTGAACAAAGAATACATTTGGAGATCAAGCCCGGCAGGCCACACGTGAGCATTCTCGTCCGGCACCACCACTTCATCAATCGCCACGAGGGAATCGGCCGACATGGCAGGCACAATGTTGGCGAGTATCTGCACCGTGGTGGTATCGTCCCAGTTGTGAAGAACGGCTCGAAGATAGTAATACTTTGCTCCCCTTACGGGCTGGATTTTGAAAAAGTCGTGCTCCATCCACTGAATGCCTTGGATATCGGGAGCGCTCTTGATCACTTCACCACGATCCTGGACGATCACTCGGTCCGCGAGCTCCGGGTACTTAGACAGCACTTCCGCAGCCTGATGCCCCGTGTTGCCACCAATGTCCACAAACATGGCCCCGTCATGTCCACTGCTCACAGAATGGTCAAAGGGGATCATATCCACACCGTTGGCGTCTCTGGTAAGGCGCATGGCAGCCTGAAAGTTCTTCAAAACATCCGGGTGCTGCTTAAGCCAGGGATAAGGTTCCAGTTCCGTGCCGAGACCCTTTTGAAACGCACTACCGTGGGTTTCGTTCCGATATCCCGTTTCCTTGAGGAATTCAGGCAGAGCGTGGAATGCAGGGTTGCTGACGGCGTGGAAAAATCGGATGGGATGCTCGATGCGCGGGTCGGCAAAGACGTACGTCTTCTTGCTGGCTACGTACTGGTCAGGCCCTGTCTCTCCGACCAGACGACTGGCGGCCATGTAGCGCATGATGCGACTGACGAGCAGCGGGTCAGCATTAGTAGCCCTGGCCAGCTCTTTGGCTGACAACGGTTGCTTGCTCTCCACAAGGGACTTGAAGATCCCAAGGTCCCCCCCTATACAAACCATCGCGGTTTGTCGACCCTAATTGCAGAGCTTCATTAGTATACATAACCTGATGAAACGAGACGCATTTGCATCTGCTATTATTTCTTCTACTTACCGCATCAACATATCGCACCACTGTGTCAAAGGGAGTCTCAAGGTCCTCGGCCGATTGGTGCAGCGACGAGATCAAACGGTGCCTAGTGGCTTCATCAAATGGCGTCTGCGATGAGCTCTTCTCGGCCGCCATGAGGTCTGCCATGCAGCTTTTGACGGAGCGCTCCTCGACATTGCTATGTCCATTTGCCTCACTATGGCCGTTGGTCGAATGGTTTCCATTGGTGTGGGCATGGCCATTGGTATGACCATTGTTCTGCGGTTGGCCATTAGTCGGGATATCACCATTGGTCTCAATATGACCATTGATCTGTGAATAGCCATTAGTGGTGTGGTTTCCATTGGTCTCAGCATGGTCTTTGCAAAGCGTCTTCTTGGCTGCTCTGGCTTCGCCGTTGAGGAAGGAAAGTGGATCATGGGTTGTGTATTTAATCTCTGCTTTCTTCGCTGCGGACAGTCCGAGGTTTCCCTTCTCCAAACGAGGTGCGAGACCGTCGATGGCGTCTACAGTGAAATTGTCAATGTTGAGCGAATCCTCGGGGCGGACCATGCGCCGCCCCTTCAACGTCTTCAAAATTGCCTGCTCCTCTGGCGTCAGATGCTTCTCAAGTTCATCGAGAGCCTTGCGATTCTTCTCATCATTAGCATCACCATCATGACCGAGTGACTTGAGCTTTTTCACGAGAGCCTCTTTCTCCTCAAATGAGACATGCGCAAATGCTCTGAAGCAGAACTCGACCGTCTTGGACATTTCAGCTTGGGTCAGCTTGCCCTTGGCATCGGCATCAGCCTGTCCCTGGATAACTAGATGTCACGCTGTTAGAATCATTGCTTTCATCGTTGAATCGTCACACAAGATTTAACGTACTGGGTCTGAACAGGTCAAAGGCTCTTTCAAAGCTATCCTCGTCAAAGTCACTGATTACGGGCTCGTCTTGAGACCGGATCTGCTTCAATGCACTCGACACAACCAAGAGGAAACGTGTGTAGCTTTCGGATGCCTTCTTGTCGTGCCACGACGCCGCAACATTCTCATCGCAGTCCCCGCGAATGGCCGCTGCAATGGTAGTTGCTGCCGACAAACCTCCGGAGAGAGCCAAGTGAACACCAGAAGAGAAGAAGGGGTCAATGAAGGATCCAGCATCCCCAGCAATGCGCACACCAGGGAAGGCATAGCTGGAAGCGCTGTATGACCAGTCAGAAGCTGACTTGACCTCCGATACGAGCTCCGCGTTAGAAAGCAGTTCTTTGATACCCGGGACAAACTCTAAAGACTCCAGGTAGAAGCCCTTGGAGGAAGGCTCGGCCATTTTTCGCTTCTTCTCCGTAGCCATCTCTTGGTTTTGCACAACACCTACTGAATGGGTGCCGTTGTGCAGAGGGATAAACCATACCCATCCACTAGCATCTGTTGCGTCACAGGAAATCCGAGTTAGCATTATTTCCCCTCAGGGTGCAATATGGAAGATGCAGCTGTGTCATACCTTTGAGTGCTTCGAAATACGGAGCACCCTCTTTGTGTGTGCCGACACCGTGAACACCACCTCCCCTCCAGTAGCCCCAACTGGCAACGTTCTTCAGCCCCTTGTTGAAGGAACGGTTCTTGAGATACCTGGTGCTGATAAGACCATTTCTACCCGAGGCATCAACGATGTAATCCATGAAAAGAGTGCCAGAGGTCCCGTCCTTGCGAGTCCAAGTAGCAGATACGGGGCGGCCAAGGGGATGCCCATCTCCGGATGGGGGAGCAAACTCGATTGATGCCACCTTGGTTTCGTCAAATGTCTTCACGCCACATTCAGCTGCATGCTTGAACAACAGTTCGTCTGCCTCAGACCTGATGACATTCCAGGCGTAACCGCCTGGTCCACCGGCTGAGATGAAATCCGTATCTAAAAAGACGGAGTTTATCGTTAGTATACTCTCAGCCGTAGTAATTGAGCTCGCGTTTGGTAAATGGCCGGCGAAGACTTACATGTTTCAGGTCTGGACCAGTTGAGACGGAAGGCACCTCCGTTCTACTCTAAGTTTCAGCGACCAATATCTTTGCGCGTCTAACAAAGGGTATGGGCTTTCACTTCTCACCTTGACATTGAAACCATGGGCATCCCACTTTTCGTAGGCGTCAATAAACTTCAGAAAGTGTCGCATCGACGGAAGCATGCTTTCACCGATATGATATCTGGTGCACGCGTAAGAATGCAGGAAACATCAAGATTAAAGATTTTCATTGCTTTCTATGCCCTGGAAACTTACCTAGGAAACTTCTCTGCCTCAAGAAGGACCACATCGATTCCCTCCCGCGCAAGAGCCGAGGCGGCATATGAGCCAGCTGGCCCACCACCGACGACCAGCACCTTGCAGTTTTCCGGAACGTTCGTCATGTTGATAAAAATAAATTTAAGGATTCCTTTGCTATCTTGATGTTTTTGTAATGTTGTAGTAATGCTGTAATGTTGGTGTGCTCTGATGGATAAGTATCTATGTGAAAGTTGTACAATATGACTTGGACGAAGTGAAGATATATATAAAATTCAAATGTTGCCTTGCACGACGAGTAGTATACAGAGATCATGGATTCTGAAACTACATCGGCCATTGGGATCCGTTCGGATATCGGGATGCTCCTCGGGGCTTTTTTTTTTTTTTTGCGGAAGGAATGTGTTAGGGCTGCTGACTCTCGGAATCCGACTTTCAGCCACCAGGCGGGCAACTCCTTGGCTTCCCCAACACAGCCCTGGCTTACACCCCGTAAGGCGACCAACTTTTATCACCAGCGGATGCAGCAATAATCTTTGTCAAGTGAATTCCTTGTCACAAATTGTGAATCTATCTTCTCCATTACGGGCGTATGAATACCTTCAACTACTATGCCTGACGGGTTTTACTCCTCGCCCTTCTGGGCTGGCTACCTAGAAGCACAACGAAGCAAGCTACCTGTGCTTCCGGAAATTGACGATGGCTTGTCTAGCTGCGTTGTGCGCTTCCTTGGGTGCAATCCTGGAAGCATGCAGCTACAGGGCACGAACACATACCTCGTTGGCACTGGAAGCACTAGAATACTCATTGACACTGGAGAGGTGAGGCCTGTACCCACCACTTGAGCACACTTCGCTATTCATTTGTTTGTATATGTGTCGCTTCTACCTAGTCCACCTGGAATAGATCCAGATACACATTACTCTTTCTGGATGACTCAATGATTCTTGCCTACAATTCCATCTTCATTCTCTCGCCCAGTAACTTAATAACCATCGTTAACAGGGAGCTCCGCAATGGGCATTGGGTATGACCAGATATCTCGAAGACCACGACATATCCATCTCCCATGTCCTCCTCACACACTGGCACAAGGACCATACTGGTGGTATAGCCGATCTCCTTGCCCATGATTCCAATATATTAGTATACAAGCACAGGCCTGACCAGGGCCAGCTGGACATCGTAAACGGTCAAACTTTTCAAACGCCAGGTGCGACTCTCAGGGCGGTGCTGACGCCTGGGCACACCGTTGACCATACATGCTTCGTGTTGAAAGAGGAAAACGCTCTTTTTACCGGTGACAACGTGCTAGGCCATGGCTACAGTGTAGCTGAGGACCTGGAAGCCTACACAGACAGCCTCCGCCTGATGGCAAGTCTAAAGTGTGCCATCGGCTATCCCGGCCATGGAGACGTGATATATAACCTACCCCAAGCGATGGCAAAATATATCGCGCAGAGGGTTTCAAGAGAGAGGCAAATATATGCCGTGTTGGCCCGGCAAACCTCTTCCTGTTCTTCGTCTAGTAATGTGAGCAGCGCAAGCAGTGTCAGGACCATCAAAAGTGGCGACGCGGGAGGTACCGTCGGCCCTGATAATGGTCGCGATGAGGAAGATGGCAATGGGACGGACACAGTGCAGGGCCTATCCACAGCTGACATAGGCGGTCTCATTTACGGAGAGGTCTCCAAAGATAGCGCAACGTTTGATTCAGCTGTGGGGCCCCTGTTGAATCAGGTTTTATACATGTTGCTAGAGCAAGGCAAGGTTGGTTCTAGGTTAATTGGGCCGGATAATACTAGGCATTGGTTTGCAACGGCTCAACCAATTTAAGAACGAATTTCATGTTTTTGCTACTTCTTGCGAGGATGAGGAATGTTGTTTCTTGAGTACAAACATAGTTTTATAATACACATGCATCCATGTATATTTCTGCATGCGTTTCTGTTTACGCTTTTCTCGAATTTCAATGAATAGGAACGGTTCTATTTCCTATAGTTGAGTATTTGAAGTTTGCAAATTTCTAGCGGCTGCAGCTGATGGCTGAGCTTTCTCATAGGCTCTCTCTATTTGACTGAGAATGGTGACACGAGTTTAGCCATGTGGTGCCACAAGGCATTTCCCTTTGAATCAAGAATGGCACAGCTGAACTTCAACAATTGGGTATTAACATTCCCTCAATGCCTCCGTCATATAATTCTCCGAGTCGGATTCCGACCTATGTTGGCTCCATGCAAGGCGATACTCCGGCTTACTCTGTCTACCGTAAGTCAAGCCACTTCCCGAGACACGAGAAGTCAGCTGGAGACCATGTCGACTAGTCCGAGCCAGTAGCAGTCGTTCTATGTTTAGAATAGACATTTAATGTTATGTATAGTGATATGAGGTGTATAAGTTCTATAGCATTGGCCGTTAATGGTCCACACCAACGCTAGACACCACGTTACTAGTGTTCGATCTCTGGATGATATATTCTTCAAATGGCTTTCCAATCCGGTTAGGCTTGATTATTTTACTTGACTCAAAACTGTTATCTAGACCTTCGTTTTCTTGAGAGACGAAAGACACTTGCAAAACTTACACAATGATTGAAAACACCACTGTCACTCCTTCCGAATCACGCTCATCAAGCCCCAGCCATGTCAAAGTCGACATGGACGCCGAAATACCTGACGATTTTATTCTCTTTAGTAATGAGCTTCCCAATGGCGAAGTCCAAGACCTGGTACGAAGATTGCATAGATATGCCATGTTACCTGGCTATCCGCACCTTGCTCGATTCTTGCATGAATGCGCCTTGGTCCTGAGAACGGAAGTTCAAAAGCTCCCGCGGCCATTGCGAGATTCCGTACCTCCATTCCACGATGTGGTTACGCTGGCCTCGCACTGGGACGAGTTAAAGAGCAGTCCCCTAAGTGGTGCTTGGGACGGTGCTTTCCTCTGCATCTACGAGATAGCTATGCTAATTGGGTAAAGTTGCTATACTCTGTTCACCTCAACTACTGCTAGTGTTTATCTGGTAGTAAACGCGTAGCTTAGAGATGAGCTAACATTCCACTCCCAATACGTTACAGACACCATGAGATTCATCATATTTCGTACCGTCGTCCGGCATGCTTGGTAGGAATAAGTGTCGGCCTATTTTCAGCAGCAGCAGTAGCGGTTTCGGAGTCCCTATCAGACCTCGTCTCATACGGGACTGAAGGCGTGCGTACAGCATTTGTATTTTGCGTTCATGTGCAGCGCGTTTCCCAGACACTTGAGACCACCATGACAGAGAAAGCTACGTCAGCTAGCTGGGCTACCGTCGTGATAGGTGTACCGGTAGACACCATCCGGGAAGAACTGGACCGGTTCAATCACCTAGATGAGTCGGAAAGTATTGGTACGAATGCAATGCCGCTGACTGGCGTGAGTATTAGTCACGTTGATAATACCTCCGTTGGACTCACAGGTCCTCCCACCCGTCTTAAGCAACTCTTCCGCCAGTCAGAAATCCTTCGTGCTTCAAGGCACTCGGCGTTGCCCATCGCAGGAGGCCTCTGTCATGTTCCAAACGTGTACGATGACGACGATGTGCGCGCCATCCTTGAGACAGCGGAGGTCTGGGAGAGATGGGGCACCCGTTCTATGCTGGTGCCGTTGGTATCGCCATTTACGGGCTCACCATTCTTCTGTTCAGATGCATACCACTTGATAGAAGCCATCTGCATCGAGGCTTTAACCAAGCCGTTGTATTTCGACAAGGTCGCAAGTGGCGTTGTGACTCAACTTTTGCGCGACCGGCGACCGAATGGGCTACCATGTCAGATATTCCATTACAGTGCATCGCTCATGTCAGATACCATCATCGCCGACGTCACCAATAAGCTCTCAACTGTTGATGTGAGTCGTCGGTGTCTGGTCGACTGGGCGATGCGCGACGCATTTGATCAACTCCAGCATAGCCCACAGCGCTCGCAAAACTCAAAGCTAGCTGTCGTTGGCATGTCATGTCGTATGCCGGGAGGTGCAGATAGCACTGAGCGATTCTGGGAGCTGCTCGTGAACGGAGTTGATACGCACACTACTGTCCCTCCAGACAGGTTCGATCTGGATGCTCACTTCGATCCTACCGGTGAAAAGGACAATACAGTTGGAACCCGATTTGGTAACTTCATAGACAACCCAGGCTATTTTGACGCAGGATTCTTCAATATGTCCCCACGCGAAGTAAGACAACAACCTGAACCCGTTAATCGTTCCTGTACCTAGTTATCTAACCACGCACACAACTCTTCAAACAGGCCGAGCAGACAGACCCGATGCAGCGCCTAGCACTTGTTACAGCGTACGAGGCGCTTGAGATGGCCGGCTTTGTGCCTAACCGCACGCCATCCTCTCATCTATCACGGGTTGGAACTTATTATGGCCAGGCTAGCGACGACTATCGCGAGGTTAACGCAGGCCAGAAGATTGGCACGTACGGCATTCCTGGGACAGAAAGAGGATTTGGTAACGGCCGCATCAATTACTTCTTCAATTTCCAAGGGCCCAGTTTCAACATTGACACCGCATGTTCCAGCGGATTAGCTGCAGTTCAGGCTGCCTGTTCGGCTCTGTGGGCTGGCGAGGCCGATACCGTAGTCGCTGGAGGGCTGAATGTCATTGTAAGTCGCTAGAACTCATCCTCTCCAAATAGACGGACGATGAGAGTTCCCACCGTACTAACGTCAAAGCTTTTTCAAGACGAGTCCGGATATCTACTGTATGCTGAGCAAGGGACACTTCTTGTCAAAGACCGGCCAATGTAAGGTGTGGGATATTGGAGCTGACGGCTACTGCCGTGCAGATGGCGTCGGCTCGGTCGTGATTAAGCGACTCGACGATGCCTTGGCTGATAACGACGTCATTTTGGCATCTATCGTAGCCGGTGCTACTAATCATTCAGCAGAGAGTATTTCCATTACTCAACCACATGCCGCGGCCCAGAGAGAGAACTATCGACAGGTAATGAACAAGGCGGGTGTTAGTCCTCTGGACGTTAGCTTCGTCGAGCTTCACGGCACAGGAACCCAGGTTTGTCTGCCCCAACTATGTCAATGAGATGACCCTCCCTGAACCATGAAGCTGACCCTAGTGCCTCGTGATAAATTCAGGTCGGGGATGCCGTTGAATCTGAGTCTGTACTTGACTTCTTCGCACCTTCAGGTCGGCGGTTACACCCTGACAAGCGCCTTCATCTGGGCGCCGTCAAATCCAACATTGGGCACGGCGAAGCTGCTGCAGGTATTGCCTCCCTCATCAAGGTTCTGTTGATGTACCGCAACAACATGATTCCCCATCACATTGGAATCCAAACGGCCATGAACCCTGTCGTGGCTCAAAACCTTGCCAACCGCAACGCTGGTATGCTTTCTGAGAACCGTCCATGGCTACCCATCTCGGCCTTTAAGAAGCGTTACTCGATTGTAAACAGCTTCGGTGCCCATGGTGGCAATACAACGTTATTACTCGAGGATGCCCCATTGCAACACATGGATAGAGACAAGAATTACTCGAGACATGGCGTGGCTAGCAGCGAAGTGGCATGCATCTCAGCTAAAAGCAAAGCTTCACTTCGGGCCAACATCAGGGCTTTGCTCGGCTATCTGAATACCCATAAAGAGACGGAACTCAGAGATATTGCCTATACAACCAGTGCTCGGCGAATACACCATCATATCCGTATTGCTACATCTGTTTCGAGTGCGGCACAGCTGCAGTCCTTCCTGCAGGCTGCCGCTGAGGATGTCGACGCATATGCAAAACATGTTGCTACGACCACTAAAAAGACTGTCGTGTTTGCTTTCTCCGGCCAGGGCTGTCTCTATCACGGCGCTGCGGCGCAGCTGTTCGGAAAAGCACCTTTCTTCCGCGACCAGGTACTCCAACTCGATCGCATCGTTAGGCGGCTGGGCTTCCCCACGATACTTGCCACCGTTGCCGGCGATGCAACGAGTATCGGCTCTGCCAGATTATCACAAAGGGAATCTACCCCAGGTAGTGAGGCAAGCCATGACGCTGTGGCCTTGAGTGATAGCAGCACAAGCACAACTTCTCCGACACCTACAGTTGAGAGTCCACTAGTTACTCAGCTCGCCCTGGTGGTCATCCAGATTGCCTTGGTGCAGTATTGGGGACTACTTGGTATCAAGCCCAGCGTAGTTATCGGCCACAGCCTCGGAGAATACGCTGCGTTGGTCGCAGCTGGAGTCTTGTCGGTGGCAGACGCTCTATTCTTGGTAGGTAAGCGAGCTGAACTCATGTTAGCCGTCTGCGAGCCTGAGAGCCATGCCATGCTGTCAGTTCGCGGTGCCTCGGTCAATCGCATAGAAGAATTGTGCCGGGAGTGTGACGAGCAGTATCGTTTTGAAGTATCATGTGTGAACGGGTTGACCGACATTGTTGTCAGCGGCCTGCGAGAGGATATGGTCTCCCTACGTGACATGCTGCAGGGTGCTGGACTGAAATGTGTCCTCCTCGATATACCATTCGCTTTCCACAGCGAGCAAATGTCACCCATCCTAGATGACTTTGGGAATGCGGCTAGATATGTTACATTCAAGGCCCCTGCGATCCCGATTATCTCTCCACTTCTAGGACAGTGCGTTTCTGAAGACAACGTTCTTGATGGAAAGTATTTGGCTCGTGCAACATGCGAGCCTGTTAATTTTGTGGCTGCTCTTGACGCTGCCAGATCCGATGGCGTAGTAAATGACAAGACCACCTGGATCGATATTGGGCCTCACCCAGTTTGTACCTCCTTCGTCAGCAATCATTATGGAAAGGGGGCAGCACAAACCTTTGCGTCACTTCGCCGTGGTGACGATACGCTATCCACATTTACGGGAAGTCTTGCAGCATTACACTGCCTAGGGCTTCCTGTTGCATGGAACGAGTATTTCGATCTCAGAGAGAATCCCGCTCGTCTGCTGCACCTCGACTCATATCAATGGAACTACAAGAACTACTGGATCCCATACGAGGGGTCGTGGACACTCGACAAAGCTCATGCTGGACAAAGCAGCAAGACCAACAGTTCAGCCGCTGTTTCGGCTTTCTTTACCTCTTCTGTACAACAAATCATTTCCGAGGAATATAGCGAGTCTCTAGGACAGATGAGGGCACTCTCCAACTTGCATCACCCCGACCTCCGGGGAGTAGCAGAGGGACATAAGTTAAACGGAAGGAGTGTTGTGACTGGAGTATGACATCCCAGGCTCGGACTTTCTCATTATCATATTGTTTGTTTTTTCGTGGGATTAATTTGCTAACTGCATCTTGCACAGAGTATTTGGGCAGATATTACCCTCACTGTTGGTGAGTATCTGTACAAGAAAATGGTACCCGACGGGGATACACCGCACATGGACATCAAAAACATGGAAGTAAACGAAGCCCAGGTGCTTGACCCAGGGGCATCCCAATTCATTCAAATTGAAGGAGTCTTGGATATGTCGCAAAAGCAGACGGCTGTACGACTGTACGCAGCAGGCCCAGACGGGACTCGTAATACGGAGAAGGCATTTGCCACAGCAACGGTGTGCTACGAAGACGCGCAGGCCTGGCAAGAACAGTGGCAGATGACTTCACACTTAGTTGCTGCACGGGCCAATTCACTCTGGGAAACGACTGCCGGCGGCGACGACAATAGCCCAGACGAAGGCAAAGTGAGCCACTTTTCACGGAGTGTCGCGTATCAACTCTTCGCCAACGTGGTGGACTACGGCGCGCGATATCGCGGCATGCAGCGCGTAGCACTCTCTGAGGACACTCTGGAAGCAACGGCTGACGTCGTCCTGGACAATGACCAACACGGCACTTGGCACACACCCCCTCACTGGATCGACAGCGCTTTCCAGCTTGCTGGTTTCGTCATGAATTCTTTTGGTGTCCAATGCGATGGCAAAGTCGCTGGATCATCTCGTGATTTCTTTTACATCACGCCGGGGTGGCGTCACTTCCGGCTGCTAGAACGCCTTGAGCCCGGCCCTGCTGTCACGTATCGTAACTTTGTCCGGATGTTTCCCGTCGACAGCGAGCCTGGTGCATATGCCGGAGACATATATCTGCACCGGGGTGAAAGGCTCGTGGGCGTGTGCGCAGGGATTAAATTCAAAGCTGTTCCCCGCGCTTTGATGTCGGTCTTGTTTCCTCGGATTGAGACTGGTGAGAAGCGAAAGCAATCTGTTGAGACTCATTCCGCCAACGGTCAAAGTAAGGGGACGTACTCTCAGTCTCAGCCCATCCCGGCCACTGCTTTCCAATATCCTGAGAGGCTGACGGCGCCTATCACGGAAGTGACCAACTCACGACATCAAGACCAGGCTGGGATAGCACGAAACGCACAGCCCCCAGCGCCGGCAACAGCAATCACACAGCGAGTCCAGTCTTTAAAGGGAGGGCCAGATCAAAGCCATAACCCGCAAGTGACTGCCTGTCTCGCGCTTATTTCAGAGGAAACCGGGCTGGATCTGGACGATTTGAGAGGCGATGCTGCCTTTGCTGAGTTGGGAGTGGATTCTCTAATGTCATTAGCACTATCGGCTAAGATACGTGCAGAGCTAGGTATTGATGTTCAGGCGTCCATTTTTCTGCAATGTCCGACTGTGCAGGACTTAGTTACGTGGCTGAGCAAGTAGAAAGGCTGTTTCTCAACCTAATCTGGAGAAGGGATAGATAGTCAGATTGCTAGAAACCTACGGGTAGTGCAGGAGAGATGCCAAATTCACTTTGAGTCCAACAGCCAATTATTGTACACTTTGCACGGGTTGCCATAGTGCATTCCACATCAAGTCAAGTTAACCTTCAATCCTTCCTTCTCATCGATCTCAACGTCTTAGTCGAGCTTTGGGTCTCTGATTGGTGGCTGAGAAGTGACTCTCATGCAGCTGGATGACGGTTTTTCAGCCAATCACGACCTACACCGGGTGGCGACCGAGGGAAGAATTGGAGGTAGATTACTTTAAAGAGACCCACTTGCCCTACTTCACCTACTTGGTTTTACGTTCTTGGTTGAATTTCATGCACAGAACGACATGTAGTAAGTAATAAATTAGCTATACACGGGCAAGTTGTTGGTCCTCAGTAGTCAGATAGTGGCTTCAAAACCCGAGGCTCGTCGCCAGTTCTGTACCCCAGCCCTCACTCCTCTTTCTTCTTTTTTTTTTTTTTTGGCCAACCACTTCCTGTCTGCACTCCTCGCCCCCTAAAGAAAAGTACCCCGTTAAAACAAATCATGCCTACATTCCGCAGCGAGGATATCCCTGACCTTCATGGCCAGGTCATTGTTGTGACCGGAGGCAACGTGGGTCTGGGGTATGAGACAATCCGTCAGCTCAGCGAGCATAACCCAGCCCGTATCTACCTGGCCACTCGATCCCGCGACAAGGCCGAACGAGCCATTACAGATCTCCAGCAGGCCAATCCAAAGTTCACCAGTATCCGGTTTCTGGAACTGGACCTTGCATCTTTCGAGAGCGTCAAAGCCGCTGCGGCCGAATTCCTGAGTCAAGAGTCCCGCTTAGACATTCTAGTCAACAATGCCGGCATCATGATGACACCCGAAGGTCTCACTCAGGATGGATACGAGATCCAATTTGGAACAAATGTTCTGGGTCCCGCTCTATTTACTCAGCTTCTCATGCCTAGTCTGCGCAAGACGGCCAAGATGAACCCTCAGACACGCATGGTCATGCTCTCTTCTGCCGCCCATGCCCGGGCCCCGAGTGATATCTACAACTTTGATGAGCTTCGAACGACAGCCGCTAATCGACATACGACCGAGCGATACACGATGTCCAAACTTGCCAATCTTCACTATGCTAGAGCGCTGGCTGAGAGAGAAGCAAATGTCAAGATCATTCCGGTTCACCCTGGAATGGTAGCCACGAACCTCCACCATGGTTCAACAGGAACTTTCCTCAAGCCGTTCCTGAACATCGCGGTCTGCTTGGCTGCTACACCCGTAGAGAAAGGCGCATTGTCCCAGATCTTCGCTGCAGTGAGCCCAGAGGCGAAGAACGGACAGTATTATGGGCCGATTGGGAAGGAAGAGCCCGGCTCGACACTCAGTCGGAATCATGGTCTTCAGGAAGAATTGTTTCACTGGATCCAAGGCGAGCTGGCAGGACATACCGAGACGATCCTGTAAAGGGTGATGCTTCGCGTTCTATTGTTGCTATCGCTTGTTCAGTCCATGTTGGTAATCTCTTATTCATGAACGTTTGCTTCTCGCTTGCTCTTTTTGTATTATTATTGGGTCAACTATTTCGCCACCTATCTATCTTCCATTTGCTAAGACAAAAGACCTGGTATTTCAATAACAGCTATATGCTCTATCTATCCTAGGCCAATAAACAGCAGTCAGTTGTCTAACTCCAGCCACAGGAAATATATGTACCGACTCGATCGGTTTAGGACATGCCTCACCTTAACCAGTAGCTATCAAGCTAGCTGCTCCACCGTACCTTTGGTAGACCAAATCCTTCTCACCTAACTCTAAACTACCTAGGTACCTCAGCAATGCATACAATTGGCTAAAAGCCCGTCATCCAGCCGCATGTACTTTACGGGTGGAGTGTTTTACGTGCGTTAGTTACAGGGTTGGATTACATAACAAGCTTTTTTGCCACAGATCTTCCGTTTATCAGCCGAAGGAGTGGAATCTCGGTCATATCTTTCGGTGCCTCCCGACCCCTTTCTTTGAATTACGGTCTTTCTTGTCGCCCTCTTGCAGATCAATAATTTAGTTTCCTGTTCGTATGACAATATGGACCATAGACCTCGTCAAACCTCATTGGCTGTATCCCCGTCATCCCCCATGCTGCGTCCGATGATCCGTCGGCCGGGTGAGGATTGGACGGGGATCACTGATCCTGCCTGTCGCAAAAGGCTACAGAATAAACTCAATCAACGTGCTTTGCGTAAGTCCACAGAATATCGTAGCAAGTTTTCGAATACAGCATGCTTCCTACTCCCTAGCCATACTAAACATGGTGGTTGTTTCCACTCACCCTCCACGGTAGTACACACTAACGCCCCAATTGTGTAGGAGCCCGGAAACGGGTCCAAAAAAGGGTCCACATGGTGCAGCAGCAGATGAAAAATGACAGAGACAGGGTAGAGGGGCGTCGTTATGCATTGATCCTTCCACGGCATGATCCAGCAACACAAGGCCCGCAAAAACGGTTGCTTCCACAACCCTCCACGCTTTCAGAAGCTGTAGCAATGATGACGTGCTTCAATATAACAGCTTACAAGAGTTACTATGCGGCCGATCCATGCCTCGACCATCTATTGACCCTGTCCAAGTTCAACGTCCTTCGTGCATTCGTGGATAATATGACGGTCCTAGGATGGAGCATGCAGGCAATGGAAGATGACAACGCCCGCTCTCTCTTCACTGGCCACGACACCCCTCCACATGATCATCATCATCAGGTTGAAAAAGGGAAAAGTAGTTATCCGCCGAGCCTCTTGCCCACTACTACTCAACGCTCTATCCCTCACCATCCCTGGCTAGACTGTTTCCCGTATCCACGGATGCGTGATAACCTCATCAATGCCCCTACCGACTTTAATGACTGCGAGCTCTGTACAGATATGATGGATCCTGCCAATGGGGACATCGGCATGATGGTATGGGGCGCTCCCTGGCTTCCTCAGAGTTGGGAAGTGTCCGAGTTATTTGTTCAGAAGTGGTCATGGGTCATTGAAGGATGTCCGGAGCTTTTAATCTCCAGTAATTACTGGAGGGCCACACGAGGTTTGAAAAGACTTACTGTGAGGTCTTTTTAACGGTACAATCTTGGGTCTTGCATACAGTATCAAGACTACATGTAAAGGTTTGTTACTGTTGCAACCCTGGGCTAGTTGCCTTGGCATGCCCAAGGCTATAGAGTAGATGGGTCACAATTCATGGAGCAATGCTGTTGAAAGCTTGCTGATGCGCTGGCCATGAGTTACATCGCTAGACACCTTGGTTGGCCTTTCGGCCGGAACAGCAAGGGAAACAAAAAAGCCGTGCTCCCTATGTCGTTTTTCCCCACTCAAGCAATCTCATTGGTGGTATCATGGGTTATTTACCGGTCCGCCACGGACTTTCGCGAAGACATCGAGTGTATGTTTCCAGATCAAGCTGTTCACCCCTTCCGCACGATAAAGCTGCATGACGTTACTGGGTTTATAGGTAGACCCGTTTGAACTCAGTCGGTAAAACCCAGTACCAGGGTAACCATCCGAACCTTCAGCAGTGTCATATTTCCGATCCTTGCATATCTTTGGTGGAAACCGAGGGCTTGTCGCTGCATATAGATGCCTTTCTCCACTTTCTTCCAATGTAATTTCCCAGGGTTTGGCGAGGACCATCAAAGCGCTGATCGCATGTTTGGCGAGAGTACCGAGGTCTCGGTCCAGGCGTGTTCGAACAATCCCTGGGAAAGAATGGATGAATGAGACCTGGGGGTATGAAGCAGCCAGGTGCTCCATTGAGACAGAGTTCATGGTGATGGCATGTTTTGCGCAATTGCGGAGGGAATAATGGGTTTCCAGAGAAAGATCCTCGAGATGGAGAGCCGCTTCGCCGCCAGCTTCAAGAACCGAGACCACACGCGATAACCGTGGCACACATCCCATAGTTGGTTGTTGTTCATTTGTTCCGTCCTCACCCTTCAGAAGCTGCGGTAGGAGGTTCGCCACAAATCGCATCCGCGCATAATAGTGAAGAGTGAGCTTTCTATCGAGGCCTTCGTCGGTTTCTGGATAGGAGAAAAACGGTCACTCAGGAACTTTCGAATTCAGATAGGGGGGGAAGTTGATCATACCGGTCCGGCCTTTCATCGTCCCTGTGCCCGGACTCAGAAACAGTAGATTCAATTTATCCTCTTTCTGTTGAATAGCACTGCATGCATCATCTACCTCCCGTAACAGCGACACGTCTGCCTTGAGGAAAGTGATCTGGGAGTCCGGTCTGATCTGGCGCAGTTCTTCGATCATGCGCGTTGCCCTTGCCTGGTCTCGCCCGACCAGGTACGCACGGGAGGCATTCGTGTTGCGTATGAAGGCGCGAGCCGTCGATTCCCCTATACCACTCGTGCCACCGACTGTATACGTCAGTTCAGTAACACTGCAAAACATCTCATGTTGCCACAGGATCTGGAAAACGTACCAAAGACTGCGACCAAATTTGACCCGTAGAGACGAGAAATCTCGGAGTTGTTCTCCCGTACGGCAGCAATCGAGGCCATCTTCTCCCCTTTTTCACTTGCAGGAAATCTTGACCAGGTTGTCAAACTTTCAAGCAGACGACTCCATAGGGATTTATTTCTTTTATGTTGCTGATAAACGGGGGCCTGGAAGGAATTGCAACAGCTTCGGGCTATGATTGGGCAATAGAGCGTCATCCAGGCGCATTAGCGCTATGGGTCGTCGTCACCGAAATACAAACCCACAGGCGGTAATTTACTGTAATCTATCTACCTAGTAATTTAAGCACCGACCCAGGCAGATTAGACAGATCTAATGATCCAATCTACCCTACGCAGGTCAGTCAGTTCGGGCAATGCAAGCACCTAGAGAGATTAGGCAGATCTAGTGACTCCGCCACCTAGGTAGCTGCCTGCCTGAATGAAGCGTATCACCGGGGCGTTTTCATGCAGATATTGTAGTTTGCTTTAACTGTATCGAACTGGAGGTCCAGGAAGCGGGATACTTGGATCGACATGTTGCCTTTTGGTGCAAACCAAGTCCTAAATGAATAAGAATTAGTTAAAGCCACCGACTCAGGATACATGGGTGCAGAAACACACGAAGCCACGTGGGAAGTGCTACCCTCTGCACTTCATGGGGATCGCTAAATCTGGGTCCATACCGAACGTGGCAGTACAACCCTGCACGAGGTGCATCTGTAGGATCCGTTAAGAACCGTGGGTTATAGGTTGATGGCGTAAATGACAGATAGAGGGCTGTTTTAACCTATGGCAGTAGTACTCCAATACCTGACCGTGTTGAACGTGTCAACCCCAAGTCTCCCACTGTTCTACTTGAGAGATCAACACCGGCAATGCCGCAATGTATACGTCTTGGAAGCGGGTTGGATCTATGGGAGGCCCATGAGACTAGGCAGATGCGGCTGAGAGTCTATATGATCTAGACTGCCATTGGCATCGATCTACACCTCTCTACAATCTCCTTAAAGTCTGTCCCGATCATCCTGTTTCTCAACACTCACTGTGACATCCACAGTCCTAAGCACGCCCCCCTTCCCCTCCATATCGTGCGTCAAATGCCTCGTACTCTCTGCCCCTTCACTCGAGCTCGACTGTCTCTCTGGTTCACCGCGATCCAGATCCCCACCCGTGGTAACCTCCGTGGTAACCAGCAGATCCGTATTCCGCCCATCGAACATCGACCGCCCGTTCTTCCTCGAGCGACCGCGCGACCGAGACCGTGAGTGTGACTGACTTGCCCCAGAGGAAGACTGGTGCATATACCCGCTTGCCTTGGTCTGCGGAAGTTCGAGGCCGATCCCATCGGAGATTTGCGTTGTGGTTAGGCCCGAGTGCAGGCCGGCGAAAATGTGGTAGAGGGTCGGGACACAGGCGATTATCACGGTGGTGAGCATCATGGTTTGGGCGATTATTTCCCAGTTCACAATGTCCCCTGTATGAATATCTGTCAGCTTTCCATTCGCGGTATATTTAAAATGGGAACGGAGCGTCACGGACAGGAGTCGTCGGTTGAGTGGCTGAAGGAGGGGACGAGGGCGAGGTCGGCAATTCCGAGTCCAACGATACTGTGAGAATTAGTTTCAATGGCGGTTTGACTCGATGATGAAATTGTGGGATTAGGGGATTCGTACCTTAAGCGCGCGGAGAACGAGCACAGGATCTTCACTCGCTTGTGCCAGGCCATCTGGACGTTGAGCATCATGATGAAGGGTAGGACGACGATGATGACCTCGGTGAGGATGTTGAGGACTGCGATCGGGTAGAATATGGCACCCTGTTACCAGGCTAAGCAAGCTGTCGAGACAATTACGGACGGGTTTGGTGGAGTGTATATACGAACCTCCCCAGCACATCGCTCGGGCGAGTACAGCCACGGACCAGGCATCTCACATTGAAATGCTATCCCCAACACCGCGAAGATCGACCACCCCATGACAACCCCAGCGGTACCAGCACAGATGCGACGTAGGCTTTTACTCGGCGTTAACCTCCAAATCAGCAGAATCGTCGACATCTTCGAAAGCGACATCACAACGATCCGCAGAATATGCGCAGCATATGCGAACTTGCTCCAGGCCTGGATATCGCCATCGCCAAGTCCGTTCCGGTGTTTTCCCAGTCCATGGTCCACAGCCTTCTGTAAAAGAACGACCTGAATGATGGCAAGAATCAAAGCCACCCAAATGGGAGTATTGACAGCGGTCCGTCTCTGCTTGAAGTAGATCGCAGACCCGAACTTGGCGGCCACGAAGATAATGGCCACGATCAGGAGGGAGACCGAGGTCAAGGTGATGCTCGCACCGCGATTCACACTTGACAGGACCTGAAAGGGGTCCTTTTGGTCGGCCATCGCACCATGAGATGCTCTTCAAGTTGGAGACCGACTCGGAGAGAAGAGGTGCCGGCGTATAAGCGAATCTCATCTTTTTTTTCTTCCATCCTGGTCACCGAAGCTTCTTCTGTTGGGAATTTGCGACCCCTGTTGATTGGCGTGGCACCATCGCATCTCATTTGTGCAAGGAATCCAATATCCCAGTTGACTGCATCGGCTAAAATCAGAAATACGAAGCGTGTCAGGCCAGATTTTTCCGACAATAGCATTGTCCCGGTGGTCCAGAATCATTGAGGGGCGCGGAAGCAAAGGCCACTAGAAAGGAACCGGCTCCCCACTAGACAAGGGCCGTGCCATTGAATTTGTCCGATCCTGATCTCCGGATAGTTCAGATCCAGCACTAACGGCCACCGGCCTGGTGACTAAATATGCGAACGACAAGGGTGTGCGCCGACGCGACCAGACCGTTTGAACGCCGCCCACTAAGGCGTAGCCCGAGCTCACGACCATTCGTTTCGCATTCATTATGCAATTAATATCCCTGTCTAGCCCCAAGAATTGAAATGAGCAGGCAATGCGAGTTGAAAGTTCTTTTTTGCCGTCGTCTCGTCCAGGAGACTGGACTATTTCCTGTCGGCCTTTCTTCTCCCACCTTTTGTCTTCTCTGTGTCCTACCTATGCAGAAGAAGAGGTCCTTCGTGCTCCAAAATGCAGGAAGAGATAGAAATGAAGAGCGAGAGCCTTGTACGATCAGGACTAGTAGGAAGTGGGAATGGGGGCTATGAGAGCGCTACAATGCGCCAGAAGCAACAATTGGAGGTACACGCACACGGCCCAGCTGTTCTGCACTGACTCTAACAATTTCACAGCGATATCTGAACTTCTTCTCCTCCGTCGCCTTTTCCGCCTGTCTACTTGCGACATGGGAATCTGCGGGGGGCAGTCTGCAATCAGGGTTGTACAACGGCGGCCCTGCAGCGATTGTCTATGGGATCATCTTGAGTACTCTCGGAAATCTGGCTATCGCATGCTCTCTGGCAGAGCTTGCGTCTCTGTATGTGCATGAGCTACTTCCCAATGGGATGGTGCTGACCTCAAGCGCGACAGGCACCCCACTGCCGGTGCTCAATATCACTGGAGCTACTTCCTCGCGCCTCGCGGTCGCCGATTTATTAGTTTCTTCCAAGGTGAGCTTCTGGTTGCGCTGATCTTTCTTTATGTCAATTGCTGATAACATCCAGGTTGGGTCACTGTCTTCTCGTGGTCCGCTCTTGTCTGCATCGCTCCGTATTTTATCGGAACCCAAATCCAGGGCCTGGTGGTGCTGGCGCATCCTGAGTATGAACTTGTCCGATGGCGCGGGACGCTGCTCATGTGGGCCGTTGCGATCATCCCGATTATTATCAATATCTTCGGGCGTCGCGTTCTGGGAGGGATTGAAGTCGCTGCGGGTATCATGCACGTTGTCTTCTTGCCCGTCACCATTGCCGTCTTCGTGATTCTCGCTCCGCGAAACCCGGACTCGTTTGTATGGGACACCTTTGTTGGCGGCCTAAGTGGCTGGAAAGATTCGGGTGCTGTATTCTCCATCGGTCTTCTTGGTGTTATTACTCCCTTGGCCGGTACGTTTCCTCTTCACTTCTAGTCATACCGATTGTCTAATCCCTGTCAATAGGCGTCGACGGAGTAATCCACATGGCCGAAGAAGTCAAAAACGCCAAGGTTGTCGTCCCACGCTCTATGATCTATGGCACCATGATCAACGGAACCCTTGCCTTCGCCTACCTCATCGCCATCCTCTACTGCATGGGCGACTACACGGAGGCCGTCCTCAGCCCCACGGGCTACCCCATCATCACAATCGCCTACCAAGCTACCGGCTCCAAAGCAGCAACATACGTGCTGATGGCGATGGGCATGCTTCCCGGCTGGATCGCCCTCTTCAACGGCCTCGCCTCTGTAACCCGCCTGACCTGGGCATTCGCGCGCGATAACGGCCTCCCCTTCTCCACCTTCTTTGCGCGCGTCGACCCAACCTACAAAATCCCCCTCCGCGCTCTCTTCCTCGTCGCCTCGTGCATCTTCGCTCTCTCCTTCATCCAAATCGGCTCCACGGCGGCATTCAATGCTATCCTCTCTCTCAGCACACTGGGCCTCTACATCTCCTACCTCATCCCCCTCGTCCTCCTCGTGTTCAAGCGCTTCACTGCGCCACAGGATATCCCCCAGGGCACCTTTACGCTGGGTAAATGGGGTCTTCCCATGAATCTGCTGGCCATTCTATTCGCTACATATTTTGCGATCTTTTTGCCGTTTCCGGCAACATTGCCGGTGACAGCGGAGAATATGAATTATGCGGGGCCGGTGCTGGGCTTTGTGATGTTGTTTGCTTGTGGCGATTGGATTGTAAGGGGACGGCATAAGTGGGAGGGACCAACTATGCGGCCTTATGCGAGGGATGAGTAGATTATGGGAGTGGAGAGTTGACGTAGAAAAGTGGGTGGAAGGATTGAGATACTATATATAATATTGAAGGTGGCTTTATTGCCTGACGGAGGAGCACGGAGACCTACCAGGACAGGAGGGCAAAAAATGAATATATCCCGTCAGTAGCTACTATACTGTTCCAGATACCTGCTATGTAATTCAATACGGATTGTCTAATCCACGTTGTAGTATTCCATTATAACATCTAAATTTGCTAAACCATAGGTTTGGCCGGGGTTTTCATCGAAATGTTCACCTTACCCCCAACCCATCTTAGTGGGACGATATTCTCCCCATTTTCTCACGCTTTCCTCTTATACTCTTCCGTGATGTATCGTATGCCCAATGAATAATTCGCAATTTCGCAAATGCAAAAAAAAAAAAAGAAAATATACATACAACAGGAGGGATTCGCTGGTGGTCACCCACCCAACTACTAACCTCCCGGCGTGTGGCTTAAGTACGGCTGAGCGGACGGGAAGCCCTGTTCTCCACACCCTATGGTCGTATGTACTAGCCTACTCTAGGTCTTTGGATTATGTAGCAATAAACCAAAAGGGAAGTGAAGAGCTTTCGTTCTTCTATACTTATAGCGGTGGCTCCTCGTCCGATTGATTGCCTCGTGATAGTGAATATCCTGGATATCATCGATCTACTCTGTATATATCTACGATACCCGAGTCCCTATGTTTGGTCCTAGAACAAAAGACAAGGGAATCACCGCGCAATGTCCTACTTTAATTGGCCAAGGGCCAAAACGGATGATGAGCCTTTGTCCATCCCGACTGATTGGCATCACAATACTGGTCACTTAGGGCAAGACGGTTCTTCTATTCGTTGCCTTTATAGCGCCATGGTTTGTAATGTGTTAGAAGGGTTGCACATACTCGAAAATAGAAATGATAGGAAGATATGTGAAAATCGTCAACGTCATAAGATAGCATATTTGTATCTTGAATCCATGCATACACACTGAATTCGACTGTAAGCTAGTCGATCTTGCGGTGCATTTTCACTCCCTGTCAGATGACTTGAAATGTACCCTGGACCAACCTTAAACTCTATGTATGCTCTGATAATGGTACCAAGATTATGATGTAAAGTGGAACCGACACACTAATTCAATTGACGACCAAAGACTAGCGCTGAACTATGATATATATTTCCGACGCCTCCGAGCAGATACAGCTACCGCCACGGTGAGTGACTAGTAGGCTCAAGCTCCCCTAGTCTTTTGCCACCTCTCGACATGGTATGCAAAATGGTATTCCGTGGTTCCAACTCAGACGGTACGATTGCCAGTCAGCCCATCCATACCAGACATGAATTAAAAAAGAATTTTCAAGAGTTTAGAATCTAACGGCTCGCTTTATGTAAGACGATACTGTTTCTAGACTATCTAATTTGCCGAACTGCTGCTATGCCCCTAAACCTTGTGCCAAATGTTAAGGCTGATTTGGTAATACTGAATGCGGTTATCCTTGCATCTTTACAGAGATGGGCCATTCTCTCTGGATAAACTCGGCTTCGTCAAGGCCCGTGGTGGTCTATTTCCCTTGTCTCCTGATATGTTGGGGCCTGAACTGTAATTGCGAAGGTTGACTTTTATAATGTATCTGTATATCGAAGATAATCCTGGCAAATATAGCTGTATCATCTAATTTGAGAGCCATCCTGCTTTATAACTTATACGAATGTGCCCCTTGTGAGGTGTATTCCTGCATTAGGTTAGGTGCATCGGCTCAGCTTTCGCGGTAAAAAGAGATGCCCATTTTAATTGTACTTGATCCTTTAATCCACAGGATACCTTGTTTCGAGGCTTTTCGAATATTCTTATCCACCAATAAGCTATTTTGCCCAGCGGAAATAGTTCTTAACTATAATGTTAGCATATCAGTTTTCTATACAGCTGCGAATAGCAAACCTAATCATTAATCGGATACCTTCTGCATGTAGCTGTATATTAAGGTTAATCTTGTTCAAATGTAGTAAAGATAACCATGCTTGATTATACTTGTCCTTGGTCCACTGTATTAGCGAGCACTGGAAGGGTTTGCTTGGTCTTATAGCCCGGTCTATCCCCTGAACGGCCTGGGACTGGAACTATAGTTCTCTGCCCAGTAAAATAACCTTGGACTATGACAGCTTCCTGGATCTTTTCTAGGCCTCATACAATATATCATCGTGATGAAATTACCGTATTGTCGTTGATTGACCAATTAGATTGAGTAGCGTAAAGCTTAACCACCCCCCTCGACGAGATTTCTTTTCCGGCGCTCAATAATGGACACACTTAGACATCATGAGATCGATGCTATCATATGACTTTTCGACACAGGCAGGTTGCTTATTAAAGTATGGCTGTTAGGAACTGGTATCCAAGTGATTGAACTATTTCTCACCTAATGTATGACAATCACAGCCGATATCCTATAACAGTGAATATCATTTTCGATCTTATAATTTCCTAGCTAAGTCTCCTAAATCGCGATGGATAACACAAAGCCATTTGCTGGCAAAGTGGTAACTGTAACTGGGGCGGCACATGGTATCGGTCTGGCAACAGTCTACTACCTTGTCGCCCGAGGTGCCACAGTCTCCATGATAGATCTTACTAGAAGCGCTCTGGACAAGGTGGAAGAGAAAGTTTTACAAGAGTTTCCTGACGCCAGGATTTCGCACAAGGCAGTCGACGTCAGGCACAGACAGTCGGTCGAAAAGTGGATCGAGGATACTAAGGAGAGCTTTGGTAGAATTGACGGTTGCGTAAACAATGCGGGCAAGTGATATCTACTCCGATCCGGTGTTTTTCCTCTAGATCTGACCAGTCCATGTAGGAGTTGTGGGTCACGAATACAAGCCCATCTCGGAAGTCTCAGAGGAGGACTGGAATTACGTGCTCGATGTCAATTTAAAAGGGGTCTTTAATTGCCTCCGTGCAGAACTACCAGTGATTGAAGACAATGGAAGCATTGTGAATATTGCTGGGATTGCTGGCCAGGTTGGTTTTGTCAACATGTCGCCATATGTCGCTTCCAACCATGGTATCATCGGCTTGACCAAGTGCGCTGCAAAGGAAATTGCAGAGAGGGGAGTGCGGGTTAACGCCATCTGCCCGTATGTGCCATCCGATGCTGAAATCGGGTTTCATTCTTGGATTGCTGACTCGCCGTTAGGGGCGATATTAAAACTGCACTTATGCACGATGAGAATCGAAAGTCTCATGGAGCCTTCGCGCCCAAGTATGCGCCGCAGCTTTTCAAGCGATACGGTCATACTGAAGAGGTGGCCGCATTGATTGCCTTCCTTCTTGGAGATGAGAGCAAATTTACGACGAGTTCGACGTACAACATTGATGGCGGATGGACTGCTTGAAGTCAAATGAACCTTCCGAGGGGGGGGGGGGGGGGGAAGAAAAGAAAAGAAGAACAAGAAAAAAAGACAAGTGAGATCTTTTTCTCGGCCGCTATGATGTTGTCTCCAAACTGTGCAGGTCTATAGGCTTGACCTGAAATTACGGAACTCGCATGAAAGAACGGGACTGAACCATTTATGTTGCTCATTCGGGTGGTCGCGAGAGAATAGCATACCGCAATGAAGTACAAGGACTATATCTTGTTAACAGTCAAATAATCGCGACCTTCATGATATTCTTAGAAACGATGCATATTTCTATGCTTGTAGATAAGTTCTTTCTAGTGAAAGACGGATTGTCTACGTACTGGGTGCTAAGGTGCCCGACAACACTCCGAAGGCGTAACTACCGTCCATCAGATTCCATACACCAGAGGAGCCTTTACACCGACCCGAATGCAACTCTAGATCCCATTCGCCTGAAGTAGGCATAGTCATTAAATATAGTATGTCCTCGTGCTACTTACTCTTGTAGGGAAACCGGCGCCGAAAGCCGATATTTCCATATTATTAGTTGTCAGAATATCTACGCCAGATAGAATTCGAAAGCGACTATCCCAAGAGACGGGATCAACCGTGGTATCCTTACCAGTAACTTATTTGAGAGGATGTTCAAGGGCCACACTTCACGTATTCTTTACAGCGCTAGTCCCCCGATTTCTCAATCATGACTCCGCTATAGACGTCATCCCTGGCTCGGATATCTCCCTTGGAATGGTACACACCAAACACTACTTTTGCCATTAGATCCTTCTCCGGCAGCGCATATAGGTAGTAGTCATCCTTCCCAAATTCATTCATCTGGATCCTTTGCCACTGGGGTCGATGGGCTTGCTGCCTCTCACTGAAATACTCGCTCCCCAAACGGTACTCCATCGTCTGCTTTGGCGGGATGCCCGCGCGGTCCAGCGCTTGTGAGTAGACCGTCAAGATGTGCTGGGCTCCATTGTGGCCCAGGTCGTAATAGGAGTTCCGATGCCACGCGCTGATGGACCGGAGCCTTGGAAACGCCTGTGGCTTAAAGTCCCGAAACATATTCTCGAAGTCTCGCTGATCCGCCTCAGGGGGGCAGCGAGACGCGAGGATCACGACATCCTGAATCGAGACGGGGAGAGTCTGTGCGAAGGGCAGCCACCCACCATCCTCCCGATTACTAAATAAATCGATGTCGAGGGTCAGACGTTCCAATTGGATGAATTCATTCCACTTCCAGTTCGTCGTGGGAGGCGTGTGCGGGTTAATAGACATGTAGGGACTATATGGATCCCAACACGGCTCATGCCGACAGCCGCAGATTGCTCCGTATTCCATCAATTCGATATGAAGATGTTGTAGTGTCGACTTCGCGTGCGTTAAGAGAGCTAGGCATACCGCCTCCACGGTCATGTCGGGCAGATGTGGTTGGCATAGCACACCGTTAAAGCGTCTCCCAAATACTTCTGGTGTATGGAAGACCATATATTTGAACTGCTTGAAGTTAGAGCATCCCTCAATAATTCGGGATAACGCTCGACCGGAGATATTGCCACGATCCACAATCATTGACTCGAGTTCTGATTTTGGGAGCGGCAGAGGATAGGCTGGGTCCATGGCATCGTCCCAGTCAACGGCGATCGTGTTTCGGTCCCCCATGCCTTCCTGCCACACTGGCTGTGAGTAATAATCCATCACAGACAGATTCCGAAGACCCGGTAGTCGCGCCAACGCAGCCAAGAGGCGGATGATCTGCTGGTAATGGTCGTCGGCCAGGACGGCCTGTGGCCTTTGCTCTCGTTGGTCCTGACTACCTCCTGAACTACTCCCTCCATCCTCATCCTCATCCGCATCCTCATATGACGTGCATTCAATTCGCACCTCCGCTAATACCGACAAGGCCTGGTCGCGGAGTCCCTTCTGTGACCTCGCTGCTAGTCTACTCACGGCTCGAGGGACATAGGGCGTAATTGGGTCTTGCGCGCACACATTTAACTGCATCCGCTTCAGCTCGGTGAGCTGGCTAAGGAGCAGGCCTAATGTAGCTCCCCCAACCCCATTAGACACCGCCTGCATCCAATCGCATATGTCGTCGTCCTCGATGAGAACAGGTGATTGTTGAAGAAGCCGTTTGGCCCCCCGGAGGCCAAATTCCCAGGGTATATTTGGCCGGTCCCCAAAGTCCAACTGGTGGGGTACCAGTTCCTCTACATACCGGGCCAGGCGGGGGCTTTGGTCGATATCCAGCAACAACTGGGGAGCACCAATGCTGAACGCCTGGTCAGCTTTGTGGCATCGAACATTCGCGGGCGTTGCGAAACCAGAATCTTGTGATAGCCGTCGTGTGTACGTATCATGTTCTCGGAGGTATTCGCGACAGGCGTTCCTAAGATGTTTACAGCTTAATGATAGAGAAGGTAAATCTCTGGGCGACACATGGTCTATAATCTGCATCTGCAACTCATATGGTAACAGAAGGAGCATGTTGCGTGGCGGTAGAAGGATTTCAACAAATCTCTATTTCTTAGATTTTCCTTTTTGCAAGTCTTATCGTATTTATTTTCGGCGCGAGCCTGTACAGCACGACCCACCGAGAGGAGCGCGGGTTGTGTTCAAACGGACCGATTATGTTGCGTGCATATTTGTGACGGTTAATCCAAAGATGCCGCCTATCTTTTGATAGTGCCAACCTTATGGCCTTACCCCTGCTGAGTCAGCGCAGAACAGGTCGCTCTCACTGTCTGAGAAATGGAACCTAAAATTCTGAAAATTTGCCCCGTCACAGATTACGTATTGTCAAATGGCCATATAGGTTGAATTCCTCGATTGGATAGATTAGGTGGCTTGAATCTTCCAACGTGACTGTGGGAAGAAAATCGCTTCGGAAGAACAACAGCGCTAGGCCTAACTAGGCGGCGTCAACATATACTACTCAATTTCCTTACACTGCACAGACTCCTGCTAGCTAAGCTTACTCCCGCTAGAAATGAAAAGTCCCGTTATAAGAAATACACTCGAAACAAGTCTTCATTTTTTTTTATTTTTATTTTTTTGTATTTTATCATTATTCGTCATGTGCACGGTCAGCCAGTTCGCTAGCTGCTTCAGTCATGTGACTAGTAATAGCTACTCAGGTCTTTGGTTTACATGAATAAATTAATGTGTGATGCTGGGAATTAACCATCGATTTATTCTTTGACTTTTGCGGGGGAAGGGCCCACCTGTGCCTTCCGCACCAATCGGATGTATAATTTCCCATTTGGGAAGCTCGGGGTGATATCCTCCGATGTCCGATGCTGTGGATTCTTCACCCGTGACTTCCATCGATGCATCGTGGGTTCCCGAAACTGCATGAGAGAGAATTCTCGCATTCCACCGGTGTATGTCTGCGATGCCGCTTCGGCGACGAGTGATGGATTTGGCTGGCGTCACTATTGGTGGCTTTCACTTATACCACAGGGGTAAGGCAATCAAGACGTGGAGGTTGAAGGAAATACTAACCTGTTCATAGCATGTCTGTCGCAGTATGTATCCATGCATTCGAACCCTTACCGATGGGAGGATCCTGACCCTGCCGCCAAGGCATGATACATGACTTAATTTCACTTTTTGGTTTAATTTCACTATTTTTCTCGTCTAGTTGCTTGGTATCACGGAAGCTCTCACCAATCGGGTAATGGTGTCCCGAAGGCACCCCCGCGAGGTCGGACTTCCCGGGGGAACTCCGGGCAGTGGGGGATGAATTTCGAATTTCCCGGGGTATGAGCCCTAAATATTCCCCCATGGCCAATTCACCCTCTGCCAGGTTGTTGATTTCCAATACACCACCACCAACATGGAGAAATCAGCGACACACCATCTCAAGGACGATGGCGCCAGGTACCCTGTACCCGCGGGCAAGGACGACGTGGAAGTGCAACTCGACAACAAAGACATTGGTTCAATTGATGGGAATTCATTGACCGAAGACCACCGACAGTATTTGCTCCAGCGTCATGGGACGGTGGACCTCGACCCCATGCCAGATATGACGGATGCGGACCCCTATAACTGGCCGACCTGGAAGGTACAAACCCTCCCTGGATGCCGAAATGGAGCGCACTGACGACCTCCTGGAATGGCATAGAAATCCCTCAATCTGGTAATGGTCGCGTTCCATGCGATGATGGCGACCTTCACCGCGGCCGCGATCCAGTCCGCCTTCGGGGATATAGCGGAAGACCTCGGCGTCAGCGTTCATCGAGCAAGCTACTTGACCTCCCTGGTCATTGCGGTCCTGGGTGCTGCTCCTCTGATCTGGATGCCACTATCCAATCGATACGGACGACGACCCATCTTCCTTCTGTCGCTGATATGCAGTCTGGTCGGCAACGTGGGCTGTGCGAAGAGCTACTCCTATGCGACCATGGGATTATGTCGGGCCATCACCGGCTTCTTCATCAGCCCGCCGGCAGCAATTGGTAGTGCGGTGGTAGCCGAGACCTTTTTCAAGAAGGATCGGGCTCGATGCATGGGGGTCTGGGCCGTCATGGTTACCGTGGGGGTGCCACTGGCGCCCTTGATCTTTGGGTTCGTTGCGGTTCGGGTGGGATATCGATGGATTTACTGGACACTAGCCATTGTTTGTGGACCGCACCCGCTGTCTGAGAAATGCTAACAGTCATAGACGAATGGTGTTCAATTCCTGCTGTACTTGGCCTTTGGCTCCGAGTCACTCTATATCCGTGGCGACACTGCAAAGACGCCGGACTCTTCGCTGCACCGATTCCTTCCATTCAAACGCATTGATATGACTCCCCTCCGAGTATGGGATTTCCTTCAACCTCTGGCAATGGCCGCCCGTCCTTGTGTCATGATTCCCACCGCGGTCTATTCGATGGTCTTCCTCCTCGCAAGCATCTTCCCCTCGCTCGAGATCCCTCAAATATTCCCGGAGTTGTATCATCTGGACACCCAACAAATTGGGCTTCAATACATAGCAATGGTCGTTGGCTCGATAATCGGGGACCAGATCGGCGGAGCTATATCGGATCGGTGGATGTTGTATCGAGCCAAAAGAACAAACCACTCCGTTGCCCCCGAGTATCGACTATGGCTGAGCTACCCCGGCCTGATCCTATCTATAGTCGGCATCATTGTCTTCCTCGTACAGGTCAATAACGCTTCATCTCACTGGACGATAACGCCGCTGATTGGCGTTGCCATTGCGGCTGTCGGGAACCAAATCATCACCACCGTCAATATCACCTACGCCGTAGATTGTTATCGATCGGAAGCGGCCAGCGTTGGGGTCTTCATCACCTTTGTCCGTCAGATCTGGGGCTTTATCGGACCATTTTGGTGAGTGCACTTTCGGTTGGAGGAAGACGCAGCCACTTGCTAATAGTTCCATTCCAGGTTTCCGGAGATGTTGAAAAGTGTGGGCTTTCTTGGATCAGCTGGGATTCTGGTTGCCATGATCGTTGCGGTCAGCGTGATTCCGACACTCTTCCTGCAGTGGAAAGGGCATACATGGCGGTAAATCTGATCTAGTCCATTTTGCGTTTATTCCAATGTGGAAGAGACTTCAAAACCATACGACGAGGTGCAACATCCGTGCGACAAGGGATAGCCTGTGTCTTCCGAGTTGTCCGGGACGGTTTTGAAAGGTACATGAGCTGATAGTTTTGGATATATAGATATAGATATAGATATATACGCTTAATTCTTTAGAATAGAAGGGGAAAGCCCAATGGAACCCATGATTATGGATATACTTGGCACGGCGATGATATCTCGTTGCGGAGCATGAATTAAACCAGGTAACTGTTAGTGAAACCTAAACTGCGCCTAGAGAGATACAACTCGTTTAATCCTCCCATGTCTCCACCAATCTCGGTCTTACACAGGGCAGGGACGGCCCATATTTGGGCGGATCCGCTTGCGTCTCTCAAACTGAGATATCTAAAAATATTTGGTTATGGAGTATTGTAAACACGACGACCGATGGTGAGACGGACGGGTAAGATGACTCTTGTACATTATCCATAAACCCTCAATGATGGCTAGCATTTATGCCAGGACAACTCTGCATACACGTGCTGCTTTTGCAAGGTTCCAGATAGCCAATATTTAGGAGTCCATATCCATTCTTTGTATCTCAGAATAGCGTGATCGAGGTTGAACTCTGTAGTAACTTGAAGCATTCCTATAGGTAATCGTAAATTAGTAATAGAATAGACAATGTAAGGTCAACATCATAACCCCCTCGTTACTCAGGTCTAACGTTACAACTTGTCCGATCTAGATGTGAAGCGCATAATAGCTATACTGTATTACTAGTACTTCGATAGACTTGAAAACCTATGAGATATCTTTAGAAAACTATGTTATATAATACCAGCATAAGACCCCCTTTGTAACAGAGGAATTGCTTCAATTGTCTCTCCCCAAGTCTTACACCCAACCCCTTCACCCATGGGTTTCGGTAAGCTTGATCACTTCTTGGTTACTGTACAGACTTGCTCGATATCAGTAGAAGGAGCCTTATCTTCCCGCTCCACTAGGACCTCATTGATAATAACTTTAGTATCGCCAGCAGTCGCGTTGGTGAGGCCCGTGAAGGAAATCGTGAGTGTCTCTCCAAGAGGTTGAATTTTCTCTTCGGTGCAGATAGCCTGGAACTTAACAGTGCCATTTGTAGAATTTGGAATGCCCGAGCCAGTCAATTTGAATCGCTTTGTGTTAGAGATAGCTCGCACGATACCATTTCCAGTGATCTTGCCCTTTTCCACTGTAGGCGCTTTGAACAGGTCGCCTTTAGTATCACCCAGATTGAACTCGATGCTGAGCAGTTTGACTTTGAGATTCTTGCCAGATTTGTCAGATACCTTGATGTCGACCTTGGCCTCTTTGGAATTAACCGGGATGGTTGAAGTGACATCGTAACTCAGAAGAGGCGTGGGGGGTTCGGGCAAATCTTTGGTGAATTTGGGAGCCATCTCTTGGATATACTTGGTTGCCTCATCCGGGGGAGGAGTTCGTTTGGACTCGAGGACCTCCCTGTGCTATCGTTAGTCACAGACAGTCACACTCCACGTGGGCTAGTAGCGACACTTACGAGACGATCGTTAGGATAATCCCAACGGCTGCCAACACTGCCCCGGCAATGGGAATTGCCATCACTTCTACTTCCATCCCGACCAATACCAACTCGGTGATTTCAACCAGTGTTTGGGCTGCCGTTGTGGCCAGGGTAAGGATATCCAATGCCAAGATACCAACATTCTTCTCGTACTTCCACTCAGTCGCAATCTGAATTCCCAGGCCCGCCGCCACGGCGGCATTGGCGACAATCACCACGGCCTGTACGGCCATACGCCCGACTTTCGCACTGAGCTTGAATCTGCGCATGACCTTCTCCTCGATGGCGGGATCTGCAACCACCTCGCCCATCTGGACTTCCAGAGGGCGTCCCTCAGCCTCGGGATTAACATGAGCCAGGGAATGGTCCTTGAAAACCTCCATTTCAATCTCCTCGACCTGGACCTTGACTCGGGGTTTGGAACCGCCCAGTCGTCGATTGAATCTTCTGGTGCCTTTGCTAATCTCCTTCGGATCGGTGGGATGTTCTTTGAACAGCAACAATAGATCTGCGGCGTCCGCGATCATCCTCGTAACGCTTTCCACAATTTGGATAATGGCTTCGGCTTTGGCGATATCGGAAAGGTTGTCCCATTTGTACAAAAACTTGGCTGCATTGTAAATCTGGAACCCTTGGCCGCTGTACATGCAACCAGTCAGCAATTCCGTATACTCAAGAACATAGACGTATCTCAGGGCGCCATAGAATCCTTACACAATGCTAATTATGCCAAGAACACTACCCATAGTCCGCGGGTATTTCTGATTAAGCTTGTCGTACTTCTCCTTGATCTTTGTTGCGATTTTCGGCATAAATGACACCCCTCCTTTCCCTATCAGTCCGCCGAGCTCACGAATGACCTCCGCAATCAGCCGTCCCTGCAGGGTCTTCAGCCCAAAAGTGCGTTCTGCTGCCTCCTTTGCATTCCTCGTACCATACTCCGATAGCAGCTCTTCGATATCCAGGAGAAGTTGCTTCTTCAAACTGCTGGTAATTTTGCTGTCGCATGACAGTACTTGTAGGATCAGCTCCTCCATGAACTTCGTGGCAAATTCAGGCCATTCATTCTCATCAATAGGTCTACCCTCGTAGCCGAGCATAGCCGTGCTTTTGTCTCGTATGAGCTTCCACAGTTGAAGGTCATATCGGCGGTTGTCCTTGTCGATTGCCTCCAGCACCATGCAGTGCTTGTTGACCAGGTTCCGGCCATTGCTACTTATGTCAGACATCCTGAAGAATAGTGGTGAAGCTTTGGGGTATAGTCATACATGAGAGACATGATCAGGTTATTCAACATTGCATCGGTCGTGACGGACTCGAAAAACTCCTTGGCCCAGTCACGATCATCGTTCACATACGCCTCCAGGTCGACGCCGTTGCGAGTGACCAGGTCTTTGAAAGCAGCACCGGTCGCGAGAGTAGTGATGTGTCCAAATTCCTGTTTGTGGGCGAGACATGATTCGGCCTATGAAAACATTCAAATCGTCTGGTTAATTGAAGAAGGACCCCCCACAACCGAATAGAGCAACATACCTTTCCCTTCCACCAATACGTCAACTTCTTTCTTTCACTCTCACTGAAATTCTTGCCGTAGTGATCATTACCGGACAAACTGTACAGATACAGCGCACGAGAGTATGTCTCTAGAAACTCCTTGTTCTTGGTCGAGAGCTGACTCTTCAGCACGGAGGGTACGATATCAGAATTCGCCAGTGAGCCATCTCCGAACACCTCTTTTTCTTTGGCGCCTTTCCACAGACCTGCGGCAGCCATCACGTAGTTCTGGCTGATGTTGTTCAGAGTCATCGGCTCTGGTGCTTCGAGGAGCTGAAGCTCAGTCACGGAGCGTTTGGCTTCAGTCGTGGACAACACCAAGTCCGCCACCGGAAGTGGTCGGGAGTGGATATTGGCAGACGGGGTGTACAGGTCGCAGGTCAGGGCGAGATTCATGGCAGCGAAAGGAGAAATGTTGACGGCGTCGATCACGGCTTGTTTCATGACATGGTGGTTCTCTGCGTGTGCTGTATAAAGGGCGTGCAGGGCACCGCGCACGGTCGCGTCTGATGAAGGCTCGTAGTAATATCCGTGCATTTCACCGGTTGCCAGGTTAATGCCGGCGTTGAATGAGGCAAATACTGGTGGCTTGGGGCCTTTGCCTTCGGTCCAGCCATCCAAGAACGTGCGTAAATCATCCTGGCCATGAGCGTCAATGCTAACGTCGATAGTCAGGATATTCTCGAGATTGATGGCCAGGGTTGACTCATAGATTGAGTCCTCCCCCGTGCCAAACTCGTCGTCCAGTGCTGGAATAGCGACAACTGGAATAAATGCACCTTGGCCCTGCTTTTCGAGTCCAGTCTGGATAGTCCAGAAAGGGTTCCATTTCTCTCCGGCCGCGGGAACAGCATGGTTTGCTTCGCCCTCGTCTGAGAATGTCTTCTCACTGGCGAGTACTTTGTAGGTATTGACATTCTGCATGCCTACAACCTGGACGGTGTCTTTCATTGAAAGTTTGGTATCAGGGGTCGCTGAGTGTTCTGAGGGTTCTGAGCTCCCCTCGAGCTGGTATGTAATCGAACCTGTGACCACAAGGCTGTCGGAAGAGACTTTCAGTGAGCAATGTTCCCACATCCTCGGGGAGTCAGGAAGTTCTCGACTCCATTTGATATGTTCATGGGAGACATCGGCATATTGAATTAACTGAGAATCAACCATCACCGCGCCGTTATCGATGATCACTTTATAAACATGCGATGTCCCTTGCGTTGAGAACGAGCTCAAGAGTTTAGTATCTATCACTTCATCATGACGGAATAGAATAAACTCAGCACTCGTGGAATGGGCTGCGACACGCCCTTCTCTAATCCTTTTCTGCGACTGCTGATGAGCAACCTCAAGATCCGCAAATGGGGTGGTGTGGTCGCGGGTCAGTGACGTTTGGAACGTGTTGAAGATGGGACCGAAGAGCTGGGATATGTTTTCGGGTAACGATTTGACCTTTTTATCGGATGTTAGGTTGGTAAGAGTTTCGATTACTGGAGAATGTATCGGGTCAACTCACAGACTCAATAACGCCTTTCTGCTGTCTGATTGGCATATCAGCCAACCGGTCAGAAATCCGCTTGATGGTCACCTCTGGGTAATTGGCCGCCACCAGGTATCCATTTGCATGATATCTCGCTCCTGCATGACCCTGGCGCAGGTGCAAGCCATACACCCAATCTCCTGGAGCCGTGGCAACGGTAAACGACTGGATCACGGTCTTGGTATATGTGTGTGCATTATGATCAAGACGTTGCAGCACGTCTCCAACTCCTAGCTGGGACACAACAATTGAAGGATTCTCAATTTTGGCAACAACGGGATCAATAGCCTTGGGTCCGGTTGTGGTGAAGAAAACATGGCCAGCAGTGACGAAGGGCTGTTCGCCGTTGAAGCCATACACTGTGGCCTTAGGAGCAGAGGGATGTTCACCATTGAACGTTGGTTGATAGACCTTCTCATCGGATACCACGCCTATAATCATCAGCCCATCTATCACGTCAAGTAACAACTAAGCACTGACCGTATTCGCCCGGAGCCTTGGTCAGGACCTTCGTTCCGGCCTGCACAACTTCAATATCCACCTCACCCCGATTTGTCTGAATTTTCGTCCCAGCAACAAAACACGCCATGGGCATTCCATCGCCATTGCGAACATTTGTAGGTTCTCTTCCGGTGAACATATCTGGATGTTGGGCCTCTTTGGACCTAATCCAACCGTGAAGCTGGTCTCCATACACAATCTGTCCGGGAATTGTTCTAGGAGGTAATCTGCCCATCCCCGGCGAGTAAATATCTGGGAGGTGTTTCACTGTACTTGCTAATCGTTCCACCAGAGAAGTCCATTGTGGATCAGTGCGCCACGTGAGTGAAAAGACTTTTCCGAGACTTGGAAACGATGGGCCCTGGAGCAGGCTCTCGTCTGACCAGTGAACTGGCAGCGAGGCATCGAGAAAAGATCTGACGAGATCCTTTTCCAGCAAGGCCTGGTGCTTCTCCGCATGGGGCGACCAGTGCATCTGCATTGACCTCTTACCTATCTCGCTATGGGATGATGTGGCAAGGAGAGTCTCTCTGGCCCGTTCATAAATATATGCAATTGCCTGCGGGTAAGCCCACTTGCCCCTAGCGTAAATTGCAATAAGGGTATTATTGATGAACTCAGGGTCCAGAACGTGATCTACAAATGCCGTGCAAAAGTGTATATCCTTTTGCAATTCCAGAAGGTCGAACCTTTCCCCGGCGTACCGGTGGACGGCTTCCTCGAGGAAGTTCCGATACATGATATGCATGATATTCGACGCAGTTCTGTCCACCTTTGTATCAATCCCACTCTATGTAGCACTCAGTAAGCCTATGCCCATTCAAGTTATACAAAGGACAGATGGGTGGATATACCGCGTTCACGGTCGCATTAAATCCATAGCTCGAAGAGCGAGATAGTCCCAGTACCAGGGTCTGGGTCTTGAGTAGGTCTAACGCGTTATCGATCGGCGTCTCACGGTAAATCTCGGAGGGTGCCCCATTCAGCGCACCAAAGTCATCAAATTGCAGATGAGACTTGAGGGTGTCAACGTAATGCTGGTTTTCAAAAGTCTCCAAGTGTGTCAAGGCTTCCACGACTTGAATGACTTTACTCTGCGCCATCCTGGACGGACAATAATCACAGTCAATAATGCAAAATGATAAATTCCACTCGACAGCCAAGTTTGATTTCTGATGATAGAAAGACCAGAATTGGAGTCTCGAGGGATTATCTGACCTTAAGAATCTTACGGACAAAAGCCAAAGCAATGAACAAAGATACGATGGCCTACCACAATTGTCATTTTACAATGGCACTACGAAGTATTTTCCAGATTATTGTGATGAACCTGCAGATGCTTTACGACCATTATATCTGGTGATCGACAGCTCTATCCATAACTGGATATGAGTGGCAGCGGGGGTTGCAGCAGCTGAGGGGGATGGCCATCCTTCGGGGTCGATGGCGAACGTCTCAGATCCATCCATCTTGCTGGTCTTCAATGAATGGGTGTATTCGCCATGTTCACTGCGGCTGATAATCTCCTCCTCACATTGATAAACCATACGGGGAAGCCAAAGACCTTACTCCTATCTTCGTATCCAGTATAATTCAGCTCCCTTCTCCCCGATATCACGTCATAACTCGAATATATTGAAGTCCTAGTCGATGTTGATAGGGTATGCTGTGGGCCCAGACTATGCGTGATGACGAATATGGGTTTTCACTGAGTTCACGAAATAGTTATGTAGATCGGCGATCAGATAACATCATCCACGGGGTCGAGACCAATTGTCACTACACCACCGAAGATTATTCAATCAGACAGTTGTCATCTCACATTTAATCTCTCTCCGTAGCCTTGATCAGAATATCACCGGGATAGCTGTACATCACATTTGCATTTGTCCTCGGTGACATCAGAATTCACCATCTCTAACATGTACCATACATATATCAGGTTTTTACCTGCTCACCCAAATCTTGCACTATGTCAGTCGATCAGCGGGTCTTTCCTGAGGGGCCTCTCTAGGAGGGAGAGCACAGATTGGTCCACTGCACGCCAAGACAGAATGGCAAATCTCAGAGACACCCACATCGAGCATACTGCATACTGCGCGGGACAGCAGGCTGCAGCACGCCCGTAGTGGTATCCCCGACCTTGGTGGCATTTCTGGGTGGTTCGTCAAGAGCCATTCCTTCGCCCCGTCCGGCTTGTCCGGATAATGAGTGCTATTGGATGGAGAGAAAATTAGAATTCTGAAGGGGGCTGTGGAATCTCAGCTGAAGAAACCTTTGTGCCAGGTTGTTAGTCTTCTGCCGTCACAATTGGGGTCTTATTGGTTCAGTCTTATGGAGTTGGAACCACCGCTGTGGGGAACTTGATCCATGCGTTGCGAACCTACCACATTTTCACCCTATGAGGCGTAACGACAGCAGCCGCCCAGTTGGGGCCACACTTTCGGTTCCTCCTGTTTACAGTGACATGACAAAGTGTATATCTGATCCCACGTTGGGCATTGCGCGGTGCGGTGTGATAATATCTCATCTTTCTTAGGATTTTAGAGTTGTGACTAATGCCTCGGACGCCTTTCGTATCTACGGCCTCCTATGTAGTTTTAATAGAACCAGTAGGCAGGAATTGGAACCATTCCAACATAACATTATTTACCGGCTATATTGAAAGCGCACTAAATTTAGCGTAGACGACTATTAATCGACTTCAGTAGAACCCCTCTTGGATCTTAGGTCTGGGCCCAAACCCAACTTATATACAGATTTCACGTCTCATCTCATATAATTTAATCTAGCCTACGACCTATATAAATAACCCATGGGTTAGGTAGCGGGTACACACATTCCGCAGCCGTAGAGGGTCGTCCCGGCCCCTCCCTTTCCGCACGGGGGCTTGTGCAGATAGCCGATGACTGCAACTTTAATTAGACCCAAAGTCTCAAGCCCATATATTAGTATCTATTATGCAAATTTCGCTTCAGACCATCACTTCTTCAGAATCCAGAATAGCCTGGACTCCATATTCTGCAGGAAAGAATGTTTCTTTCCTAAGAGCAGACTGATCGCCATACCTTAAAATCACAAATCTCAACGGCTAAACGATAATATACAACACCTACTCGAGGGAAAGCGACTCTTACTATCTCCTACCGTCGACAGCTAATAACAACCACGCGGTGCGTACACGGTACAAGGTCAAAAAGCAGCGTAGTAAATAGATAGACGGAGATAAAGAATGAGGGCCGAATGGAGCGGATGTGCTCCAGGTCACTAGGAATGAGGATGGCAAGGCCCGCTACGAGCTCGATGGCGCCGGCAAGTGGCTCGTTCCCCCGTGTATTCGGTTGCGTAGCGCCTATGACAACCAGGTCAATCTGAACTACCACCAAGGATACGGCGAGAACCTGTTTCAAATCTCTCCTAACATCTTGTTCTTTTATATCAAGTTCGGCAAATGAACTGAAACACGTACGGTTGTCAACACACGTGTTGCAGATGAAAGTACGTTGGGCGACTTTTTGGAGAGCTGAAATAGGCGGAATGGCGCCAACAGCAGGAAGCAGCCGGCCGGAATGATGGTCAATATGCTTGATTCGAAAAGAACAGTGAAGTCAAATCCTCCGCGACAGATGATTGTAACGAAAGGGAAAATGAGTCGTCGCCGCATTGTTCTGTGTTAGATGGTGACGATATAATTCCCCGGTCGAGGTAAACCTATTGGCCTATCGGTCACCCCCTTTGATGTATGTACGTACTATTAATGAGCGTTGAAGTGTCGGGAATGGAGGCTGGGTTCGCCCGTCTTCTCAGGTTGTGAGGTTGTGCGGCATCGATAGGACGGCATTTATCTTGGGTACTACGCAATGTGTGAAAACAGATTGTCAAGCAGAAAAGGGGCTAGGTCATAGAGAAATGCCCAGGCATACGTACAGGCTTTATAGTTACAGTATATTTCATCTATAGGCATGATGGAAGTGGCTTATCAGTAGTCCCTTCAGTACCGCCGCTTTCGTGTTTCCAACCGGCTTATCAGCTTCTAGACCCTTTTTTCTCTCCCCTCCCTCTTCATATTATCGAACTGCGGTGCCATAATAATTACCATAGATTCAAAGTGAACATGGGGGCGGAAAAAGCACTAGTGCTAGTAGCTACTTCTCCGCGTAGAGACAATGACTATCGCCTCAGAGTGGCACCGAATGGTTACATGACACCCCTGCCCATTATGTAACATTGCTTATCAGCTATTAGTAAAGAAAAGATGGTACTAGTACTTTGTAAACCTGAGCCAGTGGTTTAACAGTTGCGCTACAGCCGGGGCCTGCATGTATCACTATCACGCTACGTACTGGTCTTTAGCTCCAATACCATACACGTTGGTGAGCTTGACCTACCACCTAAAACTGTCGGAGCTCAAAGCTTTCCCATAACAAGCAGCTATCCGAACGCAAGTATCTCCCGCAGCATAGCATCTATATACCTATCTCACTCCCAACTCCAAATGCCAGGCTTATCCATAGATAACAACTCCTTCAACACCACAGGAGCAATGAAATTCAGCCCGGAACTTGCGTCCCTCCTTGTACTTGCTCTAGAAGGCTTGACCCACAGAGGATTCGGGCATGATTGTGTGCTGTGTGGTGTCTGGATTACTTTTATCTGTCTTGGATAATTACGCTTCAAAGTGTATTAATTTCTGTTAGAGTAGGTATTTACAAGCAGGTAGAGACTCTGTTGTTGTATATTTCAAATAGCCTCAGCTCATGCAATTGTCCCTGTGGGATCACATGAATCGTTTACGAACTGTCGTCGACTAGTTTCATATTGAATACCCAAGAAAATAGAAAGTGAAGCAAGCGGGCATCCAACAGGCTTCCCTACATATAGCTCAGGTATCAATCATATAAGCACCGTTTTTGGGCTCACTACAATCCAATCACATACATGATGAAGTGCCGCTGGCTGCTATTAAAAAAAAATGGAGAAGATAAGAAGGTGAATTAAGGCAAGAGCTAAGCATATGGATCCTCAATCTCCCCATTAATGATCTTTTCTGGAATCTCCGTCTGCAGAATACCGTCTGAGCTCCTATACTCAGGCCTCGAATAGATTTCAATAGCATCAGCCCCAATACTGCCGACCGCATTCCAGAACGTCCAAGCTGACTGGAAGGGCACCCTCCATTTCCACCATATCACATCACCGATTACCTCCGCAGGACCAGGAACGGGGCTTGGTCCCCAGCTTGACTTTTCGTACGTATAGTGTAGGGTCACTGCGTTCTCTGAGGGTGATTTATCGTCCAGCACCGCAAACCATGAGTCAGAAATACTCGTTGTCTGGGTATCAGTGTGTTTATCGAGGCGATCTTGGAAGAATCTGCGCAGCTCGGCGTCGCTTTTACCTTCAAAGCCGGTGTCGAAGTCTTGGACTGGGGTTTGAGTATTCCATTCGTCTAAGACTTCCTGGTTTGGGGTGCGGACTAGACTAAAGATGTTGAATGCGTCGTCAGGTATAGCACATTCTGTCATCAGTCGGTCGATTACCTGGAAAGCTTTAGTAAGTGGTCTTGGACCGTTGTATGGGAGTACGAACGCTCGCGCGGATTTTTGAAGTGCAGAACAGGAGGATGGCGGACATGGTAGGCCTGGCGTTCTAATCCAATAGTTAAAAGACGTTTTGACTGATAGGATAGAGAGCGTTTGTGTGTGTGATAGTGCAATAGGCAGACGAGTTGAAAAGAAAGAAAGATTGACCTTCCCAGGTCCCCCGCTTTCTAAACCCCACGGGTAGGTTAGTCAGCCCATAGGACAACAGTAGCCCTAATCGGAAGAACCTATTGTTACACCTGGGAAGAAGAAAGGGGTACTAGCAAGTACTTACCTGCATGTCAGACACAGACCTGTATGATCAGCCTGAAGAAACACTTCAGCTGAGTATGCGAAACCCGCATTCCACCACGCCACTCCTCCATCTGATTGGTTCTGTTTTACACAAAATGGTTGCTTTTTCTGTGTTATACCCACTCCAACCACTGATATGACCGACTGTCCGAGGCTCCGTCGCTTACGACATTAACAAACTGAATGAGCTGACGAGCCTTGCATCGACGACGAGATTCATTCCACTTACAGTAAAGCCAATGTTGCATTCACCCCCTTGGGGTGGTCACCTGCCTGATCATGAATCCAGCCCCCAGTGCACTATTGATTCTCGGTAGCTGGGGGCTGCAAAGCGGTGCGGCTGTACGGGTTGACGTTCATTATCTTGGGCGATAAAAGGCGGAGGGTTTCCCTCGAGCAGTCGATTAGAGTCTATTCAACCTGCTAGACTTGCTTAGGTCCGGACAAATATTGCTCTCAGAATGCAGCTTACCAAGCCCCTCCTGGTATTCGCGCTTTATGCGTTTAGCGCTCAGCACGCGCTGGCTGTGCCTGTCAATCCCGAGCTTGGCGCTACGGGCGTCGAGAATATCGCCCTTAAAACAGGAAGCGGTGATAGTCCAAGTGACCCTATCAAGGCAGACCTTGAGGTCAAAGGCCAGAGTGCTTTACCATTTGACGTCGATTGCTGGGCTATCCTGTGCAAGGGCGCTCCTAATGTCCTGTAATTCTCCCTCTACTACGACTCTTGATGTGACACGTATACTTGACTAACATATATCGCACCCCTAGGCAGCGTGTGAACGAAAAGACGAAAAATGGCAATCGCGATCGGAGCGGCGCAAACAAAGGGCCTTTTAAAGATCCTCAGAAATGGGGCATTAAAGCCCTTCCACCTAAGAATCCGTCATGGAGCGCACAGGACTTCAAATCACCTGAAGAATACGCGTTCGCCTCTTCCCTTCAGGGCGGAACAAAGTAGGCTAAACTCATTAGACCTCCTATCGATGTGTTGTTGTTAGCTGATGCCGATGTGATCAAGTGCTATCCTTGCACCCGTCAACCTCGCTGCACAGAACTCCCAAGGTGGTGTCCTAAATGGTTTTTACTCCGCCAACAAAGTAACCCAGTTTGATCCTAGCAAGCCCAAGGAGACTAAGGGTACATGGTTCCAGATCACTAAGTTCACTGGTGCTGTTGGGTAAGAGTATCTACTATCATGATCATATGCGGTTTACTAAGAAGACACTAGTCCTTACTGCAAGGCCCTGGGAGGCAATGATAAGAGTGCCTGTGATAAGAACAAGAATGTTGCAGGGGACTGGGGCTTTGACCCGGCGAAATGGGCATATCAGTATGACGAGAAAAATAACAAGTTCAACTATGTTGGTAAGTAATCAGTTTGCTCCTTTGAGAGGGACAGGGTTTGGATGTACATTGTATGCTGCTCGTTTGAGCTCTTGTGTACAATTGGTACGAGGAATTATTTCTACGAAGCCTAAAGGTGTTGGAAAGACTCAACGGACGCTTGAGTATCAGTTCTGCTCACAAATATGTACATGACTCTTAGAGTACACCAATTTCCAATGGCATATGTATAATTGACTTGAAGATGTCATCCTACGCAGTTATCGTAGACTAACACTAGCATTAACGAGCAAATAAGACTGTTCATAGACAGATAAGCAAGCTAATGCTCACTAATTAGTGAGGACACCTCAGCTGAGCAACGAGGTGTTCCCCCAAGAACTAATTTCTCTCATGGTTAAATTTGGCTGAAGTATCGCAGTGCTTCCAGGTTGAAAGTAGCTCAATGTGGATAGCACAAGCCACATATATCTACTCTTGGGGGAGTACTACCACTCCCATAAACAGTGCCTTCAATTCGCTTATTCAAGTTGATTAAAAATTGTTTCCTGTCAAATGTCACTGCTTAATAGTTTCTTTATAATGATAGATGGGCCTGGCTAGCACTATCCTAGATGGCAAGTTGATGCCCATAGCCATCCCATTGTGTATGCGTGCGCGCAGAGTCCTTGTGGACGGGCACCCTACATGGACAAAGGTCTTTAAAATAATGGAAGACTTGCTATTAAGGGATAATATCAGTGGATTATGATATGTTGAAGTTTCTATATATATAGGTTCGAAAAGATTTATATACAGCGTATCACTTATCCGGCTTTTGTCAACAAGGAACCATTATTAGTTGAAAGATATTATTGAGATTATTAAGTATATAAGAATTAATACTATTACTTAGTGATATAAAAGTCTCCTAATGGTGCTATATATTCTAGGTTATAACGTTGACCAAGATTTTGTGCTGCTTATAGAAATAGTAAATTAACCAATAACAGCCACTATCTCCTTCTAGAATCAATTTTTATGAAAGCTTTATCCAGACAATGCTACCATGAGCCACTGTGGGCCATCCGGGGTGAATACAAACCGATAAAGGTCTCTGATGAGCCCAACCATTTAGTAATTACTAATTTTCCAAAGACTGTACTAAACACCGATAATGAGAGCTAAAGAATTCCATGTCATAGAAACCATACGATTATTCACTCTTTTGCTTCCAGATCTTGATAAAAAAAAAAAGGTTCATGATACGTAAGCCTTGTGCTTATTTCCAATAAAATATTCCAGTGGGATTTAACGCGGAAATGTTGTGCAGTTTGTTCAGGACCTAGGAACGATCTGGTCCTTGAGCAACTCAAGACCTTGGGCAACGCCAACAACCTTATCTTTGACGCCAAGCTCCTTCAAGGTGACTGTCTCCTCGGGGTAGAACTTGTTCCAATCCGGGTACTGCTCGCTAAACCGCAACTGGCTGGCTATCTCTGGTCCAAATAGGGGGCCATATGCTTTGGTCGCCTCTGAATCGGTCAGCTCGGCATACACTGCCGTCTTTCCAGTAGCTTTGCTCCATTCCTCTGCGATCCGGGTCCAGGAGATAAGGTCTGTGATAATCGGTACATACTTCCCATACGTTTTCTCTGGCTGGGATAGAATTGCCTGGACCACGATGCCAGTGTTCGTCGCCACGATTCCGCCGCAAGGAACGATCGCGTCAGGCTTTGAGGCTTGGGCCAGAATGTAGTTGCCCAAGAATGGCTGGGGTTGCATTGAGGGCAGATTGGCAAAGTTATCCAAATAGAATCCGGCCCATACAAACGTCGTCTTCGCTGCCAGTTGCGGTAGCGATGTCTTGACATAATCGGCACCCTTGGCCTTGGCATCCCAATGCGGGCATGGCAGCTTTGCCCCCGAGATTTTGTCGCAGGATGGCAGAACGCTGAGGACCAAGTGTTTGAGGGTCGGGATTTGGGCGGCTGAATCCGCAATGTTGATGAGGTGCTGAAGCTCTACCGTCTGTGCAGTATCGATGCCACCCTGGAATACGGCAGTCCAAAAATCAGACACTGCGAAGATAGCGGTAGCGCCCTTGAAGGCTGTCTGGAGGGTCCCGACATCATTCAGATCGGCAGCAACTATTTCAACCCCTATAGCCTCAAGTGCTTTGGCCTTGGCGCTGGCTGTGTTGCGAGTAAGACCTCGTACTTTCCATGAGGGATCTTTGGCCAGGACACGAGCAACTGAGCCACCTTGGGTGCCAGTAGCGCCTATAACGACGGCCAGAGACATAGTGAACGAGGTGATGATAGCCTGATGAAAAGTGATATTGCAACTGTGACAAGAGGAATGTTGGTCTTTGAGAATGTGAGTAGTATGCCTTGGGACCTTCTCTTGATATCGATATTTCTCTGGGGGATAGTGGGGGGTTTCCAGATGTCAAAGTCACTGGAGGGGGATATGTTGTCAATTAGTCAGCGGAACTCCCGAATCATCGGCCATCCAATGAGGGGGTCCCAGTTCCGAGGGGGTCAGAATTTAGTGGCTGGGGGTCAGAGTGGTTCTGACCCCCTGAGAGGTCTACCGCCTTTGTCATATGATGAGATCTCCGAGAGAGTTAGAATTTATAAATTATATAGTATAGCTCTGAGAGAGTCAGAATTTTTAATATAATTAAGATAATTCTAATTCTCTTGAAATAGTAATCACATAGATTTTAGTATAGTTTAAACTTAACTTAAACTAAATATTTTTTGAAAGAGAAAATTGACTTGATTATAATTTAAACTCAGTTTAAACAAATTATATATCAAAATTAAAAATAATATTTTTAGTTTAAATAGGATTTAAATCTAATATATTTCGATTTTTTCGAAAATTTTAAATAGTTAGATTTAAACTTAACTTAAACCTAAGTTATATATAGATTAGATTATATTTATTAATAAAAAGATATTTATATAGAGTTAAATTTACTTCTTTAGATTATAAGATAGTATCTATATATATATCTATATTTATATACTGGATACAATATTATATACTACAGTAAATTAATAGTAGTTTAAACTTTATTTTAATTAGTATTACTTTTAGTTCAGAGCTAGTAAAGATAAGACTTTATTACTATTACTATAGTATATTATATATAGTAAATTAAAATATATATATAATATCTTCTCTTCTTTAATTTTATTTTAATTAATAATATATTCTATTTTTTTTTTCTATATTTGTATACTTAATCTTCTTTAGATTAAATTTAAACTAAGTCTATTTCTATTTATAAAAATAGTTAAATAGACAGATTCTCGAGCTGGTTTCTATATCTATAATAATATTACTCAAGTAATTTAGAGAAATTATTTCAGATTTTATTATAGTAAGATATATTTTTAAAATACTATTATATTAAATTTAAATACTGATAAAATAGAATTAATTAATATATTCTCTTTTACTCTTTCTGATAAGACTCTGAATATAGTCAAAAACTCAGATTAGAATAAAAATTAGCTAATTTTATTATATATTTATAGTAGTATATAAGTAGTCTATTTATTTATACTAAGTTTAAACTTATACTATTAGCTGCTAACTTATAATAGATACTAACTATATATACAGTATATCTTTTAATACTACTATTTTCTTATATTACTATATATACCAGAAGTATAGAGATAAATAAATATTAAATCTAAATAAATAAGACTTTATACTAAGTTTAAATATAGTATCTTTTTAATATAATCTACACAGATCAATTATCTCTGAGAAGAAATTGACTAGAGAAACAGCTATAAAAAAATATTATAGAGACTAGAAATAGTACTATATATTTTTTTTAAATAAATCAGAGTAAAAATTTAAAATTAATTATATTTAAACTCAATTAGTAATACTAATATTTAAATCTAAATCTTTAGTTATAAAGTAATCAGTGGTCTTATTAATAGAATTTATACTGAATTAGAATTTATTATATATATACTTTAGATTTTTTTTCTATTAAATTTAAACTAATTATAACTTAGATTAATAGACCAGCTTTTTATCAAAAGATATAGTACCAGATTTTATTATAATACTATTACACCGCTGACTCTAATTCAAGATAAAAGAAATATCAGTTTTATATTTTTTAACTTTACTTTGAGTTTAAATCTAATTAAAAAGTAGAAAAATATAGCAATATTTTTAAATTATAATAAAACTATCAGTCCAATACCTGTCCAGAGATATAGAGATAGAGATTTATCTATTTCTTAGCAACTTATAAACTAAATACTAATAAAAAAGATATAGAAATAGTAATATAATAATAATAAAATAGTAATAAATAGTAACAGAAATTAGGAATATAATAAGAAACTTTATAATATAAAAATAGTTAATATTAATAATAGAATTTAATTATACTAAGTTTAAACTATATTTCCGAAATTTTATTTAGATTTTAATTAAGGTT